GAGATCTTGAGCGATTCCGTGTTGTAAACGTGCCTGTTGAGGTTGAGATAACCTTTGACTTGTGTGACCCACGTTTGAAGCCCATTGTGGCTTCCGTCATATTCTCCGAGACGCCTGACATTAAACTCCCTTCCTCCATTGGGTGGGCGGACATCATATGAGTCGTCAGGATTGGCGGAGGCCTTACCCTTACTGGACCCTCCAACGGGGACCTCTGGGGGAATTACCTTTCCGAAATTCCTAGCATACCATTCTCGTAGAGCCGAGTCCATAGGCATTCCTGTTGGGAAGGGATCGCTCGACTGGCTAGATCCGGCAATCTTGCGCCAATCTTCTGCCAAAGAGCGCATCTGTCTTTCCAACCTTTCCTTCAGCTCCTCTTCGGAGTATACCTTCAGCAGCATCTCAGGGGCTGACTCTCCGTGACCGATCGTCATGGACATAACGGGTGATTTGCGTGCTTCCTGTTCTTCTTTGAGGACTGATCCAAAAGAAGTCTCGGACTTCTGATCGTCTTCTTCTTCCAAACTAAGCACGACTTCCAATTCCCTAAAACAGGAAAGATACGATAACCATGGATTACTAGCTGTGGCTGACAGCCCTAGTCTTCCAGGTATCGGCGGCAAAGGCAGGTTCCTTCCTAGTCCGAACTGGGTTCGAGGAGGGACTGGAGGTCTCGACTTTTGAGGGTTAGACACTTTAACGAGAAGTGATAATGAAGGCTGAGGGAGGATTTATTTCTCAAAAGAAACCTGTCAGTGTAATTTGAAGGTGCGCAAGTGACTTTACACGTAGGGAGACATGAGCGCTGACTCTAGGGAGGCGATGTATTAAAGCCTAATGGCTGCCTGTAGAGCGGTGGATTTGGTTTAGGGTAGAAGGGTGCTTCTCGATTTTGCTATGGTGTAGTCAGGTCGAGAGGCAGGATGGAAAGAAGGCGAGTTAGTCTTTACACGTAGGGAGACCGACAAGCCTTCAAAATCTGGGAATTGGTTTGTTGAAGTTCAGTAACCAGGGACGAGTAGACTTTCGCAAAGAGGTCGACGAGTCCCAAAAACTGCATTGAGTTTTTCGATTTTGTTATGCCCGAGCGCAGTGACTTCTTCAAATGGAATAGGCACGAAGCGCACGAGGGGGAGACTACAGGCCGAACTTGTCATAACCCCTATGGCTGAGTTATCACGAGAATCTGACAGAGGTTCCTTCTGCTGGCGAGTCCCTAAGGTTGTTCGCACAGAGAGAGAACAAGGATTCGAGCGAAGTAATTAGCTCAGTTGCAAGCTATTGAAAAACTGAGGATACATGGTATGGTACATAGGTTTAAATACCTCTAAGTACAAGTACCGTACCAGTTGCGAGCGACGCGTCGCGACGCATATCCGCAGTAATCAACAAACCTATCACTGAAATAAATATGAGTCAACCGGTGTCAGAGATGGGGGTAGGGATGGAAACAAAGGCTATACTGGCTGCGCAGTCAATGTGCAGCAAGGAGCCAGACACCAGAGCTATAGTGTAACATATGAGCAATATAAATGAGTCAAAGGAAACAGGTGGAGCAAGAAACGAACAAGTCGCCATCAAGGAGGCGGAGTGATGGATCAGAGATGATGAGTCTCGACAGGTATTGGAAATACCTGGACAACCAGAGATCCGAGGTGCCCTTGGAGCATACGCACTCCTAAGACAACGACAACGGTGAGGGACGCGACGAGGCACGTGACACACGTGACCGCGAGAAGTTGAAAAAGGAAAGACCCCTGACAGAAGCGTAACACCATCTCCCAAGTGGGCCCCCAAGAGAGAATTGCCCCAGTACAGAAGTCTGAGGCATCACATGTAAGGAAAATGTGGTTGTTGTCTGGATTATCATGATCAATCATCATCAAACAGTGGGGACTGACCACAAGATCTTTGATGGCCTGGAAGGCCTGCTGATGGTCATCATTCCAGACAGGGAACTTGAGTTCCATGGCCTTGGTTGTCAATGCATTCAGAACATGTGTGTGCTCTGCTAGATTGGGAAGATGATCTGCAATGTAACGAACAAGGCCCAGGAAGGCCCACATGTCTGTAACTGATCATGGTACTGGCCAATTGAGGATCCTTGTGATCTTGGAAGAGTCAGGCTCGATTCCATGAGCAGAGACATGATGGCCAAGAAACAGAACTTCAGTACAAAACAACTGAGTTTTCTTAAGAGAACAATATAACTTAGTGTCACAGAGGGCCTGGAGGACTGCATGAACATTGCATTCATGTTCCTTGAGCATCTGCAACCAGATAATAATGTCATCAAGATATATGTGGCAAATGTGACCAATTAGATGACAGAGGGCAGCAGACATCTGATGCTGATGAACCACAGGGGCATTCCACACCCCCATAGGCATGACAGTCCACTCATACAGGCCCCAAGGCATGTGTATGGCTAACCATTTAATGTTGTCTGGATGAACCTTGGTCTGAAAGAAGGCATTGGTCATATCCAGTTTTGTGAAATACCTGCCTTTGGCACAATCATGAAGGATCTCATCAATGTGGGGTAACAGGTGGTTATTGGGGATCATGTTCAGATTGAGTTGTTGAAAATTGTTGACCCAGCATGGCAACACAGCAGGATCTGCCTTTGGAATAATGAACACAGGCAAAGAGTGAGTACTATTGGAACACCATAAATGCCCTGCATCCAGATGTTGTTGTAGTAATGTTTTCCATGCTTTGCAATACTTCTTTGGACAATCATACAACTGAAGCTGGATCACCTTGTTGGCATCCCTGGGCTGGACCCAGAAAAGCACATCATCAGGCAGGGCATCTGAGGGTAGGATGTCACTCAGGAAGCAATCAGCAAACTCAACCTTGAGTCATGCATCATGCTTTGTCAGCTGCAAGGACCTCAATGTGATGCTGTACCATGCCAAATAACATCCACCCCACAGACCAGGGTGGATGCCACCTCCACAAGTTTGCAATATGCAGGCAGAACACTGTGTAGCTCTGCAAGGACTGCACCCTTAAGTTGCTTGACAGCTTGAATGGTAGGGGTTACTGGCAAGGGGGCAGGAGCCAGGATGGGAGTTGGAGGATTCAACAAGTCATAACCAGTATCTTTATTAATACATGTACAGAGAGTGTGTTCAACAATGAGCTGATTATGTGCAAGGAATGGGAGTCCTAACAAGAGTGGTGTACATAAATGGGGCACAATGATTGTGCAAACAGACCAAGAATGAAAGTGTGCATCAGGGGAAAGACAAGATAGAACAACATAACTCTGCAGAGACATGACCTCCCAGTTACCAGAAGAAAGTGCTACTGAAACATCAAGGGACTTGTGCAACTGATGGCGCTGTAACCCTAGCTTCAAGACAAGGGTTTCATCAATCAGAACTAAATGAGAACTGCTGTCAATCAGTGTCTTCACAGCTAGGGGGAAGGTCACGTTAGGTCCTTCCAGGAGGCAGGACCACTGGAGATGGGGAACAGAAAGAGGTGCAACATACCCTTCACCTGAGTCAGTTCCATCCCCCAGTGCAGCAGAGGGCATGACAACAGCAATGGCATCTGTGTCATCATCCACTTCAGTGATGTGGGAGTGCTTCACTGCAGGCTCCTCTTCAATGATTGTGGCAATAAGTTTGGCATGTTTCTTACAAGTGGCCTCAACATTGGCAGCAGTCAGTGCTTTGTAGTTTTTTGCATCAGGGAAATCATTTGGGCAATCATGCATGGTATGGTTTTGAAAGAGATGGTGGCACTTGAAACAGCCTGAGTTGTCCCAAAGGAGCTGGCATTCCTTGACAGTGAGGGCAGGAGGGTGAGTGTAGGTGTGACCATCTGGTGCCTTTGAACCCAACACTGTGGTGTTAGCTGAACAGCTTGGCTGAAAAGGTTTTCCACAAAGAGCTGCATCAAGTTTTGCAGCATCATGAATGCATTTCTCATTGAGCAAGCAAACCAGGTTGAGCCAAGCACAGAACTGCTTCTCACAGCAGCCACCAGTCAAGCAATATTCTGCAGTGAGATCTGGGTGCATGTGAGACTCTGGGTGAAAGTGAAGATGGTCTTCAGTGAGGTGGAACTTGCTACCCCATAACAGAACATTCAGACTCTCCACCTCAACAGCCCACAAGTGGAAGGCTTTATTACCCTGTGTCAACAAGAGCATTTTCTGTTGGATAGCTTCTGCCCAGTCACTGGGAAGCCAATATGTACAAACTTCATCCATAAACTCTGAGAAGGAGAGGGCAGTCAGTTGACTGCCATTGTTGCTAATCCAGTCCTGCACACAAGGATCCAGAAGGTGACCTGCAACTTTGGCAACCTGAATGTCCTCTGCTACACTTTTCAGCCAAAAGTGATTCTCACAACCTAGTTCCCAGCTTTGCAACCCTTCCAGGGTAATGTCACCTGCTGTCAAGAAGGGAGGGGTTTTTCCAGGAGTGGTATTTTTGCATCACACTACCTGAGACTGTGTTGAGGACATTGCAAAGACAGGGAGAACCACTGTGAAGCTGTCAGACAACAACAAGCTATCCATGGAGGTTGGAGACAGTGGAAGGGATGCTGGTATTGGGATGTGTGAAGGGGAGATAGGCAGAGACAGAGCAATGCTGGGTGGGGCCATGAGTGGTGGTGTAGATGGTGGGGGAGTAGAGGCAGCATGCAATGGAGACAGCAAAGACAAAGACAAAGATAATGGCAATGACAATGATGTCACAGGTGGAGGGTTATTCCCTCAACTATGGGTAGTCAAGGGTATGGGGACAGAGGGAACATGACAGGATGGCAGTTTGACACCTCTAGCAGGTGTTGACATGCACTATGGCACATTCAAAAAAAGTGGAACTCACCACTGTGGGGTGAGTACACTCAGAATGGCTCACAATGATGACAGAACATGGACAGGTGTGTGGGGATTAGACAATCAAGCATATACACTGATACAAGATGCTCAACAGAGCAAGTGAGAGGAAAGAGGGAAAAAGAAGAGACAACCTGCACATACATGCAGCACCAGTATATATACCCCCAGGGTCCAAACAGTACAACACAGCAGGAGGGATCTGCATGCCCAGATGAGGGCACAATTGAGGGAATAGGAGATGTGACAATGTGAAACAATAGTGTGAACAGTGCATGAGTGGCAAGTGGTAAGCAGTAAGGTAAGCATATGCTTACACATCAGCAGAAAATGTCAACACTAAGATGATTGTTATAAGTATCAGCCACATCTTCGAGCTACCACCTATCATAGTGGAACCTCCCATGTAATCTTGTAACAATTTCCATAAAATTGGGATCATTTTCTGGTGTCAAGTACCCATGACGGATAAGGAAATCAATCAACACTACAATTTGCGAGCATAAGTCTGACCCGATTTGGGACTGCAGGATGAATTCCATACCAAGAGCACAATTTGCCTTAAAAAGCCCCTGCTTCATCTTGCTAATGACCACATGGAGTGGAAGAAGCTGTCATGATGTGAGTGTTTCATTCAAGTGGCCGACCACCTCGCCCTCACGTCAAAAGATTCGACTTCACCGTCCGCAGGTTTCGGTTGGAAGAGCATGGGGTCAATATCGTTAGGTATCTTCATGTCGTAGACATATCTTAACGTGCCAGATCAGACAAATAAAGCGCGACGATCCTAACGCACATACTGGACTTCGGGTTGTAACCAACCTGCTGAAGTTCTGTTGTTCCTTCAGCCAAGAAGAGGCACATATATGGCTAGACTGGACTCACTGGAGGTAGTAACTGATGGATCCTGCGCATTTCGCGAGCCTCCTGGTGATATCCTCATCTATACTTGCCTCCTCTGCGGCCTCTTTAACAATGCTATCAAATGCAGACATGCCACTTGAGATGCCTCCCGCAGCGCTGTTATCTAGATACCCTGGCCACCTATTTGTTATGGCGGTGTGTCAGTGATGATCGAAGGCAGTGATTATGAGAGGTATTCACGTCTGCTTCGTTCGCGAACGGGTAGGGACCCATATCCGGATCTCGTTACCATTCGTCTGTTGATAGATCGTCATGTGTACGCCATACGTAACCACACCGAATAGAACACAGGCGGAACGTTCCATCTCGAAGGCGTAGTTACTATCGTCCGAATCATCATCCCCCGCCTTCGGGTCGTGGGCACGGTGAACACCAAAGGGATTGCGGTACACAGGGTACATCTCGTTTCGCCATTTCATCGGTCCGATGATGTCCTGGTATATCGTACCGCTGTCGCGCCATCCCTCACAGAGTTTCCTCATGACCTTTGTGCGCTTCGCAGGCGTATCGATCGACGGGTGGAAGCTCACCCGATAGGCAGTTCGAGGCACGCTAGCCGGATCGGGGATGACCCAAGATCCATGTTCTTCCTCGCGCAAGAGGTCTATGATTTCAGGTTTGAGTAGGCCTACCACGGGACTATCAAGTGACTGAGTTAGAGTCCATGGTACTAGGGTATCCTGGGCAGACGAGGATAAAGGGATGTCAGCACGGTGATTGGCGGGAAGTCTGAAGTTATCGCAAGCATTGACGAGGTCTAGGAATCCTAAATCCGAATCCCTAGGGTTTGTAGCCATCCCACCCAGAGTACTCTGCTTGGGGCAGGTATATTTACAGCAAGTTGTCCACGTGATCGAGCGCCGTGAGTGGAGACGCGTCTCATCGGGGATTCGTACTCGGCTAGTACTTAACTCAAGTCGCAGCGCTTGTAGGCCAGACGTCATGGCGTACTTCTTTGCCTCACCAGTCGACGTCGACATCAAGTTGGAAGGGGAGGAGTTGAGAAAGCAGGTGGACATGAAGACGGACAAAGACAAAACTATATCGTGTCCTATTTATTACGATGGCGACTCAATAAGCGGCCAGGTGGGTGATTAGGTTGATTCCGTTCCAGAACTTAGCACTTCAACGGCCGCGAAACGGGCAGGTAACAATACGTGTGAGAGACGGCAAGAGGGTAACCCATGACGGTATTAAAGTCGAATTCATTGGAAGTATCGGTAAGTGTGCAGTTGGTATGCCTTCGCACGAGGCTGTTCCACCAAACATAACGACACAGATCTGTTCTACGACCGAGGGCACCACCACGAGTTCTTGTCTTTGTCCCAAGATTTAGCTGCTCCAGGTGATTTACGCCAAGCCCAGACGTTTGACTTCTTCTTCAAGAATGTGGAGAAACAGTACGAGAGTTATCATGGGATAAACGTTAAATTACGGTGCGCAGAGAACGACCTCTCCTTTTACAACCTACTTAGCGGCATAAAGGTATTTTGTTCGAGTAACTGTGTCGCGCCGGCTAGCAGAGGTCACAAAAGACAAGGATATATGGGTTCACTCGTACCGCATGCCACCTGACAGCAACAATGCCATCAAGATGGAAGTCGGCATCGAGGACTGCTTGCACATCGAGTTCGAGTATAACAAGTCGAAGCACGTATAGTTGTACACGTTCATGCTGCGGAGGGCTTATATGGTCCCTCAGATATCATCTCAAGGACGTCATCGTTGGCAAGATTTATTTCCTACTCGTACGGATCAAGATCAAGCATATGGAACTCTCCATTATCCGCCGGGAAACCACCGGATCTCCACCGAATCAGTATAACGAGAGTGAGACCATTACCAAGTTTGAGATCATGGATGGTGCTCCAGTGCGGGGTGAGTAGAGGCTATGGGCAAAGGTGGGGTAGGCAGACTTGATATCCTTCACGCAGGCGAAACCATTCCCATTCGACTTTTCCTCGGTGGTTTTGACTTAACGCCCACGTTCCGTGAGGTGAACAAGAAGTTCAGCGTGCGGTACTACCTCAACTTAGTTCTTGTCGACGAAGAGAATCGACGATATTTCAAGCAACAGGTGAGCACTGTACGAAACAGCATCCTCTTGTACTGAGTATCGCCTAAGGAAATCACGATCTTTAGAATCCCAGAGGTGACGCCAATATTGCTCCAACGAACCGTCATTGACGATCGTTTCAGAACTAGCCTTCTTGCAATAAGAGTAGTTAATGTAATTCTTGTCCTTGTGAACAGGGGTTGTACCGTTGTAGTAGATATTCCCACACTACTGTTAGTTTGCGGAGGAAAATCATCATCGTAGCGCCAAGTCGCTCGTTCGCGATTTGTCGAGGCTCGCGTGATGGTAGTATGTCAGTCGTGTGTGCCCCGTCGTCTAACTAACAAAACGTGCAGAAAATATCTGTCCTCCAGCATGCCCCATCAGCACATCTGTCCATTCGTCCAGGAGACCCGACACCTACGTCACGGAACCTCGACCCTCTCATGCATCCGTTTGCCCGCGCTCGCGAACGTACGCGTGCGCTGAACGCCGCAAAAATGGAGAGAATGTTTGCCAAGCCATTCTTGAGAGCGTTGGAGGGACACATCGATGCCATAGAGGTACTATGCAGAAGGCCTGGCACGCTTAACACTGTCGCAAGTGGTAGCTGGGATGGAGGTATGTCACTCATATGTCTGCGTCGCACTGTTTATAGAGGAGCGTTGTACCAGGGATACTCGTGCATGACATCGCCGAGCAAAAACAGGTGCATCGGATACAAGACGCACACCAAGGAAAAGTATCGGGCCTGTGCTTTTCGCAAGACAACGGACTGCTTAGTTGTGGTGTGGATACCAACATCAAATTCTGGGACATTTCGCCACGGGACGAGGAAGTTGTGAGTCGATTTGCCTAGTGCCTGTACCAGATTTGAACCCTTTGATAGCAACAAAAACCACTCCATATCTTCTCCGGAAAATCGCCGTTCAAGTATGGTCGTCGCTTATGGTGATGTCGTCCCAACTGACCAGCATTGCTAGTTCAATAGATCATCACCGCTCCGACCCGATCTTTGCTACGGCATCAAATATTGTTCAAATATGGGACGAAACAAAGTCCGTCCATTCCTGGTTCGTTTGCCTGCTGGCGTCTTATGCGTATACTCTCTTGTCACAGAACTGCCGCTGTATCAAACCTTACGTTTCCTACTGCCACGGAGACGGTCACTTCTGTACGGTTCAATCTTAGCGAGACCTCAGTCTTGGGGAGCATCGGTTCGGATCGTAGTTTTACCCTTTACGACATTCGTTCCGGGAAGGCGGAACGGAGGGTAACCATGCAAATGCGAAGCAATGCGCTTGCTTGGTCGCCGACTTTACCCACGCTGGTGCTGCTCGCGTCGGAAGATCATAACCTGTATACCTTCGACGTTCGGCAACTATCCAATCCTACACAGATTTACAAGGCACATGTTTCGGCGGTCATGAGTTGTGATTGGAGTCCCACGGGACTCGAGTTCGTGAGCGGAGGATGGGATCGGACGGTGCGAATATGGAAGGAAGGCAAGGGCACGCGTCCGGAGGTCTATCACACGAAACGAATGCAGCGGTACGTTGGCTTGACATGCACTTCAGGGTATTGTAATGTAAACAATATGCAGCGTTTTATCCACAGTATTCACTGCGGACGCGCGCTTCGTGATCAGTGGGTCGGATGATGGGAATGTGAGGATATGGAAGGCAAAGGCGCATGAGAAGCTTGGGATCATCACTGCGAGGGAACGCGCGGCGATAGAATACCGTGAGAGTCTGAAGGAAAGGTGGAAGTATGACCAGGAGGTCGGCAAAATCTCAAGGTAAGGGAAACGTTCCATTGGCAGCCTTGACTGTATGATATTTACAATTTATTTTCCAGGGCACGACATCTACCTAAAGCTGTCCATGAGGCAGCAAAACTCAAGCAGACCATGCTCGAGGCGCAGCGGGTCAAGGAAGAGCGTCGGCGGAAACACACGCGTGCAGGAGAAAGCAAGCCAAAGGCGGAGAGAAAAAAGGTTGTTCTGGCAGAACAAAGCTAGTCGTGCGCTGTGTACTTTACTTCTCCATGCTATAGGGGTTTTGTCACGTGGTTTCCCCCTCTCGGTGCAAACATGACCAAACAATCGGTCCTGTGTTCGTCGGCGCCGTAATTGTTTTCTTCCTTGCCATACTGTTAACTCTATTCTGCTGTTCTGGGCCTCACTATGTCTGATACCGACGGCGACATTGACGACGAACTCCTCGAACTCGCAGGTGCAACGGAGAAGAAACGAAAGAGACAGTCGTCCAGTTCGAAACCGTCGGTAGTGAAGAAACGCAAGTCCAAGTGAGCCCAGATATTCCATGGTTTTGTTGTAGCGATTTCATACACCTTGCAGTAGTTTGTCCAGTTCCGAGAATGAACCGGAGAGCGAGGAGGGTGCGGAAGTGAATCCATACCCTATAGAGGGCAAATACGAGGACGAATCGGACCGAGAAAGGTGCGTGCAGCATCAGTCGTGGTGGAACGTAGTGTTTGACCTCGTGCTTGCAAAATTGGATTGTCCTTACTTGCTACGAAAGACTACTCGCCATGCCCGAAGTTGAACGCGAGGCAATCCTTACTGAGCGCCTGGAGCAAATGCAGAAAATCCAGGACAGGCGTAGGCTGCAAGAGATGATTAGACAGCAAAAGGGCGCTTCAAATGACGCCGATAGCGTGTCAAAAGCAGCCAAACGTACTCGCCACTCGTTTGCGCGCTTGCGTAATACGCTCTTACTTCATTTCATTCGTAGGCCAGCATGCAGTGAGAGGAGCTACTAAGGAGAAATCGCGAAAGCTTGACGAGCTGAAGGCAAAACGCAAGGCAAAAGATGAGAAGAAGCGTGTATGTTCGCCAGTGCAATGTCCTGTGCTCAGTCTCATCTCTCCGTTAGGTGCGGACCGACTCTCCGAAGCGGGATCGTTCTTCATCACCCATGGATATGGAGACCTCCTCTGGTGAAGAAGAAGACGGCCAAATAACCAAATACGAAGAAGAAGAAGAGAGGGAACGCAAGCTGTACTCTAAACAATCTGACCCCGATGACGAACCCGTTGCCTTAAGCGATCTCAGTGCATGTAGACTCACGCGGGACATGCTTGCAAAGTATTGCATGGCGCCGTGGTTTGAGGACTATGTCAAAGGCGAGTCCAAACACGAGGCTCCTGCTCAGCCAGGCTTAGGTTGTCATAAGGTGCCTGGGTCCGCTATCTCATTGGCAACGAGGACAACGAGCCAGTGTATCGATTATGCGAAGTTATAAGTAAGTGTTGGTCCCGTCCCAGGTGTAAAGGGTATCCAATATACTCCGGAAGACCTTGGAGCCAATCTTGTAAGACCGTACAAGGTAAACGACCAGACGGTCAACCAGATGCTTGAACTCAAACACGGCAAGTCTGTGAAGAGTTTCACTATGGACAAAGTATCGAATGCGATATTTGATCCGGTCCGTGTCCCTCTGTTCCTATTCGCGAGTAAGCCCTGAAAAGTAGACTATAGAAAGAATTTGAGCGGTTGGTGAAGGTTTGTGCCGTCGATGACGTGAAACTGCCCTCGAAACGGCAGGTAGAGAAAAAGGTTGCACAACTCGAGAAGCTCTCTACACAACCTTACACCGAGGTCTGCGCGCTCCATTTGATCCGTCTTACCATATTAAGCACTCTTTCAGAGTGACATTTCAGCAATGCTCGCGCGCAAGAACCAATTGAGTCATCAACAAAGTGCAGCGGCGATCACAATGGAGCGTTCACGTCTTATGCAAGCCAGAACGTTGGCCATGCGACGGCATGACTACACTGAACTTGAGGATATCGAAGCAAAGCTCAAGGAACTTCCTGCCCTACAGAATGTACGGGAAGAGGAGGAATCCCTTGCCGACAAACTTGCGAAGGTAAATGAGCGGAATCGCAAGGCCAATCTGGAAGCCGTGCGCAGGGCAGAGTTCGAGGCCGAGCGGAAACGCAGAGAACGTAAATTGGCTGCTGCTGGACTTTCAGGGACAGCCACCCCCGAGTCGAGCGCCAAGCTAAAGGCGACGCCAAGATTTTTTAATAACCCATCTAGGTTCGTCCTTCCTCACCGCATTACATGGTCTCACTTACATTTGACACTGTTATTCTATTCGTCTCATGCCATCAACAGGTCAGCAACGCCGAATGGCAGCGCAACTACAACGCCTATACTAGGAGCGCAATCAACGCCGGCCGTACGTCCGATATCGCCCATACCGACACCTGTTATCTCTACGTTGCAAACATCACCGAGCAAGAGTTTGGAAGCTTCGCTCATTGAAAGCATAGAAGTTGACCTTGGTGATTTCTGAACTTGATATTTCATCCATGTTGTTCGTGGCATCTCAACTTACCTTCCTTAACTTACTTGTCTGGATACACTTTTGTATATATGTAGGACCTGTTCACAAGGAATAATAATTGCTTTTATTCCAATGTTGTAGGGATAGCCGAAAATCCAAACTGGACGTTTTGTAAGAGTCTTGGTTAGTCCGGTTACCTCTGTCTCGTAGAAATGCCATTTGATTCTCGTGTTCCTCTGGTGCCCCATGACGTTTGTCTATTAGATTATAACATGTGCTGGTACATTTACATGAGAAAGCAATGCCTTAAACATACATATTATCGTTATCATCAGCTTGAGCCCGGCGGGTTTCAGGTTCAGCTTCTTGAGTTTTCTTGCGTGTGGCTGAGGAAGGTTGAGGCCTGCGTTTACTTAAAAGACACAGGAAGGCTTACAGCGTCGAGTAGCTTTCTTCTTAGCAGCGGCTTTCTTGCCTTGCACGCGCTTCTCAAAAGCGAGATCTTCTTCGCCTTGTCGTTTGTGCTCGTTAAGAATCTGCAATGCGAAGGGCGTGAACCATATCCCTATTATAGGAAAGGAATTAAAACATACTGATTCGAATTCATCGAGCTCTGTATCTGGCTTGTTGGCTGATTTATTTGAGCGAGCCTATATCAAAGTAAGTTTGGCGGATTGCATTTGGCGAGACTTAATCTCAAGATACTGGCCTTTGTGAGGATCTCCGCAAAACGGTCATAGACTTTCTGCTCGTGCAATTTGTCCTGATAAAACTGAAGCCCTTCTATAAGCTTCTTAACAGATTTCTCGGACTTGAACGGAAGCAGAGACAGGCAGAATGCGATGTCTCGCCATTGCCTAGGGTCTTCCGAGAAGCGGAAGCGTTGGCAGAGTTTCTCAACGATATTTTCTGCTTGTTTTTCCTGTTTAAAGGTAAGAGTCCTCCATGCTTGTGGGTCACATGTTTCGTCACCTTTTCGACGAAGGTGAAAATGTACCGCATAGTGTTCTGGAATATGTCTTCGCTTACACCGTGTTCACCTGTTGAAAGATGGCTTATGACTGCATTGCACAATCAGCACCCTGATAACACGAATTATGCGGAGGCAGCGCACCGTCGGGCAAGTTGTTATAGATAGCATTGTCTTTAGTCGACAACTCCGTGAAGAAAAGTTTCGCCAGATCAGAAATCCGTGGGTCTTCATCTTCCAAGCATTTAGCCATCTCGCCGAGTTGTCCCTTGACCTTGATCATGCCGTTCAGAATCAAGTGAGTGAGCACCATCAGTGTGTTCTTCTTAACAACCAAGTCATCGTCCGAAAGACCCTTGTACAACTCGTTGCTGTTTTCGTCAATGATATTGCTGAACGACACGGCTACATCACCCAGCGCGATCACGATGTTGCCCCTTATGTCAGGGTCCTTTGAAGTCTCGAGAATCTTGAACAGGAGATGATGATGGCGGTCGCAGAATTGTGAACTGACGCAGAGGAATTTAGCGAACGACAGCGTCGCAGCAGCGCGGAGCGTTCGATTCTGAACTGGCGTCAAACGAGCAGACTGAAGGCAGAACCATATGACTCGCCTTGAATTTGTGAGGGCTGCCGCAGACGTGAACAAGCATCGGTCCGAAGACAGCTAGCAACGACTGAGGTCCATACAGGAGTTCGGTTTCTCGTACTGCAGCTATCCGATCACCAATCTCATCTTCTACATTTCCGGCTACTTGATCTAGTTCCTCAGTCTCTTTTGATGCCTTGTTTGGCGAATTAACACCTGCAGCAAGTTTCTCCGCTGGGACCGTCGTCAGTGTCCGCTCCGGCCAGATCCAAAGACACTTACCCAGGTCCTTCTCGTCCTTCTGGCGTTTCCACTCCCGCTCAACGAGTTCGAGAAAGACAATGTGTTTAATTGCGACATGGCCAACTACGAATAAAAGTTGACTGAGCTGGAAAGCATCCCCCAAGTCCTTCTCAGCTTGATCTCCGCTCCGCTGTCTTGCACTTTGCGTGGCGGAAGAACTTTGAGATGCAGGAGCATATGAAACACTTCCTGTCTCAGTATCCTGGTCCATCGCATCCGGATCCGCTGGGACAGATGTAGACTCTTCTTGAGCTTGTGGTCTGCGAGCAAATGCACGCTGCGCAAGGTTCTTAATAATCCTGCCACATAGTTCACCTGGTTGCTCCCCAAGGGCATATATGGTGTTTATCACTTGTTCGGCCATTCCAAACCAATCTTTGGACCGACAAGGATGCTCGATGGCTTCTTGAAGCTTCCGGAAGATTGCATTATTCATCTCCAGACGAAGAGTTTTGTTGCAGGAGAGATCCTAGCGATCCTGTCATAATTTGATGCACCAGAAACCCACTCGAACACACCTTTCACTTTCTTCGCACTGCCATTGAGACGTTGCAGGACAACACAAGTATATCGCGCCAGCATAAGATCACTCTAAGAAATATTCTGGTCATGTGCGCGGATGAGAGAGAATTGTAGTACTTTGCCAAGTTTGCCTAGTCCAATTTTCAGCAAAATATCAACCTTTTCTTCCACGATGCTACGCTTCGCCAACGCTAGCATCCCTAGGATGATAACGGCGCCTCGGCGCTGATAAGCCGGTAGAGATTTCGTCGAACCTAAATTAAGGAGACTACATCAAGGGTCGACTGGCAATCATCGTAACCAGAAACAACTTGCTGTAAACCTGCCAGAGCTTGTTAATAATATCATGGTGGACCTGGTCTTCTTCCATCATAGTCTTCATCATCTCTTCTAGACTGGTTAGCTCGGCTAGCGAGGCATCATAGGTCAACCTTTAGATTGCCTCTGTGGTCAGATACGAAATGGGCGGTATTATGACGCATACTCGATCATGTTTTTCGCAATTCTGTTTACTTGCTGTTTTGGTTCCATGTCTGGGAGAGGATCGAAGTACAAATTCCGGTAGCACTCCAGAAGGCGCGAACGGACACCCTTGAGCTTCTTTGCCATCCTCTGACGTTTGGTTGTTATCCTTCGACCAGATAAGGTGCAGCATGCGCTTGATACCAACCTACAGGCCGTCAGTCGGTGGTGCGATCAGCCAGGTAAATCCTACCCCAGCCCCGTCAAACTCATACACATGGGCTACTCTGAAGAACTCCATGGCCTCGAGCACTTCTGCTTTGTTAGTACTGGCGAGTAACTGAGTGATTACTTCCATAGACCCCTCGATCATCCGGATGAATACGAGTGCTTCAGTGTAGTATTTCTTGCGCAGTCTGAGATAGAGCGCTTCATTGGACTCCAATGCCGCGAGGGCTTCCTGCTCCGATGCAATGACGACCTCGTCTACCACAGATTTCCGTGACTTTTTCGCCTTTTTGCCCTTTCCCTTTTTGGGTCTTTTGCTGTCTCCCTCGTCACCCATATTCGCGTCCTCTGCGTTGTGCAATTCACTGTCCACGTCCATTTCATCGTCATTTATTGCGTTCCTGACCATCCATAGTCAGCTACATCCACCAGAAAGTAACTAAATATTTCACCTGCTTTTACCCCTTTCAGCTTCCTCGTCTCCGTCGCCGGTTTCTTCTTCGCTTTCCTCATCGTCATCGTCTTCTTTTCCACCTTTTATGTCATCCCCGTCTTCATCTCCCCGCTCCACGGCCTTACCCACCGCTTCTTCCAACTTGTCCAGCTTCTCTTTCACCTCCTTGTAATACCCCTCCCACTTTTCCAGGTTCAGAGGCCCACCGTGCATGAGCCCCCAAGGATGCGTCATTATAAGTTTCGTAAGCAGAGCAACCGCAGCTTTGCGAACTGTGGAGGCTTTGTCCTCCAACATCGCAACTGCGTGTTTCGTTATTTCCAAACGTTGTTTAGGGAACGGGACACGCAGGTCGCAAAGCCTTGATAGCGTGGCAAGAACCTTGGAGCGCACATAAGAGGACAGGTCGAGGGTTCGGGATAGAAGGAGTTCAAAAAATCCGACAATTTGTTTGTGGGTCTGCGTTGTATCATTGTTATCTTCGGCACTCGATAGCTTCACGGATAAGCAACCCGATCACTTCCACCATTGCCATGCGCATTGGATACGACTAATGCATTGTCATTTCGGGATGAGAATGGCATATTCCACGTAGACCCACCTCTGAATCCAAGTGTCCGAGTAGGACGCTGATCTGCTTGAGCACTGATCTAGGTGACTCTTCACAGAACTTCACCAAGAAACGAGAAAACGCTCGGGGACCTTTCGTGTCCTGGGCAGTTAAAAGTCTTTCCTGCAATTTCGCGCAAGATCTCCTCTCCGAGCTGAGCGTGGTCGAAATGCTTTGCAAGGTGAGAAAGGCACTCAGCCATAGGTTCCGAAAGGTGTTCATGGTATTGTAATGCTTGCATGATATTGATCTGAGCTGCAAGGGCGTGTCCGTGGTGCTTGACAGCAACACATATAACCTTGTACACATTGACCTTGACGTTGTTCACTTTCATGTATTGTTCGTTCTCAGCAATATGATATGCGGGACGGGTCAAGCATCTTAGCATTCGTGTCAATTTAGAAGAAAAGTTCAGCTAGAAATAGGACATACGTGATAAACGCATCTCGTTCTGGAGTCGTCACCCATATGCGATGCGTCTTGAGTTTCATTGCCTTAGTAGAACAATTCGAGTGTTGCGGGGATCTGATCAACCCATGTCCACTCCTCCACTTTCTTGGCAAGTGCACGAGATCCACCTGCTCTACCTCCCCTTCCGCGACGAGCCTTGGGCTGTGGCGTGAGTTCGCCTTCTCCAGGCGACTTCACCTTGTCTGCTGCAGCCGCGAACCAGTTGAGGAGAAACGCGTACATCTCGAGCGGAGTCTTGTGTGCCAGTGACCGCTTGCTGGTCCTCCTCTTTCGAGTCACGGAATGCCGCGTCTAGTCTCGGTGCTGAAGCCTGATGCAATGGAGTCCAGCAGTTTGCTCATGCACGGCCCAGGCACCGCATCGGCATGTTTCAGCAAGCTTCGAAAGATATCAAATATCTCAGGATCGTTAATCTCATCAGAAGAGTGTGCGATGCTGCCAACAGCACCTAGAAACGCAGTCAAGGATAGTCAAACACAAACAACAACTAAGCCCACGTTGAAGCAGTTCAGCAGCATCGTTGTCGTGAAGATCGTGTTCGTTTGGAATCTCGTATGATGACGGGTCTTGAAACGCCTGGAGCTCATCTTGCAGCTCAAATGTGGAGCCCATGGTGGTTGTATACGACTCAGTCACTCTGCCCGCCGTCAGCGACAAGACGCGGTCATTGACGCGATGGCACGTGAGCGGGAAGGTCACGTGCGCTGCTCAGCCCTAATCGTAAGCCAGGAGTCTGCCTGCCGACAGCAGTCACGATGGTCAGTATACTACACATTGATTTTGCTATAGAGGTACCCTTACCGCTGCTACGACAGATCATCCCAGTCCGCTGCTTTTCGTGCGGAAAAGTGATTGGGGACAAATGGAATGCCTACCTCGAACTGCTCGCTAATGACATGAGCGAAGGGTAAGCATTATGTGCAGCCCTCATTCGTCCACACCATCCCAAGCATTGATGCCATTGTTTTGCGTACAGTGACGCACTCGACGAACTGCAACTAAGGAGGTACTGCTGTCGCCGAATGGTGCTCACCCATGTCGACTTGATCGAAAAACTCCTTCACTATAATCGTAAGCATTGAGATACTTATGCGTGCTCTCTTTCTTACCTGCCTTATAGCTATGGAGCGCTCGAAGGACAAGAGTAATTACTAAAAATGATGCACTCGAAGTGTATTGCCTTGATACAAGGATACTTTGTGTTGTATTCTCGTGTACGATGCCTCGTACATTGACGTGAGTTTCAGAGAGACCCGCTGGTGCCAGACTCAACGCGTGTTATGGACAAGTTCAAGATCATGCAGATTGTTCTTCGCTGAATGAAGCTGAGATTATATTAAACGCGCAAAAATTATACACAGAAGAAGCTTTGAAATTGAGTACAGCTAATCATGAGGCTACATTCCGATTCTGCACACGCAGCGCAGCCATTATGCTAACAGAGAAAATACCACCCGAATTTTTGATATCAAACCAAGCAAAGAGGAAAAAAAGCAAACAAACAACGAACATCGTCATACACCCTCCACCACTATTTTCTGACCAGGCGGGGCTCCCGTCCTCGCAAAGGATATCAGTGGAGATGCCGTTCGACTGCCAGTGAACGGTGGTGGTGGGACTCCAGGGCCATCCCCCGGACCTGCAGCTGGTGGTATTCCAGGTCCGCTTTGCGGTATTATGCCTGGGCCATTAGGAAGTGGGACACCGGGTCCGCTGGTACTGGACAAAATTGCAAGTGGCGGAGACATCCCAGGTCCACTAGGTGGCGGTACTCCCGGGCCGGACGGCGGGCCCGACAACATGACCCCAACGCCAGTTCCCGCCGCGGCACCGGATAACATTCCGGGGACACCAGGGCCCGTAGGTGGGAGAACCCCTGGACCTGTCAACCGAGGAGAAAATACAATAGGGGGCATTCCAAGTTTAGAAGGAGGTGGTAGTACTGGGGATGATTTCCGTGGAAGAGCAAACGGTCCTGGGGAAGAAGTATTCATGGATGATGGCGGAGCAATGGGATTGGAAAGGTTTGCATTAGTAGGTGATGTTGGAGGTCCGGAGCGTGATGGGGATACAGTCAGTGAATTAGGTGATTGACGGCGGTGATGGGCCTGTGGTGGGTTAGACGACCGATGAGGCATACCTGACGTCCCAGGACCACCTGGAATAGGTGAATGATATCGCTCAGGAGGCGGAAATGCAGCGCCAGGCCCTCCAGGAGGAACTGAATTGCCCACTTCGCCATGTGCCCAGTTATGTCGAGGAGAAGATGTCGCAGAGGCAGTATTTTGCGAAGGGCCAAGTACAAACGAGGTTGCAACAGGTCTATCCCGCTCGTCATATGTAGGGAAAGACGGATGCGTAGACGACGGCCGGCTCCCGGGAACACTACCTCCCCCGTACTTGCCCTCCTCCCTTTTCCAGTGCGTTTTTGATGACGGATTAGCAGAAAGATTGATGAGCTCCATAGTCGGTGTCTGATGCCCCTGTCCGGATCTTATCCCAGGACCTTCCACACCGACACCTGATGTAGGTCCAATGCGCAACTCTGGTCCAGATGAGTGGTGGTTATGTAGAATGTGGTGGTGGTGTCGATGATGATGTTGGCTGACATGGTGATGATGGGGTGCAGCCCCTGTCGGCCCATGCGGATGCTGGGTATGTAGATGTGGGTGCGGGGAATGTGGGTGCTGGTGCGGATGCGGGTGCTGATGTTGATGGTGCGGGTGTGCGTGTGGAGGTTGCGAATGCGCTTGGTGACTTGAGTGTGAGGAATGGGAAGAGTGAGCAAGGTGTGGTGATGGGGCCAAGTGCGTGTGATGAGAATGCAAGTGCGATTGTTGGTTTTGGGGACGGGGTGCAGGAGTCAAGCCCGGCTGCGCTTGAGATTTATCTCTGTCCCCCCAGTCAACACGTTCCTTTTCCCTCTCACGATCCATGATATCATCCTCTCGTCTGCGCTCCGAAAGACCCCAATCTGCAGGACCAGAGGGCTTCGAGTTCCATCCAGAAGACTGATATCCAGGACCAACGTTCGGTCCAAACTCCCTGTCTCTTCCGCGCGAGTTTATTTCTCCGACTCGCTCCCGTTCACGTATTTCTCGATCTCGCTGCTGTGCAAGTTCGCGAGTGTGCTCGCGTGCAACCAACTCTCGTTCCCGCTCCCGCTCCCGTTGCGCTTGGGCCTCCCATTCGCGATCAAGCGGGGGTCCTGAGGAGCGCGGTATCCTCCCAGACGTTGAAGGACCACCAGGACCAGGGGGATATGCACTTTCCCGGCCAGCACTGGGCTGGAAGGTGCCCATAGACGGCTGGCCGAAACCTGCAGAGTCAGTAGGACCAACTCCCGGACCAGTCATCCCAGCGTGATTGTGTGATGGTGGTACTGACGTCCCTGTAGCGGGCGGAGGAACGGGGCCAGGCTGAGTTACGCCTGGGCCAGCACCTGTTGGGTAAGTTTCGGCTGTCGGAAGGCCGTTCATCCCAAAGGGTACCCCAGCTACGTTGTTGTACCCTGTCGCCGCTCCTCCAGCACCTGGGCCAAACCCCATCCCGGGGCCAATGCCAGGTCCAACCGCGGGAAAGCCCACGCCGGGTGCGCCAGGAAATATGCCATACGGGTAACCGAAGCCGGCTCTACGGTGCTGAAAGATATATTCGAGGTCCGCGGCGATGTCAGCAGGCGAGGCTGTTGGAAGGTCGGGATATGCTGTGGGGTTGAGACCTGGAAATTTTGCATTAACAGACCGAGAGAAGAACTGGATGTATTTACCTAGCCCGTTGAACCCAAGAAGCAATCCAGAATTCAGAGTGGGGTTAATCGCGCCGTCGGGTGGGGGTCTCTTGTTTGCACTGGAGATAAACTGTACAAGGCGTGACGGAAGCGGGGTCGCATTCACAATTTCGCGTAAAGATGGCGCCGGTGGCGGGTCGCGGATTGGAACGGGAAAACGACGAACTGTACAACGTCGATTAGAAAAAGTTAAAGCTCAGTAACATGACAAGAAACACGATATGTCGAAGACGCCGATATATACTCCAGACGGAGATGCCAATCGGGATAGACGGACTGTTCGCGACGCAAGGCGAACCTCAAGAGGGATCTTATCGCTTCTGCAATTGAAAGAAAAGCTTACCTGGAATAGGCCTTTCCGCTGCTCGCCTCTCTCTTTCGAGCTTTCTCCGTTTTCTGTTTGTTTCGGCCATCATTTCCGTTTGAAGTTGGTCGCGTGTATGCTGTAAACGTGCTAGACATTAGCTATGCCATCTGGGGCAGGAAGCACAGGAGAAGAGGAGATGAAAAACGCGGTAACGATGATTATATGACAGGAATCCAAGCAACACACCTCCCAGTTCTCCCAAATACCTGCTTCCTCTTCCTTTCGTTTCCTCTCGAGAGCCTGAACTTCATAACGTCGTTTTCGTTCGGCAAGCATGAGTCTTTTGTCACGTCGTTTCGTCAATTCCTCTTGAATGTAATGTAATTCGGGATGAGCGCCTAAGAAGTGGACGTCAACTAAGGAAAGAAAGCCTTGCAAAGTGAAAAAGTCTGCATACCCTCCCAAATCAAACTTTCTTCCCATGCAATGCCTTCCATCTTTTCTAGGAACACGCGTTCCCTGAGCATAGCAAACTTGATTTCGATGGTGGCGAGGACATCGAGGGCCTCTGCGCGATGCGCAGGCTGAAGGTCGGGGTCCTCATCCGGCTCTTCTACCTCTAGTTCTGGGTCGTCTATATTAGATTCACGGTCGTCTTGAACGTTGGGATGTTCGTCGACATCTACCTCGCCTGGTATGTCGCCAAGCTGGTCATCGGGCTCAGTTGGAGAGCGTTCCTCGTCGTCGACGGCTTCCCCATCTCCCTCCTGTTCTTCTGCCGCGTCACCCATAGTGTCACCGTTGGGTTCGTCGTCTTCTTCCGGAGTATGTTCTCGTGGTGACTCTGCATGGGAGGGTGGGACTGACAGAACTGTATCCTGAGTAAGCACCTGCAATTCATGAGATATGCCATCGTGGGGACTAGCGTGTGTGTCCCAGTGGTTGACGGCAGCCAATACGGCAGGTCTATTTGACCTCGCGTGGGGCGGACGAGTGACGCTCGAGTACCGACGATCGGGGTAGTCTTCTTCTGTAGCAGATCCTTCAGCGTGATCGTCCGCGTCGACGTCATCGACGTCCATTTGGTCTGCTTCGACGATGTCTGGACCCGCGTTCACAACCTTGCTTGGTTTGACATCAGTCTTTGATGTACACGGTTTTCGGATACGCGAGGCGTTAGAGGTGGATTGGTGTGAGACAGGAGAGGGTCTTTGGCGCGGCCTGCTAGAAGGGCTCACAGATTCGTCCTCCTCATCGACGTCCTGGTCATCAATAGGGTCATCTTCCTCGTCCTGGATATCTTCTTCGTCCTCGCGGTGACCACGGCCACGGCCGTCTGGGTCGCCTTCCTCGCCTTCTTCCTCTTCCATGGCACGCGGGGGTGCTGGCTGTTCCTCTTCCTCTTCTTCCTCTTCTGCGTCTGGGGTTGCTGATGGTGACTTTGAGTGTCTTGTTGCGGTAGTACTGCGGGTTGTAGTTATGGTATTGTGATTCGAGCTGGGGTTTGCATGGGTGCCAGTGGCGGGAAGGGCAGCGGGAGTGGTGGTGGTGGGTTGACCGGGATGCGAGCCTGACGCCGACGCCGATGACGGGGTCTGTGCAGTGCCGCCCTTGTATGCCCAGTCCCACATCGGAGCTGGCACGATTCCTCCGCGTTTCTTGCGCCTGCTGTTGGCCGAGGCAGCGTTGGCAGACTTGCGTGCATTTCTCGACCTGGACTTGCGCTTTGCCCCAGCTGTAGCCTTGCGGATGCGGGGAGGCGGGCCCTCTGGACAGTCTGCATGGCTGATGCTTACTGGCCGAGCAGTGGAGGACGACGTCCGGATGTCCGGAGGGGTGCCGTCCTCGTCAGCCTCAGTGAGCTCAGACAACTCGGACTCGTCCATGGGGTCTGGCATCGGCGACGGCGACGGAGACGGCGACGAAAGCGGATCAAGTGAGCCGGCGACGGACGGCGTCATGGCAGGCAGAGCTTATGGGCACAGTGGTCCTCTCACCTCGTCGCTGCGGTCGACGTCGAGCACGACCTGATCTCACTACTTTCCAAAAACAGCTCAATACCTCACGTGATACACAGTCTATATATAGTAACACTGTCACAACCCGACCCACTCACGATACCGGGCTATCCGCGCCGCATTCCGGTCCACAATGGCCTGCACCTCCTCACCCCAGACCTCCCTTGGATCCCGTCCAGCACCGAGACACTCCTGCGTGTGCCTCTCAGCCTCTGGGAACTCGAACACGACGCAGTTCTCCAGCATCAGCCCTTTCCTGGCGTCCCATCGGATCAACTGTGGTCTTGATGGCACAGCGTGAGGCGGGACCACGGACCGGCCCAGATGCAGATCTTCAAATATCAAGAACGCATCATCTTCGTCGATGGGTAGCTTGCTGTGTTCGACGCGTCAACTTCACAGCACGGTCAGTCGGAAAGTCAGGTCGACCACTCACTTCACTTGCTCGCCAAGCAACTTGGACTCGCGATGCAGCAAGTCTCGCAAAAGGCGTTCATACAGCTTTCTCCGATTTTTGATCGGAAGAGGATTCAGAATGGGCTTCTTTGCCAAGTCACAGATAATGTAACTGGCTATATGCAGCCCAAACATGCTTGGAAGAGGTCCTAAGACACAAGTCGGAATATTATCCTTGGAACAACCAATGCCTACAGATATACCAAGCACAGGCAATATCCGAACCCTAAAATCATCGAACGCATTCAACTCTTTCACGTTACCTTTCTCAAACTCCTCTTCGGGGAGCGGCAATAGCTTGACGTCCCCCGGCACCTCGGTAGAGTAAACCACAGGAATACCAGAGGTCACACCCTCCAAGCGCAGCCTTCGCCTCACAGCTCGTGCGAGGGGGTCATAGATAGTATAGGATATATCGCTGATCTGTATCCGCGTAGGGTCACACTTGGCACCAGCTCCCATGGAGGAGAAGACCTAAGTCGACTTCGGTGAGATGCGATGCAACTGGAAGCCACGACGAACACCTGCTTACACGAATGTTATGGTCATGGCAGTACTTGAGTAGATCCACCTTGGTCGTAATGTTGTCGATGGCATCTTCACAAAATGATCAATCTCCAAGTTATATATCACGACGAATCCATACCAACAACCCAGTCGGCACCCTCAAGGAGCCTCCCTCCATCTTCTTTTCTCCAAATTTCTATCCGGCTGTCAACATCCACCCACCGCGAAATCCGCCTCAAAGTCCGTTCTATACATGCTACCTTGGGCGTCCCAACATCCGCAAGCGTCGCCGTGGCGTGCCGGTTAAGTGAAGACAGTGTGACATAGTCAAAGTCAACAAGTCGTATTTTGGATACTCCCCTATAACGAAACGAGACAAGTCAGGCCAAGGGCGCAGAACTGACAGGCAGCGCTGCGTACGATCGAACGAGCATGACGGCTGCCCAGCTGCCAACACCACCGCAACCCACAATAACCACAGACCCACCACGAACGCCTGCCATTCCTTCCTCTCCCAAGAAAGCATAGTTCCGAGCAAGCTGTTCCCGAATGAGGTCTTCATCATATGTACCATTGCTAGCAGTTCGTATGATGAGCTCCTCCGCAAATACTTCATCCTTCAAAACAAGTTCACTCTCCACTACGGGTGGTGCGTCGTTGTCGGCAGCGAGTGACCGGCGGATTTCGTCGTCGAGATTTCGTCGGCGTTCTCGCTTGGTGTAGCCATTGTACGCGGTGAACAGTGCCGACGTGACCAGGCAAGCTGAAAGTGCAGTGATGACTAGCTGCGTGCGATGAGATTGGATCGTCAATACGTTCATTGGCAGAAAATAACCAGCGCATGTTGTGCTGCTTCGGCTCTTTCCAGACTCAAATTGACCCTAATTAACCGCTACTCGGAGTAATAGCCTTGAGTGGGCGCCCCGGCGGCCAACAGTTTGAAACCAGTAAACCCATATCAAAGCTTCCTCCCGTCTAACCTCGAACGCACGTCTGCCAATGGCTAGCCTTCATTATTTCCCGCTACTTACAACGTGGTTTCATCCGACTTTTAATTGAACAACCACTCGACAGGTAAGGTATACAGTGCGCGGTGCGTATAGTACTATAGATACCAATACATATCCCAGTAGAATAGTAGTGATACATCCCAGCCCAAGTACCGTCTTCCAGAGCCAGGTACTCCATTGGCTGCCCGTCATGAATCGTGAATACATGAATGGAGGAACGTCTAAAGCGTCTTCCTCCTAAACTTCGATATGAATCAATCGTTACGTGACATAGATCAGCGTGCGTCGTGTCGAATTAACGATGCATAGGGTGATGAAAGCACCAACTAGGATGCCAGTGATGATACAGGAAGCTGTTTCGACAAATGAATGTGATGGAACCCTCGGGGACTCTTCGGATTCGGGGGGTTGAGATTCCAGCCGTGGGGGACCTTGTTCTTCCCGCCGGGTTTGGCTTGGTGTGACCGTTGGAGTAGAAGAATCAATGACCTCTTCAGAGGGCGGCATGACCTTCTCCTCAATCTCTGTCAAAGGAACCTCGGCCACGCTTTCTGAAGCAATATCGCGTGTAATAGGTGTAGGAACCGCTGAAGCGGGAGTTGCCCCCGATGTTGACGTGGACGCCCGCCGGCGGTGTCCACGGACGGACGGAGGTGGAGACGGGAGCAACACGAGTGTATAGTCCCCATCCTCCGTTTCAGTGTCGGGATATATGCAAGACGATGATGACACCTCTGCTTCCTCATAATCGTGCACCACACGCTCAAGATCCGTGACAACACCTTGTAGTCTCCGGACCTCCTCGGTGAACTGACTCTTCTGCTTCTCCCGCACCTCCTCGGCGACCGCCTGAACAAGGGACCTAATCACTGACCACATCTCAACGTGATCGCGTGACCACCATTGGGCGGGCCACTGGGCAATGATGAAGGCAAGCGTACATGCGGTATCTGTTGCATTTGTAAAGTCTTTTGCGACGACCTTGTGAAACCAGGGACGTAGGAAAGCCATCGCCAGGCGGACCGACCCTCCTGTTGCGTCCCGCAGGCGGTGCTCAGTGGGGAGTCGTAGGAATTGATCCGACATATCCTGGCAAAATTGACGGAAACTGGGTTTCCTTTCCATCGTGTCCCAAGACAGCGCGTCGAAGGGCGATGAGAGTTTTGTGTCGCCAGATTCTTGTCGTAAGAAGTAGGAGGGAAGTTTGTCGATAAGGGAGAAAAGGGGCACGGAAGCCAGAACAGCAGGGGCTGGAATAGACCCGTACACGAGGACATTTTGCGATTCGAGAGCATATCGATACCACTTCCAGTAGTCCAAGTGTCTCCTGTGTAAATAAGTGTGAGAACCGTAAACCTCAAAGGTGGAAAGCAGATCGCTTACTCTTTAGGCGTCCCCTTCCTTAGTAACTCCAGCGTGGTGGCCGCCCGACCAGCGAGCATCCTGGAGTCGATCACAGCGATTTCAATATCGTGTTTAAGACCGACTCGATAACGTCGGGTAGCTTCCCAGATTGCCCAGATGAAGCTGAAAGTGGTCGATATAAAGGGTGATTTGTGCCTCTGCGTCCAGTCCATATGCAGGGCAGCGTCCAAATAGGAGCTGCTGGAGGCGATGGTCTCGCCAGGACCAACAGCGGGTGATTTCAGCTTCTCAGCGGCGAGCGTAAAATGCTCATTGTACTTTTGCCCCACGAAATAAGGTTCGACTGTGGTGACGCTTTGCGAGTGAGCTTTGGGAGTATAGACGCGGAACAAGAAGGGGTTATCTTGGATGAGCCGATCGAAGGAATGTTCGGAGCTGAAGCCATATTGAGGTAGATAGTTGGAAGCGATTGGACTCTGCGGCGGCCCCTGGCGAGAGTCAGAGTTTGGGAGGCTGGGGGAAACGACAGTCATTTCTGACGAGAGCAGTTAGTGGAGGGGACTCGAAGCCTGGGGAGTGACTTCTGCGTCATTGCGCCTTAGGGTTTTTCTATGAATGCTCTGGTACCTCGTGTCTGCCAGGCGTCATCACTGCCTATCCCGGGCGATGGGTGCACAGTTTTCATCCCGCAAACACGCGTTCCTGTGGCAGGAAGGGGAACACGTGGGTTTCATGAGTATCTGAAACCTTTGCACCCTGCTGGCAATGACTCCGAGTCGCCACCACCAGCGATGACGGATCCGAGGTGTGGAGAGCAGCTGCGTCCTGAGTTAATTTGAGCAACGGAATGTTGAGTGGACCCTACTTTCTGCGGACTCCCGGCGCCCGGGACTAGTCCCAAGGCTAGGCCACTTAAAAGAGGCTGCCAGCAGTGAAATCGACCTTACAACAGGAGAGACAAAAGCCCCAATCATTGAATAATTGCAAGAGACAAGTGGACGACCACACGCACTAGACGGCATAAGTGATCGTGGCGTGTGCAGTAGGTAATTATTAGTGGGCTCGACCTTCCAGACTCTACCTATGGCATCGACATGGTGGTCACACCAACTTGTCTGACAGTCATCGTTATAATCACAGTGGCGGCTATTCAGGATGCCAGTGATGTATCAATTCGCTAACGGTCTACAGGCACTCCGCTTGCGACCAGCATCGAGGAGGCTGATCACCGCTGCTGGGCTAGTGCTCTATTGCCTAATGTACGCCAGTAAGGGCGTTGTAAGAGGCTTACCCGCTTAACCGTTTCCCCGGATGCACAATTGTGCTGATTATCTGGACTTACAGCTTACAGACGCCTGCTATGGTCACCTGCACACCTCGTGCAAGATAAGCGATAATCGATGCACAATCGCACACGTTTCGCGTGGGTACACCGTCGCTGATCAGTTCGACTAAATCTTTCGAGAGACCTGTGGAATGGACTTATCGCATCTCGTCAAAACCCACCATAGATGTTTGATGGGCGCTGAATCAAGCAATCCACGCAGCTCGGAGCCTTCGCCCACACTGCGACAGCACGAGACTCATCGATCCTACAGCAATCGTTAGGTTACATAATCTCGGGGCTACGCGATCGTCGCACATGAAACCCACGCGTCAAATGGCATTTCGCTATCATCGCAATCTCATCTTCCCGAACATCACGCAGACTATGATGTTTTTTGGGTCTGCGCGTGGACGCTGTCGTTCTCGTGCAAGCTTCGTCTTCACCTGCTTATCGTGCCAAAGTGGCCACCGTACATGGCAATGTAAATTTGCCACAAAGCCAAACCAGAGAGCAAAGCTTATATGGACAACCAAGGCATATCAAGGCGATCCTATTGGTATTAGTGCTGGAATTCAGGATAGAATTTCTGATCTATTCTCTTCACGATGTTTCATGGCAGTTCATGGTTTCCGTGCTTCCAGGATAGTGGAGTTTATGCGGCTGTTTTGCGTGCCAATGTCTTTCCAGCGGACCTACTATCAGGAACCTCTTCTTGGTTCCTGCTCAATGCTCACACCGTGACGCCTACTGCAGAAATCACGGTGCTAAGATGGACAAGGTCGATGCCCGTGCCCTCACCATTCCACTCGCGTTACCTCTGGATTATATGCCTCGAAGTCACCATGATACACCTGGTTGTGCCGATCACCAAGGACAGAGGTTGATGGACTGTGTATATCCGCATCAAGTCCGATGGTGGGTATAGGTTTCGCTGGAGGTATCCATCAATCGGAATTCTCTCAGGGAGGGATCGCACACATTGCGAGGTTTGTGGCGATTCTTTTAGCCTCCCAGAATGCAGCGCATCTTTATAAAGCCGTCGTGTTCGTGGGTTTGATCAGAGCTGCAACCATGGTCGCCTCCCAAAGTCCGTTCATGTGTGCTTTCAAAATTGCTCGTGCTCCATGTCGTGTGGTACCCTCTTCCAAACGCCCAGTCGCTACCCTATCCTCGCGTACTCTTTTAGCTAGTGAGGCTGTAGCGCCTGCACTGCCTGCGATCTTCGACATATTCGATGCACCCGTCAGGCTGGGAGAGTCGAGTAAGCAACTCGGACGATCCAAGGTTGAGGAACCTGTTCTATTGTCTCCTTCGGCTACCCAGGCCGGGCGACAGAGTTCTATGGGTATTTACAGTGCTTTGGGAAACCCTACTACCCTCCCTCCGCCAATCATTTTTGATGGACCAGCTCGGCCCCGTCACCTTTTATCCGATGCCAGTAAGAAACCTCGCCAAGTTCTACGAGGCTCCCTACTGGACAAAAATAAATTCTCCACCCTGTCTTCTTCTGAATCAGAGATACTCTGCGAGATTTTCGACGGTCCTTCACGCCTCACTCGGTACAAGTATCCTGCAGTGCCAAATGAGGTAAGACGATCGCTTCTTGATCTCTATGCAACCAATAGTTTACTCAGTTACTGACATCCTAGCCGTCTTCGTCTTACCTTCGCATTGCTTTTACCCTGTGCTTATCGGGCACCTTCGGTTGGATGATATCCCAAGAATGAACGTTTGAACCACCTTAGAATCTCTGTCAACCCCCTTCCCCACACATGGGTTAATGTCCTACTTCTACCGCACGAATATCCCCTCACTCTGGGGCTGCAACTCGCTGCCGTGCGGGGCGATATAACAAGGGCACTCGTAGAACATAGTCTTACTGCAGCTGGATCGATCCGGTGCGGAGCCGCTCAACGGGTCGCTCTGACAGAAGTAGGCAGACGATAGGCATAGACAACACAACGAGCGCGTTGACTATAGTAGTTATTGCAACTACGTATGTACGACACCTGCAGTGTCTTCTCACAATCCCATCTGGTCCTCGAGATAATTCAAGTACGCCATTGCCTTTGCTCTGAATGTATCCTTCGTAAACGTGAGTACGTTCGGGTCCTCGAATGTCAACAAATCTGGAGACCAGAGCTTCCACTGAGACCAATAAAGACCGGACAGCAATGACGAAGAGGCCCCAGACGGGTAACCTTGAGCGGGGACATTAGGATCGAGGGTGTAAGCAAAGTTGACTGTCGGGATATTATGCATTTATTCCCAAAAGAAAATGTAGGGGAAGGACTCACTGAGTGCATCAGCACCCACCCAATCTGTTGTGCCGGTCAAGTCGTAGTACTCCTGCAGGTCACTCTCATGGAAAGAACCTATTCCAGGAACAAACTTGTCCCTCTTCCAAACTTGCATACGTCGTGTCAGTACTCCAGGCTCCGAAAATTGAGATTAGACGATATGATACTGACTGTAGCTCCAAACATTCTGCGTCGTGGACAGGATGCTCAAACTATATCTACGAGGGGCCTGAAAATAGAAGTCGCCTTGGAATGCGGCAATACGTTTATACTCCGGACTGCAGATAGAGAAGTGATCAGAAATAATTCACTCGGCAGGGTAGTAATCTACATACGTAAGGGTATCATTCGTGCCCACACCGAAGGGAGAGCCCTACAGATATGTTAATTTAGAAGGGAAGTATCAAGAATTTAGCGAAGGAGGCTGCCTACCTGGGCAGGGTCGTCGGGATACAACTCGCCGACAAGGTTAATCTCAGCGTCGCTGAGCCCGACCAAGAACCTTCAATTGGGGCTATCAGCCAAAGCCGAACAGGCAATGATCTGTCTTACACGGTGCGTATATATTGCAGGAACTGGTCGTTTGTCCTATTAAAACCTGTTGTCAGACTTCGTCGTGGCTCGCTACTTGTTGCTTACGTGACGTTGAGACTGTAGAGAGAGAACAAGCTATAGGACGTCATCATCAATGTACTGGGAGTCCCTTGCAAACACAGTCCACGTACGTCCCCTCGTCGTCGACATCGCCAAGGATGACTGGAACCTGCAAAAATCATTACGATGGGAAACGAGGGAGGAGTACGATTAACTACTTACCCTCGCATATTTGCCTGCTCTCAGGGACTGTCGAACGGTCTGCTTCAGAAAGACATCGTCGACAAGCGGTCCCCAGGTAGAGTTGAGAGATTGGTAGGAGAGTAAAGCGGTCATCTGCGCGGTAGCATTCGCGATGGCTTCGTAGGGTGCTTCCCTGAGGCAGCCGAGTGTGTCACTTGCGCCACCGCAGTTCGTTTGTGCGATAAGGAAATCATAATTTTCCTGCTGCTGTTCTGAGGTAATTTCGTGTATGGGTGCGGCGGACCCGGATTCCTGTATGTATCACATGAGACAACTTACAAAGCCGTTAAATTTAAAACGAGAGGTACCATGATAGCACCTTGGAACAATCCGTTCAAATCCCCGTCATATGCTACCATTTGCAGCATCGCCGAGATAGATCCGGCACTTTGACCCCAACTGTGCTAGTCTTCAGCTCACTTAATGATAAAAATGCGTGGTAACGCACATGATCACTTTTCCTGGGTCTCCGCCAAAGGTGGAGATGTACTTCTGGACCCATTCAAGTGCTAGGCGCTCTGAACAACAGGTGAACGTTTATTCTTCTTTGCTCTGTAACGGACACCTACGGTCGTACAACCCAAGGTTACCCAAGTTTGCTTCTTGCACTTCTCTACCGCCAAGGAAACCAAAAGCTGTGTGGGAAGTCAACCTTTCAGGTGACACGACTAGTTACAAGGTTTACGTACCATTGAGACGATAGTTAAAGGACACATAAACGATAGGAGTTTTTAAACTCATGGACCGCGCAATTATGCTGGTCCCATTGTAGGCCGATGCATCTCCTGCCATAAACGCACCTGAACGGCATTTCAGAAACGAGGGAACACTACTCCGGCAAGTAGCACTGCGTACCACCATAAATCCACTATAGAATCCCATTAACATCTACTTCTGTGTGTAAATCTGGGAGTAGCACGTACTACAACAACAGGCAAATTAGCACCCGCAGAAACGCCAGCAGGCCGCACGACGTTTGCATACAGGCCTACGGAATCACCTAAGGGCCGGCGTTACGGCTTATCAATTGTCACTCACAGTCTTCGGATGCAGCCACAATCCCCTGGGGCTCCAGTTCACCCAGATAGGTGGTCACACCAGCCAAGCCAGGATTATTTGGCAGTGGTACTCCAGGGGCCAGTAAGGACATTTGAGGACAGGCGTTACCATACCAGGTAGCATTCTTTACGCCGCTAAAGGAAGAAGGCGGTACGGGATTGTTCAAACGAAGGTTTCCGACCCTGCGGAAGTAACATTAGCAAACTCGTCCAGAAACAGGGGAAATGGACTACTGACGGAGGTTCAGCGAATGGTACACCGAGGAAGGACTCTGTGCTGAAGGCGGAGCTAAACCCTTGGAAGCTACCATAATCAAGGGTCACTAGAGGCGAGTCCCTTTTGGCAAGACCCGAAGTAGCGATAACAGGTATTAAGAAGAGTGCAAGAGTGGTAAGATATGTTAAGGAATGTCGTGCCATGCCGGAGGACCTTACGTGGGTGCACTGATAATATGTCTTCTCAAAGCCTTACATCTCACCAGTTATATCACAACCATTGTAAGTGAACAGATGCCCAGATAATACTTCTGACCTGGCCATTCCCATATTTTTATCCGGGACACCGGGAGGCAGTAGGAGGCAGTGCCTGAATGTGTGCGCCTTCATAACTTCGTGAGAATGGAAGAGGGGAAGACACCCTCAGAAGGCTATGTAAGTAAATTTGATGTTGATGGAAAAGAACAAACGTGATGACCGTTGTTAGAAAGCGCGATCTTCTCTGCGACATTGCCGCACTTGGCAATGGACGAAGATATCCGATTCAACGGAAACGGTAGTTTTCCTTAGTCCACAGATGCACTTTTAGGTGCACTGGCCAGCATCTGCAAAACGGTCGAATTACAGCATACACTTTGGACAGTTTTTGAATTGTTCGAGAGCTCGGCAAGTACCGTTACTCAACTCGGCAAATGCTAAGCGCTCGTCGAGTGCTCGTCGAGCACTAAGCGTTTTGTAGATGAGACAGGCCAAAAAACTGAGCTCGGCACCGGTAAATTGGTCGCGATGCTTCGGGCGCAGGCATCTTCAAAATCCGACAACCTGATCCATTATTGCTCGGCACTTTAGTAAATTCTGAAGATCGAAGTCTGTCACCCTAACGGAAGTTAATGAAACCATTGGTGTACGGTGAGTACCAACCAAGCGACAACTTGAACAAGATAAGTATGGACGGCGTTCCTCGCACATGACCACCTGCTTGGTCAAGTTCTCTCCCACAGTCCACGCAACCGCACGACCTACATTCTTAGTTACTGGAAGACTTCAGAAGTTGACAATGGGTTCTCCAACGATCCTATATAAAACATTCTACTACTCAGGAATACTTATCTGGGACATCACTCTTTCGTTGTTCAACCTCGTGTTATTCAAACGTCCTGTGGGAAAGGTAGTACCAGAAGGAAACCCGGGTTATGCGGGTAACTGGCCAGAGTACAAACCACCTCAGGAAGGGGAGAGCCGCTGTTCTTGCCCTGCAATCAACGCCATGGCCAACCACGGTGAGAGCAGTGCTCGACTTTCATCATGAAGCTAACACTTTCTGTCCTGTATAGGGATCATTTCTCGTAGTGGCCGGGGGATTAAATTCACTGACCTCACTCGCCAAGTCCGCACGACGTACAACTTCTCGGCCTCTTTCTGTTCATTCGTGCCCCACTACGCAGCTTTTATGCTGAACAAGAGCTACAGCAAAGACACGTTCGATCTCGAGGAACTCGACCTGCATAATGGCATAGAACACGATGCTTCTCTCACGAGTCAGTCTGCGGGCATTAGTCCGAATATCTTCCGTTGACCATGAGAATTAGGATTAGATGCAGCACTTCAGCCGGACCAGTCAAAGGTTCACCGGCCGTTCATCGAGGACCTGTTCTCGTTTGCAACGGGAAAGGATCAGGGACAACGGGTACTCACGACCAAAGACTTGTCAAGATTTTCCGGAAAGCGCCGCGCGGGAGCGAGGGCAACTAACCCAATGTTCACACTTGATCTTTCTCACAAGCTTTTCGGCAGTACTAAGTAAGTTACCCCGTTTTGATGATGGATGCTCCCTTATCCCACGACCCGCCAGCACAGCCACTCTGCTCACTGCCTTCGGAGGGCGGGTGGACGACTTGCGAGCGTTCCTTCTTGAGGAACGTCTACCACAAGGATGGGAACCACGTGTCCGTTATCGATGTGGCTTGACGATTTTCACATTCAATCAGACGATCGTCCCCTTGGAATTGCGCATTCGGGAATCTGACTGGGAAGGTGAGGCCAGTGGGGTTGGGGAAGATAACTGAAAATTCCACCACACAATTCGCGCCTTCACATGCAATACTATGGTTCTCAATATCTATGCTTTTCTTGGTCTGCAACCAAGTGTGACACCAGTCCACTTTCCAACTTCCCATGGTCACTTGGAGTTCAGGGCTGGCCGGGTGCTCGTGGGAGTCTAGTCGGCTGCATTAGTTCCATGAACCCGTTCCTAACGAGAGTGACACGATGTGCAGCACTTTTCCAAAGATCGCGCTCAACAATAAAATCTTTGCTATTGTAATGACGGTAAGACAGTACGTTCGATCAACTAGAACCAGCGATTTAGTGGCTCAGGATGATAAAGAACCCTCACTAGGTAGGCCTAAGCATCGCAGATCATCTTTAGGTGCCGTCAGCCTGTGTGACATGCGCACTAATGATGAGGGATGTGGAGGGTCCGTGTGAATGGTAACCCCCACCCCTTCAAGATTCAAGCTAGTCACAAGTTCTCTGCTTCGATAAAGTCGTAAATTAAGACTGTAAACGTTCGCACATGGTTCAATCCCAGTTCTTCGCCATTGCAGTGTATGGACAGCACTCACGACAAAAGAGCGGAAACAGAGTAAACTGTAGTGTCACGATATCAGCGCCAGGGAATTCAATTGCATGGCAAGTTAAGCACCTTTTATCTGCACCAGCGTCATCGCCATATACAACGTGCAGCGCGGCCAGAGAAGCAGCTGAAAGGAACGCCTCTCATCCAACTCTTAGCCCGCAGTAGTAAATATCACTTACCGCAAGGAGCTCTACGATCGAAAATAGGCTTAAATTGGTGTACAGTGAGTGGAAGGTCAAAAGTGTTAATAGTGAGCTATGAGCTACCTTGTCAAGGCCCCAGTTGCAACTATATATATCAAAATTTGCATAATCACCTGTGAATGCCTGCGGGCTAGTTTTAGGATGCCGGGTCAGCAGTTCCCGTACTCACAGTTCCTGGCTCAAGTATTGTCTAATGTGGAGGACAAGAACACCTGGAATCGATACATCGGCAAGGACAGCGACGCCCCCCCATATCGTTAGAGGAACCTGGAGGGCGTTCGTCAGTGACTTGCATAGATTTTGAAGCAGGTGTCGGACATAGTCAAGTTTGCCAAAGGTTTGCCATAAGGTATGAGAGGCAGCACTGGACAAAATTGGACCCTGTCGCGATGAGGCAGGAAGAAATAACTTACACTACGCCCACACCAATTCCATCCATCGCTAAAACGTTATAAGCCTCAGGTGCCGTCTGAACGTTAAGGATGTACCGAGGCGAGCAACATTTATAACGAACTTAGACAGTTTTTAGTCCGCGTCGTCAAAGGCGATATAGAAGACCTGACCAGCAAGCAGACAATCCAAACGTTCCTAGAGACTGGAATGGTGATAAGAAAATGTCAACAGTCCCGTGGTCGATTGGTTCCTTACTCTTCCATACACGCCAGATGTAAAACCTGAAGAGGGTCATTGGCATTACTTGCATTCGTCACAATATGCAATAAATGCAGTACGTACGCATTGACCATCATGACGATAACATACTGCGAATTACACAGGGATCTTAGCTCAGCGGGAGTTGAAACGCGCGGACTTACCCCGACTGCATAGGTGGCCTGGAGGTCCGAACACTAGGTATTTTTGGTGGATAGCGAAAAAGAAATTGTACACACGACTAGATCCCTAAGCATCACAACAAAAAATGAGCCGAAGGGGGCGCAGCCGGTCAAACCGCCTACCATCTAATTATCCCAATGACTGTAATGTTGCCGAAATCGTCTATCAGGTATCCCTTGAGAAACGACACGGCAAACCCGCTGTGTAAGGTATCCAGGATCCTGGACTCCATAAGTAAGATCGGCAAATCGCGACAGGCAGTCACGACTACCAAACAATCGTGACCTAAACAGGTTCCGTCAGAGCACACCGCCTAATACGGGCAACAGATTGCCAATACCCAGCACTTCAGCAAGACCGTGTCATCGGGGTAATTTTGGAAGTAAAACAGAAGTTGTGCACAGTTGACACCGTAAAGACTAAGAGTCTCATCAGCAGTATTGGTGGAGGTGCGTACTTTAATCACTCACAGCATCGCAAAGAAAGCACATATAAGTGGACTTTCCATGAGTTCTCGAACGACAGAGGAATCATTTTCCATGACTATCGTGGGCAATGCGCGAAAATTGAACGTGAGTATTTATCGAGGCAAAAAAGGGCATCGGGTCAGACAGGAAACTAGATGCCGTTCACCTACGTTTCCGTCAGTTTGGTGCACATGTGGAACATTCGCAATAAGATAGAGAAGGCCTTGAAGGAGGATAAAGGTTCATCACAACGAAGAGGCCCTTTCTTCAAGTCTGAATTGCGTTAGTGTTCCCAAATCTTTGGGAGTAATGTATGCTCTCCGGAGACTATACTTCAACTACATACTCATACTTCGGCGTCTTTCGCACTCACTTGACGACGGACAGCTCTCCGCTGGCCTGACGAGACCAAAAACCGCAGTCCATCTGCAAGTGGCGCGACGGTTGTGGGTTGGTCCAGCAAACACGCTGGAGACGTTTGGCAGAACTTCGACAACCCACAGGCGAACAATATCAATGTGCCGAGATCCGAGCAAAAACGTTGATCCACTCACTAGTGACCACCACGAAGCATTCTGGAACCAATGATATAGTCATGTTCCCAACGGTAACGATAAGTATTAAAACGACCACGACGAACCAACGCCAGTGTGGGACTGAGTTAAAGGTCTTCGACCGGTCGTGTATGCAGCAGACAACCCTGTTCGACGACCAACCCACGACTGGGCGTTGTATAGGCACATTTCAATGTCGGACTATAGAAAATTGAAAATGGAACACTCAGAGATGTCTGTGAGAAACAATTCACCGTCAAGTGTCGGAACCTGCGTGGATCGAAACACTCCAATCTACTCTCACATCCGTCCCGGTGACCATGTCTTTCCTTGCAGGGTCCGTTGCGGGAGCCCTGGTGTCCGGAGGAGTATGTTGGCGTGTTTCTTCCGCACGGAAACCGGAAACCGCTCACTCTGACCTTCGTACTAGGTTTACTACGGGTTCTCCAGTCTAATGCAGTCGAAGTACGTCGTCATCACGCTGTCAAGGTCCACGTTCCCGAAGCTCATTCTGTCTGTTACTTCTGCGTCGTAGAACTACCCAACTCCGCACCGAGTTCGTCTTTCGTTTATACACATTAATGTCACTGTACATCTCACTGACAACCCTTGCTTTCAGCCTCCACTTGTTGTCTGAACGTCTCGTAATTGCGTCAAATATCGTGCCACCACCACCCGCATCCACGCGGATCGTGCATAGGCCTTTCCTCACTCTTGTCCAGTCCCAGTGGAACCAGGAAGTTGCATCTGTGTTTGCTACCGTAGCGAAGTGGGAACAGCACGCGTCAGAGTGGGGTCGGAAACTGCTGTACGGAGAACGCTCATGAGCGTAAATCTCTCCTCTGCCTTGCTCAAGTATTGGTCGGGTGGGGTCGCCGCCGCCAGTCTAAGTGCGCGGCTAGAGTCCGAAGTTCGATGTATTCCAAGTAGCACTGCAGTCCACATATATATCCTGTCACCATTCGTCGTACAGGCACTTGCAATAACTGTGTGCTACAATCTATGTCATATTGTGCCACCTCGCCTGCGATATTCAGCGATCGTAACCATAGTTATACTGACTGTTGTATCCTTGTGGGGCCGGAGGTGGGACAGGTTGGTGTTGGGATGAGAATCGTGCACCCACGCTCGGTGGGGGGGCCGGGGGTGCAGGAAATGTCGAGTTACCCGAGTAGCCTTGCGTGACGTACGACTGATAAGAAGGCTGGGACGGCGGGGGAGGCGGAACAGCTGGCGATTTCTGAGATGGAGGCAGCGGCGGCGGTGCGGAGGGTTGTCGTGCCGCAGGAGTGGTCGGCTGCGAGGAAGCGAAAAGCCCAAGGCTCGCATACGGATCCTGAGGAGGATTCGGGGGTGCATGAGCGCTTCGTGTGGGCTGCGGGGGTGGTGGTGGCGGGAAGCCGTGTGATGAAAGACGTCGAGGCTGCGGGACTTGCGGAGGTTTCGGGGGCGGCGGTGTTGCGTGACGGCCACTATGAAGGTTCATAGAGGCAAATGACGCTTCGAGCGACGGAGGGGAACGTGGCTGGGGCGGGAGTGGTGGTTTATTATCAACGACACGTAGAGGTTGTTTCGGGACAGATAATCTCTGCTGGACTTCGGCATGGCCAATGAGTTTTTCACGTTCGACACGACGTTCAGATGTGAAGGACTTGGTATTTCGAGCGAGCGAGGCAGTCAACTCCCTCAACTGGTTGTAGAACTGTAGTCCCTTCCTACGCAATTGTCGAGACGTTAGATATTGATTCTCTCAAGACAAACGACGTACATTATGCCTTCACGTACATCCATGTATCCATCCCGTGCTCGAGAGAACCGGCGCACCACATCTTTCTTCCTCTTCTCCTGCTCTTCCCATTTCTTCACGCCTGGACCGCGGCTCGCAAGGTCCCGGAGGCCCTTCCATAAACTCTGAATCTCCTGTAATGTCACTTGTTGGTGGTGGGCAGTAGCTGCAAGCCGTTGCTGATATGGCCGGAACTTTTCAAGTTCAGTGGCGAACAGAGCAGGTTCTACGCCTACATTCCGGCGGTGGAGCAGAAGAAGATGAGAGACATCATCGGCTTGGATCTGAAGAACATGAGTAGGGACTCCACGACATAGCAGAATGCCTACCTTCTCTTTCAAGTCTTTGAGGACCTCGCCTCGCTCGTAAGAGATCTTCTTTAGTCGGCCCAAACGCTCCTCAATTTCACTGGTGAATTGTCCGATCTTTGCTCGTTCCTGCTCATCGTAGCTGACGTCCAGTTCCAGGAGATTCTGCGACGGAACAGCTGGCTGTAGACTAGCACGGAATACTTCCTCCACTCCAGGTGACAGTAGAAGTGATATGTCACCCTTGACCGAATCCCAGAGGGCTACTACTTGCTGATCCGACGTCGCGGCTGCGTCGAGGGCAGCCATGTGTGACTTGAAACCTTGCCTCAGGGCCTTGTTGAGACCTGCGGATGGCTCTTGGGTCCATAAATGATCATATTTGATCCGCATAGCCTCGCACTCATGTGATTCCGCTTCCAGCTCCCTCGAAGTGTTTTCAAGCTCGGCCCTAACACCCTCCTTTAGCCGTGTTAACTCTTGCATGAGAGTGTCAATGCTTTCCCGATCTTCTATGACCCCTATATCCTCCATCCACCTTCGCACGTCCAGCGGGATTGGTTGCTCCTCCGTACCACCGTTTGCCATGCCCTTGAATCGCGCAAGGCCATCTTGGACGCCCATGGCTTCTAGCACGCTACGTACCTCTACTTCTGCACTCTCGGCGTTCTCTACCTCCTTGCGGACAAGCTTAGCCTTCTCTTCTGAATACACACTAGCACTCTCGTGAATGCTCAGTGGAATGAGCTTCATGAAGATATCGGAACCTATGACTTTCTGGACGTCCGGCGAGCTGTACACCTCTTGAATAGAAATAGGGGTTGCAACGGACGCTTTCTCAATGGGCGCAAGTACCTCGGCGGACGGAACAACGGCGTTGTATATCAGATCGTTTTCCCGTTGTACTTCGTTCTTGCGTTCGGTGCAGAATTGCGAGTGAGATTTGGTGCGGTCAAGGATGGAAGGTCCAGCATCGGCGGGCAAGGTCGGCGATACGTGTGAAAAAAGGGCAGAGAACGAGGAAGCGGAGCGGTGGGCCTCTTTTGCAAGCGACTCTGCGAGAATCCAGCGAGCAAGGGCGTCACCATGATTTCCCGCCTTGCTATCAGCTTGCGCACGGTAACACTGGGCAAGTGAAGCGAATAGCTTCGACTTGATCTGAACATGTGTTAAATTGAATTAGCTGATTTAATCATACGGGTACATGCCTGTACCAAGGTGACCCAATTGCGATCGAATATGCCCTTTCCCTGGAAGTCTTTGGCTTCCTCGCTCAATGAAGCGTACATCGAGGCGGCCTGTGAAGCGACCTTCGATATCAGTGCACTGGCCTTCTTCTCATCTATACACTTCTCCAAGAAAACCTCTGTAGCTTGGGCAAGGATGATACCAACCAAGAACTTGATCACCTCACGACTGAGATCCGTGGAAGGGGCATGTAAGAAGTTCTCGTTGATATACGTGAGCATCCCTGCGCACGCACGAAAATAGTAGAAAGCGAGTTTGATGCCCTCCGCTTCAAACCTGCTTTGAGACGAAGCGATAGCAGAATGCGTCGCCGCGATCTGGAAGAGAATCGATGCTTTCTCAAAAGCTATTGACGTCTGTGTCGTCACTTTATTCGTGAAAGCATCGTGCCAGGAGAAGTTAACACGAATCTCGGAAAAGCGTAGTTCGAGGAGCTCCAGCTGTCCAAAATACTTGTACAACAGATCACGACCTGGTATCCCTATCAGAGCTGCTCCGTCGACACTGCCTCGATAGCTGCTCACCGGTCGTATCGCTGCCCGCGCCCTTGACTGCATCCTGACGACATCGTTGCAATGCTTGACATTCTTGGATGTAGTTATCTGGATTCTCCCCATATGATTTGGCGATGACATGACGTATTGGCGTTGTCCAGTCCACGTCTTCCGTGGTCTTCTTAGGAATCGATATCATAGGTAATTGGTGCGACATGTCGGTGAGGTTAGACGGTATTCGTTGCCGCACACTCGCTTAGATATGGTGTTCAGAGAGCGCTGAGCTGCGCATGGGGTTCTGTTGCCCTCCGGCAGTCCCGAATCCCGATAGAGTTGTGCATGATTCGTGTTTACCTGTATTTGTTCCGGGCACTCAACCAACCAATATGTCCAAGCCGACATCGAGCGAGAATATCGTTAACCAGAAGGCAGGTGAAATATTCCATCGTTACTACAATGTCGACTTACAATCAGTACAGTATGACCGGTGTCGTAGGTATATTAAACATTCCTGCTTTCACGGTTGCTGAAACCAGCACAACCACGTCGTAGTTGCCGACCTGCTCGTTAAAACGTGTGTCCTTCCGTGGAAGTTCCGTCCACTCTTCCACTGACTCTGTATGTAGTGGCGTAGGTTTCGGTGTCGGTGTGGTTGCATCGGTCATCCTTTTCCGGAGTTCGTCCATTGGTATCACATCACTCGGCCTACCTTCACTCATGCCTCTTCTTCATTTAGGACGGACATGGCCGGTAGCATTATCAACCGGCTTCGGCATGGGTACTGCATATGCAGATTGCGACCGACTGTTTAACCCTGCACGTATCCCTGGCACCCGCATCATAACACAAGTGGAAGAAGAGAGTAAGTGAAGGGTTGTCTCGCACTACTGGGATGGAGAGTTGGGGGTATTGCCAAGCCACACTGTCTGGTTTAATCGACCATTTACTAGAGCATAGTTCGTCTCTCCATATGACATAAAACATCAACGCATCACACTCGAGGCTCTGGTTCTCCGATTTTTTCCGCTGCCTCGGCTAGGATTTCGGGCTCTCTGGGAACTTCGTCCCTGTTTGGTCGAGGAAGCGTTCGTTGAGGCTTTCCAAGCACAAGGCGCTCATACAAGACCACTGACCGACTCGAGTTAACGGGTTAACTGAGGTGTGGAACGACGTTGTAAACGCACGTGCAGTTGCCCCCATGATGGGCACCGTTACTATGATGGTTCGTAGCCTTCGGGCTTGAGGGTGTAGCTTTTGTGCCATCTTTTCACTCCTAACGTTGATGCCGATCGAGCTTGAATGGTTCAACGTTGGAAATTTGGCAAGTCGATGATTCTAAGCAGCACACCGTGAGAACAAGCTTCTCTGGACATCCAAATAGGGTTCCATACATGGTAATTACAACTATACTGTCATCCACCTGCTCATATACTTATGATTCTAGTACCAAACTCTGCCGCGGAATAGGGGAAGCTGGGACCAGGACAGCTCATAAACATCAGTGATGTGGGCGTCTTTAACCGGTGCGCCAGTGCTGCCACATTCTGGGGGGTGAACTGTTCCTCTACCAGTACCTAGAGAAAAGCAAGTTGGCACTTGGTATAATACAGCTTGGAATGGAACCTACTAGGTCGATAGTAATTTCGGGGAATGCTTCATCGAGAACTGCAGTAACCATGTAAACGAGGATGATCGATGAAGCATAAGGCACAGAACGCACTCTTCGCGTTGGCTTCCAACTCCGGGAGCATCGTGCCTTTACAGAAGTATACAATCTTCAAATGAGAGGTTTCCTCATTTTGTCGCACATAGAGGATCATATTGAACAAGTAGTTAATCTGGAAGCCGTTGACATTTTCACCCTCACCGACGGTTTACCGCGAAGCCACGCACGTACCTCGTCAGTATTAACGAATATACATACTTGCTGTCTCTTCAAGCGTCTCATAAGACTAATCAGATAGGTCCCCCAGCCACGGATCAATTTCCACTCGTGAAGAAGAGGTAGCTGATCGTATGTCCAATACATCCAGCGTAGAATGGTAACTTTGTTGTTCGCGACAGAGAATGCTATAACTAATATCGAGAAGTACAACGAAAACCACCTGAGATAACGTCAGTTGTGTAGATCAAGAAGAGGGTACCAATACAGACGTACCCTGCGATTGCAGGATTTATGCCGATATTTCCGGCGAGTACGACTGTTGAAACCACAATAGCGCCGATTATAACTGTCAGCGAACATTGCGAAGCTCGAGGTAGGCGTGGCCGGGAGAATCGAAGCAAGATTAATGATATTGGGAACAGCATCATCACGGCGAGCCACGTCACAGAAAACCTTGGGTGTACCGTCGAGTCTTCTAGCTAATACAGGTAGGCATGACTCACATCTCAGAGATGATCGTGAGGTTCGCCCCCGTGCTAGCATAGATCGCAATGCTAAAGCCAATAAAACATAACACAGACATATAAGGCGCGCCGGTGAGTGGTAGGGGCGCTCGAAATATACGGGGCAAAACACGGTCACGCGACAACTCACACAGCAACTCACAGGCGGTAAGAACACCTATACCAATGAGATAGTTGAGTACTAATGTCATTGATCCGATGCCATCAACCCACCAGTGAGAACTCCAGCACACAACACAACGACGGCATCAACAGCTACCCATATTCGCAGCCAACGCCCTGCCACCTACTCAAAATTACTTGTCCACCCTGTAAAGCAAGCTAGCGGAGGGAAGAAATGCATACCTTGTCTGCTAGCACGCTGAGAACGTTGCCCTGACTCTCCGCACCAAGCGGGACTAAAGCCAAAACCAATATGGATATGGTGGTATTGAAAACGAGTGCAGACAAATGAAGGGTGCGTAAGACACTTGGGTAAGATCCCTGCCTCATCTTGGCGGCGTACGCAGGAGCGCCTGGGGACGACGATGAGTACTTGGAAGCTCACAAGAACTGGCTGCGTACACTCAAATCCAGTAAGCCCTAGCATGCCTACACACGCCCCATTGAAAACATGTCTGAGAACACTCACGGGGGTTTCGGCGTGGCCGGCGGTCCAGTTTGCTTTCAGTTGTGATGAGCCAATAAATGCCCAGGTCACAACAGAAGCAACTGATAAGTATAATTATGGTCAGGAGCTTCAACCGCAGCATCCGTGAGCAAGGGATGCGAATATTCGACAAAATACCTACATGAAAGGATAGCACACCGCTTGCGACCCTAGCACTCTCTCTAAGTCCAGCTAGGCTTACTGCTGTGAAGAGCACAAAGACAAGCAACGTTCCAACGTAGAGAGGAAATGGGATAGCTAATTCGCCTGCAAGGTACGCCATAGCAGTTGCAGCAGATGTAACTGCCGTTGCCGCGAAGTCCAGTAACAACAATGCTGCTCCGACAAGTGCAACGAACTTCGTCGACACATTCAGCCTAAGGAATTTTAAGTTTAATGTCTCGGAGCGGAAGGTATAAAACGCCAACAGGTATGTATAGGGTGCGCCACTTATAGGAAGAGCAGAACCCAGTTCTTCCATGACAGGACGCCAAAGAAATAGCGATAATGCCGCGACAAAAAGAGAAATTGGCGAGCTTGATAGACTTCAGCAAAGTCTCAACGGAAGAAGATAAGAGCCCACGCACTATACCCCAGATATGGCAAACACGCTGGGTAGAGTGTAAAACACGCCGCCTAGAATGTCGTTGGCGGCGAGTGCACTTGCTTCAAACAGACCGAGCACCTGCTGGTTGTGAAAATTGTGCCAAGTATCCTTTCCATGGGAAAGGTCATCTGGGGTGAGGTTAACTTGCGAGATGGTTCCCCATCCAGCAAATTCAAAATCATTGGTAAGGTTCGAGAATCGCGAGGGAACGGCTGTGAATTTTGGTTCCCCTCCAGAACGAACGCGTTGACGACGGAAAACGATAGCAAACTGGGGTTCGTCGGACGCGGGTAGTGAAATGGAAGTTGTACCCGCACTAGCTGTTTATTGCATTAAAGATCGTCGAACCCCCGAGGGAAAGAAAGACATTACCAGCGAGTAGAGAGGTGTGTTTGAGATGAGGAGGCTCGATGGTTATCCAGTTGGCGGCTACCTCTGTCATGGTTAGTCGGCCTTGCCCGACGGTCTGTCTTCGAGGTAGTTGGGAAGTAGATGCTCCCTCAAGAACTTGGGTGCCTGAGTTTCTTGTTGGACGTTGGTCACAGGAAAATACAGGGAATTATGCAGTTTGGCTCGTCACAGGAACGTACGAAGAGAACAGGGCTGAAGGACGGAGGAAAGCGAGACCAGCACGTTTCCCCTGCAATTGGGTTTATCTTGGAGACTTCACAGGATCTCTCAAGTCCCAAGGTGGCCCGGAAAAATACCAGCAGCACGCGTGACGCGTCTTCATTACGCGTCTCATGCGCGTCTCCGACCTTCGTTTATGAGCACTCATGTGTAGATTGGCGTCACTACCAGAGATTCTATAGCCTACTTATGTACATGTACACACCACACCTCCTACGTCACGGTGTTGGGTCAGTCCCGGGGCCTGTGTCCGCTACAACGTAGTAGCTAAAGAAAATGATTTTGAACGTGAGTGCCAGCGCTGCGTGGAGGGTGGCGACTAGAATAATAAGAAGGCGCGTCGCTTTGGCATCAGCCTATGAATGCAGGTAAGCATACTATGATAGGTGAGTGATAAGACAATGTTGTACTGACACTCGCCAGAATCGGGTAGACATTTGCGACGAGAAAATAGCCCGACAAGCCGAATGCAATTCCTACGAGCACCCAGCGCACGATCCAGTTCGGTATCACGCACAATATCTAGCAGTTGCATGAGAGTTAAGACAATTCTTTTGCTAGTGAGTGTAGGACTCACCGAGACTGGTATCCACACAAATAGGCCGTAACCCCATACGCCGAGGGCATCCACGATACCCCACTCACCCACACCCAAATAGCGCAAGACAAGCCAAAGTCCTATCGGCAACCCAAACGCGTAGGCATACACTATAGTCGTAGCCAAGCCCAGCAGGGCAAAATCATAGTCATACTCTGAGCCAGGGGCAGACAAGTAACTGGAAACGCTAGCAGCCAGAGAAGACGACATAAAAAGTGCGAGAATGAGCGTCGTCGGGACCCAGAACGTTCCGTACAAATCCAAGCCACCTGAGAAGGTAGACAAGTATGAAGATGACCATGGCAGGAGGGTAGTGTAACAGCGTTGCAACACGGTGATCGTGTCAACATCGAAGTATGGCTGGTAAAACTCGACGGACCAGAACCCCGCGGGACTCTTCCTACTGGGAGCGTCTGTCATGTATCCTGACATAACCGTCCATAAGATGTATACTTCATACCCAAGGAACAGAGGCATACCTCGATCAAGGTTACGGGGTGTAGGTTGGCCACCCCCTGCATTCGACCCAAGGAACGCTGTAGCTGCATGGTTGAAATGGCACACAGGCTACGAAAAGTGCACGCACATTTGAACTCGAGCCCTTCTGGTCCTTCTTCAAGACGCTGGGTGACCACGATACATCATATCGGCATTTGGAGCGGCTGATGAAACTCGGACAAAATACGCACTTCATCTGCTTCGACCGAGACGTACGCCATGTTGCAGATCACTGACTTCAAAGGGGGACGCCCTGCGTTGTCTAAGGCAAGGCGGTACTAAATTATATCGGGGTCGCAACCGCAGGAAGGACCCCTACCACCGCACTACTGATATATTTTAGTCTCGTCCAAGCCACATGCATATCTCAAACCATCCCGAGTCAAGAGGGAAACCAAAAGCTAATGTACAAGAGATTTACAATCATAACAGTATCGTGAAAGCGACGTAACCACGTAAATGAATACAGCCTGCAGGCCGGGGGAATCGTAAGGCATGATATCATGACATCGAAGGGCTATTCCTCGGCGGAGCTTTTCAAACTTGCTCATTGTCCTGCTTGACCTTGTCCGCCCACTTGGACTCATCCACGCCCCACTCCAGCGGTAGGGTCGTCCGGGTATTGAGGGCAAGCATGGTTAAACCATACGGTTCACGAACACGCGATTCCCATCCCTCAGGTAAGCGCTCTTCCAGTAAGATCGTGCGCAAGTCGTCCGTTCGACCTCCGAAGATCCTTAACATAGAAGCCGAACTTAAAATCACAGGTCAGTCTTGAAAATAAAATGTAATATAGCACGCAACCACTCACTTGGCACTTCCAAAAAGCTTGTGGGAAAAGGCCTGTGAATAGTTTGGATTGTTCGCCTTGGATTCTGCACGACGCTTGCTTAGGATCCTTGACATATCTTTGATCTTCAAGTAGCTCCCGTTATCGCCCGTGGCAAAGGAAAGTAACTCTTCGATGTACGGAACATGTTTCTCCGCTTGTTTTGGTTGAAACTCAGTGTCCAGTCCTAATGAGTGGGGTTACGATTATCAAACACCATTTAGCGGGGGGTAATGGTAACTTTGACTAACGAGTCAGCGACGCATCGTGTTCGATGCCATTATGCAGGTCAATCTCCTCGAGATCGAATGTATCCTTGCTGTGGCTCCTTTTTAACATGAAGGCCGCATAATGGGTTGTGTAAGAGCAGAAAGACGGTCCAAAGTTATACGTCAGGTTGATTTTTTCGTTCACATCGGTGAACTTGATCCCTCGGCCACTCCGAGCAATGATTCCTGGTAGCAAGTTGAACGGAGATGCCGCCATCGTACCAAACCCCTCCACTCACCATGGTTGGCCATAGTGTTCAATCCAGGGCAGCAACAGCGGCTGTCGCCCTCCTTCGGCGGCCTATACTCTGGCCAATAGCCACCATAACCTGGATGGCCTTCCGGAGTGACCTTACCGACCGGGCGTTTGAACCGCACGAGATTCCCAAAGGAGAGGACGATATCCCAAACAAAAATTGTTGAGCATAGGAAAAACTTGTAAATCGCAGTGGTCAGGGAGTTCATCTCGTCGATAAGTTTGCTTCGCAGGCAATTCGCTAGCCTGGGACGAGTGGACCACTGGATCGATATGGTGGGGCAAGAACTACATGAGGCAGCTCATCCTCAGATAAAGCGTTGGGAAGCGAATACTGTCGGAACTTCGACAAACGCATTGAAATCATTGAGGGCTGCGCAAACCGAATTCAATTCGAGCCAATCAGAACGTGACTATCGATTACCAATTACTTACCAAGTCTACGAGATTGCCGGATCTGTGTCTGAAAGATTGAATATCTTCAGAGTCCTAATGTGGGACTTTGTGGTTCGGCAGTCTGTTCGCACCAATGTTTATCATTGCCGCGACATGAATCGTCCGATTTGAGAGGTGTCAAAGCAACAGCGACTGCCCATCTTCTTCAGAAGATTGCCCAGGTAGATCAGCGGACAGACACGTCCCGGCTGGACGCAAAGCAGCTGTCTCAGCGTTACACCATCCAAAGAAGCCGTTTGACACACCTGTCGTAGCATGTAATGAGAAGCCTCTCCCCGCTTAGTTTGCGTTATGCGGCGGCATTCGCTGTCTGTTTCCCCCGAGGAACAGAATACTTACTCCGTCATCCGGCTTGATGTCACCGCCGCTTCCGACCCCCTTCCCTGCATCTCCGCCACTTCGGGAACCCAATCTGCGCCTGATGCATTTCCTTGCCATCGATGTCTCTCGTAGAGGAACAAGACCCCGAGGGGTCGTTCACTCTTCCACTCCCAAAGTGTACACGCAAGATCAGAGCCTGACTGGTCCCGGCATCGTCGTTTCTACTGCTGTCGACGCATATAATGCAGGCTGTGCCAAAGAAAGCCCGACACAGACGATGGTTGAAAGTTCTGTGAGTGAGGTGTTCCCGGTCCATCTGCACCCATATATTGGGCACGTATGCCGAAGAATCGGAAGATGTCGGACCTCTCATGGGGGTCACTCCATCCCATCAGCACCGTGTAGGCATACATCGGGTGCGCATGAATGGGGCAGGAGTCACCCTATGGTTCCCGTTGGATTCAAAGTTGATACCAATGGACTTCAGCAAGGGGGGATCGTGTATACTAGATTATTCTGTGTAACTGGTACTCTAAATATGCGTACAGGTTGTGCGTGGCATCAGCATGACGTTAAATGACATTGGGCTGAATATCATGCCATGGACGTCTCCAATCAGCACCTCGGACGCTAGTTCAGCCGATATCTCACGCGGTTGACACCGATTCACGTTGAGTCAGTCACTTATTCATGCTGACTTCGGTTCCCGCATACTTGTCCACATACGTATGCTGAGAGGACAACCCGTTATCCGAGTCCATATACTACGATCAGTTCGGGGAGAGTTCGATCCGGCACTTTGTTTGACTTCCTTCGAACTGCATCAAACTAGTCAATTTTCGAAGGTACCAAGTCCAACTTCACCTGATCGAGGTCACCTCACTCGGCAACACCAATAACCAGCTTCAAGTTCTGTACTCTTGCCATCGGGTCACGACAATAGCAAGGACCCCCGCCACCGACGACCGAAAAAGCCCTCTTATCTCAAACCATCCCAAGCTAAGCTAAGTTCAGGCAAAAGGCGAGCCAAACGTATGATACAAAAGATTTACAATCATAATGGAATCATGATGAGGAACGTAACCACGTAAATGAAGTAGGTTGCATAGTCTGCACCGGGGCGATCATTAGACATGATATCATGACATTGAAGAGCTATTCCGGACTCCAGTACGACGATCTCGGCGAAAAGCTTTTCAAGCTCGCTCGTTGTCCTGCTTGACCTTGTCCGCCCACTCGGACTCATCCACGCCCCACTCCACCGGTAAAACCGTCCGATTGAAGGCGAGCATGGTCAAACCATACGGTTCACGAACACGCGATTCCCATCCCTCGGGTAAGCGCTCTTCCAATAGCACCGTGCGCAAGTCGTCTACCCGACCTCCGAAGATCCTTAACATAGTAGACGAACTTCGAGATCGCGGGTCAGTCTTCAAAACACGAGGTAATACAGCACACAACCACTCACTTGGCACTTCCAAAAACTTTGTGGAAGGTGCTGAGTGAGTAACTTGGGTTGTTTGCCTTGGAATGTGCACGGCGTTTGCCTAGGATCCTTGACATATCTTTGATCGTTATGAGGCTCCCATTATTGCCCGTGGCAAAGGAGAGCAGTTCTTCAATGTACGGAGCATGTTTCTCCCCTTGTTTTGGTTGCAACGCAGCATCCAGCCCTATTAGTGACGTTACAATTATGAAACATCAACTAGCGGGGAGCAGTGGTAAATTTGACTAACGAGTCAGCGACGCATCGTGTTCGATGCCATTATGCAGGTCGAGCTCTTCAAGATCGAATGTATCCTTGCTGTAGCTCTTGTTCAACATGAAGGCCGCATAATGGGGTACGAAAGAGCAGAAAGAAGACCCAAAGTTATACGTCGGGCGAATTGCTTTGGTCAGTTCGGTAAACTTAATCCCTCGGCCACTCCGAGCGATGATTCCTGGCGGTAAGTTGAGCGGAGACGCCACCATCGTACTAAACCCCTCTACATACCATGGTTAGCCATAGCGTTCAGCGCAGGACAGGAACAGCGGCTGTCGCCCTCCTTCGGTGGCCTATACTCTGGCCAATAGCCACCATAACCTGGATGGCCTTCCGGAGTGACCTTGCCGACATGACGTTTGAACCGTAAGAGATTTCCAAAGGAGAGGACAACATCCCAAGCAAAAATTCCCGAGTACAGGAAGATCTTGTGAATCAAAGTGGTTAGAGAGTTCATCTCTTCAACGAGTTAGATTCGCAGGTATTCGCAAGTTTGGGACGAGTGAGCCGCTGAGTCGTTAAAGTGGGCAAGAACTACACGAGGCAGTTCCCTCAGATAAAGCATCAGTGTCGAAACTTCGACAAACAAAATTATTGAGGGCTGCGTCATTTCGGTTCTATAATAGCACAGACACGTGACACGAGGACCCACAGTAGAGCGGAATCTTTTCATGGAATGACCAAATAAAGGACTCCTCCGTTCATTGATCTGCGTCGCAGAACAATCCATTAGCAAAAACCCAGGTTGCAGAATTATGGGGACTGCTGGAGGTCTGGACGGTAGGGTTTTGCACTGTAAGTATTCCAGGTGAGCCGGGGAGTTACCAACGCCGCTCGCTCTTCCGAAGAGTGGCGTGAATCTAGTCACCTTTCCGAGTTGGGCGACTGGACCCTACAACGTGTCTTTGATGTTCGTACGGGCAGTCACAAAGATCATCGACACGCTATTTACAGCTATGAGTATCATGTCTACCATTCTCGTGCACTTATCTTGAAGCTAGCAAAGCCTTATAGATGAATTAAGAATATTGCAGGCGTACTTTGCAAACTATAGGGACTGGTATGGAAAACAGGAAAGTAAAATGCCCAACATACAAAACGAAACGGCATTCGCCATCATGAAGTAATATGAACCTTGATCAGTTTGTCCTCCAAATATCTCTCTGACCTGAAGTCCGAGGGTTTTGATACCTCCCAAACGTCATCAGAAACCTGCATTCTGAGAACGACTTCGTCACCCTTCAACGTCCCGTCAAGAGGGACAGCGTGGTCGCCAATCTCCTTCGCATTAACGGGGCTGAGATAGTTGATGGGCACTTGCACGCTCGTACCGATACGACCAGGGTCAAGGTGGTTTAGCGTTACGAGTGTATCGTTCGCAGATGGGAAGACAGTCGTCACGTAGCCTTGAGCGCCGTCCAGTTCTCCTCCATGCCAACCACCCAGAGTACCGGTGATCTCCATGATGACATGCTTGCCTCGAATTTTTGGATCAAGGAGCCACGTGGGCGCTGAAAAGGTGATTAACGTCAGAGCTTGATATGTAAATCACCAGAATAATCACATACATGTGTCGTCTTCGTCCGCACCTAGTACTGCCGGTGTTGGAGCAGAATGCACACCAACATTCTGACTTTGACGTTCTAGACCCGCAAAGCCAGTCGGCATTGGGGTAGGTGCACTGTTCCAAACACCAGGCGTCTGGGCGGAAATGAAACCTGGGGTTGGAGCTGCAGCAGGAGTGGGCGCTGTCTACAATAGCCAAACTCAGGGGGTTGAGGGACCATCATCGCAATGCACATACCCAAGATGTCTCTGCTGGCCGAGTAGGTGAAGCAGCGCCCCCGCCCCATCCGGTATCCCCAGTGTCCCATCCTCCGGCTCCCCATGCAGGGCGTGGAGTTCTACCACCATCGTTAGCACTCCAAGCCGATCCGCTGTCATTTGAACTGTATGGATTTGGCGTTCGCGACGAGGCATTCCATGCCGGTGTCTTTCCACCATCTGCGTATGGGTTCGGGGTGCGAGACGCAGCATTCCATGCTGGCGTTTTACCGCCATCCCCAGCGTATGGATTGGGCGTTCTCGAGCTGGCGTTCCATGCCGGCGTCTTCCCGTCGCCGGTTGCATACGGATTAGGCGTGCGTCCACCACCCCAACCGGGTGTGCGACCCCCGTTTGCTTGGGCATATGGGTTAGGCGTACGAGCAGGGGGCCTTGATGGCGCTTGAGTACCATGATTCGGATTGTATGGTTTGTCCAGCGGTATCAGCGTGCCGTTGGGTCTTACAGTAACGGATAAGCCGAAAGTCAACTATGCCAGGAACAATCGACCCACAGTCTGCGGTACAATTTTTTCTTGTCAATCGTGACGATCTTATTCCCTACGTGCAACTCCACACGGGCGACGGGTCCATTGGTATCTCTGATTACACCAATGTATCCCTTTTGAGGACCCTGAACGATGGCTACTGTTGCCCCAATGTCCCGATCTCTGGGCCCGCGCGTCATGGCAGAGCCAACCATGCCTCCCGTAGCAGCGCCAAGAGCCACATGTGGATTCATTTTCGTAAGGTCAGTGCCGGGCTTCAGGAGGTTCCCCTTTGGTGCTAGCGAGGCCAGCGAGCGGCAACGGGTCACAAAAACGCCTCCGTTTTCGGGTACATCACGGTTATGAAGAAATGCAAAGAAAGACTGGTGAATATGCAGCACTCGTCCTTTTCGACCCTAAACGCGACATTAGTTGCTAATATTACCACGTAAGATTCGCGACAAACCTCTCCTTCGATTTCGCGAACGTTGTCATTCACCCGAAGCTCATGACCCTCCGAGTCAGTGGCAATGGCACGGTGTGAATCTCGCCGCATCGATATTTGGTGGGGCTGTACAAGTCGAACCTGGCCATTCTGGTCAAGAACTCGGAAGGAATCACGCTCGGTTTTGAAGATGACGCCGACTGTTTGTAGGCTGAGGGTACATCGTATGAGTCACCGATTTTCATATGATGAGGATACTCACTCAAGTTGTACGAGGTCGTGCAGTTCGTAGTTGCCAACGATATTTGTACCAGTTCCAACTTCTGCGGCTTCTCGAAGGTCTTTTGAGAAGACAGATACCTGTAATCTTCATGAGAAAGCATTGAAAACGAAAGAGTGTGACGGTCAACCTCCTGCATGGTCATATCCGATACGAATGTAACAACATTGTCTGACACGGAAACCACCAGACCGGTTTCATCTGCGTTTTGTCCCGTCATGACTTTGACGTGGTCTCCGGGCTTGAATCGTTTGCGTACGCTACGTGCCGGAACGTCGACCTTCTGGCCATCGATGTCTACGCCAATAGCCGTAACAGTGACCACGTCCTGGTTGATGGAATCGACGACGCCGTGCACGCCCGACTGCTCCCCTTCGAAAACTTCAACATGGTCTCCCGGTTGAAGCACGGCAATGGCCGCTTTTCGGGAAGCTTCTGCGATAATGGAAAGATCGACGGAATTTTCACCCTCAGTACCATCTTGTCCGCGAGTAAATCGCGTGATCTCGTCCAGTGTCGGATTCACGTTATCCAGTTGCAGCGCAGCCAACTTGAAGTCCTTCTCAATAAAGCCGTCCTTGTAGGTATCATTTTGGAAGACATAAACTTGGTTCCGTTTTGAAACCTGCTTCCGGCCGTGTACCTTGACAACTTCCTCGTAGTTGAAGAATCGTTGTGGAGGTCGCAAGTTTGAGGTGCCTGCGGCCGCCTTTTTGCGTTTTCGGCCGTCGACGCCAGCATCGTCTCTAGGGTTCAAATCTATACGAGGGATAAATTTGAGCCCAACGTCCTCGCCATTTTCCGTAATGTCCATGACTTGAGCTAGGTCACCCTGATACTTTCCGCGTTTTATCCGCACCCAACTCCCAGGAGTGACGGTCAGGTCTTGTTTCTTGATCTGTAACAAGCTTGCCATTTCTTCGATAGGAACTAGGGTGATGCCTCTACTGGGATAAACGCCTACGAGGCCTTTGCAGGCCTGGTTGACCTGCTGAGCGCTCCTAGCCTCGACGTAAATCATGCCGGGTAAGGAGTCTCGTTGGAAGGCGGACAAGATCTGCAGAGGTTGAGCAGTATACTCAAGGTCGATTGCCTTGCGCATAAGACTGAAAACGATGTCCTTTTCACGGCCCGGCTACGGGAAGGACCGTTCGTCAGAACCTACACATCAGTAACGCCGTGAAAGGTCTTACTTTTACACGTATTTGCCACAGACTAGCGTCAAGTACGGAGGGCATGAGTAGTCGTTGGGGAACTTCGTTCATATCCCCTGTATACCGCACCGTTGCACGCCCATAGCGCTCGTGAAGGTTTTGAGCAATTTTGGCGAGGTCCTGATCGTCCAATTCACGATCCCGCCTATCCAGCCGTGCATTGACCGCAGCTCTCCTGTTCATATCATAGTCATCGACGCCGGTGTCCGCAATGAACTCGTCTGCGCAACAAGAGTTAGTTGCAGTCAAGAGATACCACAATAATGTACATACCTCTCCCAGCTTCCTCCTCTTCTTCTTCCTCTTCCTCCTCGGTATCCACAACAGCCTCCACATCAAGGAAAGGGTTGATTGCGTGGCGCTTGTGCCGATGCTACACGGAGCGGTGTTTGCAACATTGGACGCGGACATTGCATCAATTCCTTACCTTGGCACGTTTCCTACGACGTCCAGGCTCCTCATCTTCCTCTTCCTCCTCCTCTTCGTCTTCTTCGTCCTCATCGTCATCTAGGGCATCATATATCGACCCTCTGGGCTTTCGTTGCTGTTCAGGTTGAATTTCCTCCTCCATCTGTTCGTCGTCATTTTCGGGCTGAACAGGATCCGACTCCTGCTCATTCAGAGAGTAGTCTTCCTCTAGACCCGACATGGTTTGTAGACAGCAAGTAGCGAAATAGCCGTCGTAGGGGACTCTGTACGTTCCGCGTCTCAGACTAGCGCTTAGTCATCAAATCCTTTTCATCAAGAACCGGTCCGGCCGGACCCTCCGGGGCGTAGACACTGTCTGAGGCATCGTCACGTCGACTTGTGTCAAAATGTATCAGCATGGCTCAATTGCTGGACATCCCGCTAGAACTGCTGGTTGACATCTTCAACTTCGTGCTCAAACCGCATCAAATAGCAGTCTTGTGTCTCGTGAACAAGGTTTTCAACCAGTTTGCAACCCCATTTTTGTATCGGCACATATACATCTTTCCATGGTACAAGGATTCAAAGTCGAAGGTGACCATGGTTCCCATCATACCGTGGCTTTTTGCTTGATGAATCTGTGATAGGTCCTTTCTTTGTTCAGGACCCTGGCCGAATGCTCTTACTTAGCGGTGTATGTCCAAACGCTTGGTATTGTTGCGTGTACTGTCCTTCCACCACTGCATTCACGTCCAATGCAGAGATTAGAGATTTTCCGAAGAGATTGTTCTCTGCTGACCATTCCTACTTATCAAGTCTTTGTGTCAAAGCCATCAGACAATGCACCAACCTGAGGTCCTGTACCTGGACGAAGGACGGGTCTCTTCACTCTGACCTGCTAAGGTCACTTTCCAACTGCCAACAGCTACAGAAGCTAGAGATAAACGGGAACAGTGGAGAGTACGACCCACTTATCCTCACACAATTCCAAAATCTGCAGAAGTTCTCGCTCATTATGCCGAGTGTCCATGTGCTCAACGTGTTGCCTACGTGGATAAAGGCAGTGGGGGCGACCCTACGTAGTCTGAGGCTAATATGCAAGGTATAGACTGGCGTCTCGTTTCATTGACTGACATAAACAAACACGTGCAGGCTTCCGACCATGTGACGGACGAGCTTTTGGAGTTGCTGTCCTCCGATCTCGCTGGTTTGGAGTACCTAATAATGTTCGGTTGTCGGAGGGTGACTCACAAAGGTATCGGAGCTCTGGTGTCTGCCAACCGCAATGGCCTTCTTGCGATCAACATGGAGGCATTGTCTCCATCATTCGTATGTCGCGATTCGTTCTCTTAATACCCTCCCAGTCCTGACTTCACCCAGGATATGAGTGTGTTCAGGGCTTTGTGCGACCGTACACAGGCATTCCGACGATTGCGGTCCATCACATTGACGGTGCCTGCCAACGTGTCAGCGTTGGATTGGACTCGGGATGTCTACGACTTACTTAGCTCTGCGCGGTTGGAGACACTTCAGTTGTACTCTATAGATATGTTGGGTGACACACCAGTAACGCATGATTTCTGGCAGAGATTAATCGCTAGTCACGGATCTCGCCTCAAACGTATCTCCTTCCATCGCATACGAGCGGACCCGGCTACTCTTCACATTATATGCTCCCAGTGTCCCCGACTCGAGCAATTCTTTGCCGTAACAGAGCGGCAAGATCTGGTCAGTTGCATCCTTGCTTTGTTTCATAGAAAATTCCAATGATTTCGCTCACCGAGACAGGAAGCAGCGGCATCGTCGTTTTCCCTAGCAAGGAACCTTCGTACGCTGCATATCAACTTCCCTCTGGCGGCAGGCGAGGCATCAATGCCACCAGTTACCCTGATGCAGACTGCTCTATCCATTTCTTCGCGTTGCTCTGCGACTCTTACGTGCATTGGACTCAACACTCAAGTGTGGCAGGTAAGTGATGCAGTAACTGCTGTTCTTTCAAGATTCAGCACCATTAAACAGGTGGAGAGAGTCGTTCGTATTGATGAAAATGGGGAGAAGTATACTGAGCCAACTCTTGTACCGCGCGAGAATCCAGAAATACCCGAGCAGTTCCTTGTTGGTACCATGTAATAGGTGTTAAGTCCTGTACCGGAATTCTTAGCTGGTAGACCAAACACGTGTACTCGGCGTCAAGTGGCGTTGTATGTGTGCTTCCTGCCACTCTTGCTAACCCGAGTTGACTGGTCCTGTCGACGATGGACAACAGCGACATCTTGACCAGCACGTCCACCTTACGAGTCCCGAACGCACAACGGGAGCACGACGGTAGTAATGTTGTTGTGGGCTCACAAGCAAGTGGGATATCACAGTCATCCTCACCCCGTTCGAGCTACCTGCCATCCCCAACGGACAGCCCACCAGACTCAATTTCGTCCCTGCCATCCATCGGGTCCTCGTTCTTTTTCTCCTCTGCAGCTGCAAGCCCACCACATTCGCATCCTCACTCTGACCATGCCCGAGACTCCACACAGGGGCTCATTATTCCGTCCTTGACACTGCCAGCAGCTCTACCACAACCAACGCAGTACGGCAAGACACTAGGTCGTATACGACTATTCATAACAGGAGAAGGCGCAGATGATCATGACCTTGTGTCCAGCCTACTGCTGGTCGACAATGAAGACGTGGTTGACCCCGGCATATGGGAGGAGACCAACGAAGGGTCTGTTCTTCGGGCATCCACCGACTGGGTCGAGCACCGAGACCCACACGGCTTGGAGAAATTCGAGCCTTCTAGGAACGTGGAGATTGTGACTAGAAAAGTCTCTAATGTACGTCTCGTCGTCTAATATCGATCCGAGCGCAGGCTCATCCGTCCAGGCTTCCGCCATACTGCCAATCATACATTCTCCGTTCTACGCATTACTCGAGATTATCGACCCACATTGCCAGCCGTCTGCTACACTCATCAGCCTCATTGCATCTCCCCATGCACCAATATACACAGCTTTCATAATCTTATCGAAATCAGGTGAGCATTCTAACAAGACGATCGTCCCGATTCAAACGTTATTGACGTCAACGAACAGCTCCCTCTGCGGAAGAGGACAGCCTAATTGATGCACTTGCTACTCACGTCCCAGTCATTGTATTTCGCTATGGACTCGATCGAAGACGATTCCCATCTCGCCCTCACACGTCTTCCTTCTGTCCCTCTTCCGCAAGCGCGCTACGAAATGGCCTTTTCCGTTCTCCAGAAACTCTCCTGTCATTGCGATACGAAGCAGCCGAGCGTTTCCTACACTGGAGGGAAGTCGAGCATGCGGTCGAGAGTATCCACACATCCAATCGCGAGATTGCTCACCGCTTCTTGGCAAGTGCGCCTTCGTGGGACAAGGCGAAATGGCAAGCAGAGTGGGAATCGCGTCTTTCTCATGACGTCGCAACTCGGTCACGCGAGGACACTGTTACGAGCAGGCCAGTAAATACGGTCCACCGACCGGTTCCATCGATGGTCGACCCGTTGCATTTTTCTTCGTTGATAGCATTTTCATTCTCGCTTCTCAATCCTGCAAAGGCTCGGGTGATGAATAGCGTCTCGACTTTCATGCAATTGGTCTCGGACTGTCAGGTTCGGATAGCTATGGTGGGTAGTTTTTGTATCGGAGTAGGCGTAGGATGGATGTTACGGTGACGGGGTTGGACGTTGGTGCATTTACGTTGTTCGTGTAGTGGCTTCTTGTGTGTACATTTACTTCATCTGGTATACAGCAATTGCATTGTGGCGGACATTAGATATCACAGGTAGCAGTATATCCCCAGCGACGAATATCGGAGAGAATTGACCCGTTTCCTTTACTGTAAGCAGTGAACCGAATCTACAATCTCTGCGGTCCTTACGACTCTACCTCAAGTACCCGCCGCCTAGGTGCCAATATCCCACTTCGGCCCGAGCTGGCATATAAGGCCTCTGACTCTCCCAGTTCACCTGGTGTATAAGGAGCCGGATTGGTCAGGTTGTAAATATTAGCATCTTCACCAAATGTTGATGAGGGAAGCGTAAGGCGATGGGCGGGTGTACGAGTGAGGTACAATCTATGTAGCGCATCCTCTGCGGCCTGGTAGTAATACATAAACTGAACAACGCAATCGAGAATGTAAAGAAGAAACATACCCTGTATTCAGCCATTTTCAGCGAACTACCAAAGCCTTCCCCTAGTTGGTCTGTGCCAGTATAAATCCCAACGACGAATATTGGAGAGTTGGAGAATCGACCCGTCTCCTTTAACAATCTGCAACATGGTCGGTTCCGAACACTTATATAATTAAGTGTCAATGGATCGACCTACCTGGATTTAGGAGGCTCTCGTTGGAATTTTGCCACAGTTTCCATGAGTGCGCGTTTGGGATCACGGAATTTTAGCATAGCTCGGATGTCCACACGTCGACCGAGGAAGAACGAGTAGACGAATTTGCGTGCGGAAGCAAGACATCGTTCTTGGTATACCAATGCGGTCAATGCACGTGGTATCGAAGCAAGTGCATCGGAGTGCAATAATGCCGGTGAAGTAGGCGTTGCAGGCTATATAAATATGTTTTATTACGCATTGGCGACGCACATTCTGTTGGGAGGACGAACCTGTCTATGCCAACGGAGGAGCGGCACGGCACCCATTTCCTGTGCGACACTTGCGCACGTTAACGGACCAACATGTGCGCTGACAGCGGCTTTTAAGACACGGGTGGGGAGGTGGGGATATGTGGCATGCAGGTGTTCTGATGCAAACAGACCCATGAGCGCGTTTCCAAGGACGGCCAAATTCGCGTTATTGGGAGGCGGTGGGCTCAACGGGTAATATCTTGTATGCAAATTCAGGAACGACTTGTGCGTGCAAGCGCGTTGGACGGCTGCTGGTGTCGTCAGCACGGCTCCGAGACCTATTCGATGAGAGAAGGCCATGAGTGCCGAAGGCGGGGGCGGTTGAAGAGCAGCCCATGTTTCGGGATCAAAGGTCGCTTTTTTTGTTCTGAGTGTTGCTTCTCTGGGTGGAAAGTGTTTCAGGTGCGCTGTCGAAACAGCCAGCGACGAGTACAGCCGTCTGGAAACATGACCCATTGAGAATACAGAGACGACTGCAAAATTCTCGGAAACTCAATTCAACGGGTCTCGTGACCGGGTCCGGACTGCTTGCCGACTGGGCCACAGAAACAAATTGGTCATTAAACGAGTGCTCCCCCTCCACTCAGAACGATACCTTTAGAGTGTGGTTCGGTGTGAGCGATCACTGTTACTCGCGTGAAGCAACATGTACGCCGTAACACTCCACAAGCGTTTCCGAACGAATCACACACAGACTTAAAGAAATTCAACGCCGAGCATCAACTCCACCACGATTAAGTACGTAGCATGAACACCCAAAGGTGGACAAAGGTAATGGGAAGGCCACGAAACTGGCCACGTCATTACCATTGCAACCTCCGGCAGGCCCAGTCCCGACCAAATGATTGGGGACCCATTTCCCTCCTTCGGCTACATCGATTTTAATGCATCTTCGGCCAGTGGGATTTCCCCTTCTCGGCTCCGACGTCGAGTTTGTTGGATGGCTCAACAAGAACGTTCCTGCGTCTGAAGGGAACTTCGATGTAGCGGGGAGCTAACTGAGTGCGGAGGCTTGCTGCGTCGAGCTGGAGATTTTAGCAACAAATTCGAGCACCCGGATGGTAGCTATTATCAATTTAGACCCAGGGTAAGTTTTCGCCCTCTCTTGCGGTCGCAAGGAATGATTAGGCTCCGTGACTGCCTTTAAGGCGTTCGATCTCGAGGGCAAGGCTCCAGAGACCGTCAACTAACCGAAACGAAGCCAGTTCGTGGATAATATATTAAAACACTCGAATAATTTGGTAAACGACGTGATCAAGGATCTGAACGCAACTTCCCAGAACGAACCCGCATATGCGAAGTTATGAAGGTGAATAGTCGCAAGCCTTCGGCGGGGTGTTCATCGCGGGAAAATGTTGCTGCACAGCGACTTGCGGCGCGGAAGGCCGCTGCTACTACTCTAGCAGTGATGAATGGGGGTGGACCAGGAGACCCGCCAGAGTCCACTGAGCCATCCATCGTCATTCACGTATATAACATCAACTACGTACGACTCATATTTGGTCCCTTGCTCTACACAACAGCAACATTCTCTGAATGTAAATGAGCAGTCCATTAGTGTAATCTGTTGCATAACCGCGATTTATGCGTGATGGTGGTATATTGTGGATCAAGTGATCGGATTAACGTGGGTATTACCGCAGTCTTGGACCGGCAGCATGTGGGGGTATCAAGCGGTTCTTTGCCCTCGCTTCATATCGTTGGCTTTTGATGGCCTGGATACGCTTCCAGCTTCTAATGCCGTCAAATATATCCTGTTGAGAAGGAAAAGTTAAGTTGGTGTGATACAGCCAACTCGATGTAGAACGAACAAACCTGAAGTATAGCGTGAGCATGCAATGTAGGTGCCCAGGCGAAACAGCCGGACGTGGGATCCCTAATGCTTAACAAATTCGTAAACCGTGTTAATTCTTGAAGGTTGCGACTTTTGCATAGCTGATCGTTGGCTTGTACAAGAAGTGCGTGCATGGCGCACAAGCGGTCGAAGCGCTTCTCCCCCTCCAGAAGAAAGAATAAGCATAAGAGGATGTCTTCAGCCGGTACGACTTTTGCATTGAATAACGAGCCCATCAATCCAGCCGTGTTGAGACCTCGCGAACCAAATGGTGAGCAGTCTGTTGATGTCGACGAGACTTGACCCCAGTCTCCGTCCTGCAGGTGGTTGGCGTTGCCATCCGGAGCCGCAAGCATGTCGGACCCACGTACAGGCTTCCAATGATTTTGGAACATCTCCAAAGCTCCAACACGAATAGCCTTCGTCAATTCCTTTGCTTCCATGTATGATATATTTGAAATTCGTTGAATAGCAGCATTCGCAAGCCTAGACACAAGTGGTGCTGACTGGATGGTTTCCACCCCACTGAGCAATAAAGAATGGACAAAAGGCCGAATGCCCCGTTGGCAAATATCGGCGACACCCCTGTCTACCGTCGCTTGAAAATCCGGGAACGACCTGGGCGAGCTTCTGTGACCCGTTGAAATGCCGTCCAAGTCCGACACGGATGTCGATATTTCAGAACCTTGCCGGGGTTCTGCCGGGACACTGTTGTTCAGTTCGTCACACAGCTTCTCGTTGGTACTACGGTGGCACACGTTGCCGCTGTCGTCGAGTAGTAGATAATGCGAGTCAGAGGGTTCCAGAGCAATAACTTTGAATGCTACGACGTCGGGAGTCGGAGAGTCCGTTTCATATACGAATGGCGACTTCTCCTCGTCACTGCGGTCGGAGGATGATGGGCCACAGTGACTAGAGCCTCCATCTACGGAGGAATTAGCATCAGAAGGCGTAGGCGGCGGAGCGCGAAGAGACATCTTGTCAGCTTTAGATGACGTAGGCATGACGTCGACCGTGTCGTTGGGCAGCTCGTCCCAAGCGGAATTCAGGTCGTCGGTGGGCACCGGAAGGAAACTCTCCGTAAAGCAAGCCATCATCTTCTTTGCCCTGACCTGCAGATCATTGGCGAGAAGATAATCCTGGAAACGACTGCGCAAGTAACATTCTGTGGCGGGGGTGACTGAGATGGGGGACAGCATGAAGAGGGATATTAGTGATGAGACGAGGTACAACGGGAGTTATGCTGCTGCCAGAGAAGCCTGCCACAGCGATTTATATACGCCAGAAATTGTGAGTGGACGAAGGCCACTGTGGACGGTGCTTCAACGCATGAGCACGAGGCAGGGTGGAAACGACAGAATAAGGAATTGGCTGTGAACGAATATTCCAAAAGACAGGGGTATTGACAACGGGACTAACTTGGCCGCGTTGCCGTCGGAAGTCCGTCCGACTCGTTTCCAGTGCACCCAAGCCTTGCGGAGTAGCGCCAAAGCACAAATATCGATCAAGTCGTCGTGGGCTTCCCTGATTGTGCCACTTTTTGTCACAGACACCGCAAACAAAGCAATGATCTTTGGTCGAGAGTCAAAGCGCATAAATTGTCAAAGCAACATGCGGATGGTTCCACCGTCTTTGTTCCCAAAAAGGGAATTCAGCAGCCAGGTCTCAGGCATGCGAGTGGCATGATGTACATCTTTTGCAGCTGAGAGTTGGTTTCAGGCTCTGTAAGGGGCTTGAACCCACTGGGTAACAACGGTCACGCCTTGAAACGGCACGGACTCGGGTGAATTTCCAGGACCACCAACGCGCGGAAAGCGGCCAAATTACATCCTGTATCAACAGCAAGAGTGTCTCCGTCGCATGAAATTGAAATACGGTCAATTGCCACAGAACGTCTAGTTGCGAGGTCACTACCTGGGTCTAACTCATTGTGGCAAATAACCGATCTTGCGAGAAGAAGCGCGTTGAAAATCACATCCTGCAGGTCGAATAATTAGGAGCCACTTACTTCGAAAGTCTGTCCTTGCATCCGCCCCAATAGATATCAGTAATCAACACGCGAGAAACGTCTACAGTAGACAGCGGACAAGATAGGGCATCAAATGATATAGGGAGGGGGTTGCCAAGGCTAAAACGATGGGAAGGTTGTTCGCGTGAGATTTCCAACGTTCCCCAGATTAGCCCTGGAAAGCAAGGCCCCGTTTAGTTGTTTCGGCAAGCCCACCGCCAGCGAAACCGGTCCCTATGGGATTACGAAGGTCAGATAGCGGCATGGAGAAGGTCAAATCCAACCACCCGCCTTCTCTTTTCAATTCTATAGTATCCCCGGAGTCCAAAGTTTTGTCACAAACTATGCACTGTTTGGCAGGCCGCACCAGTGAGTCCGTGCAAACTTTGCAAACGACATGAGAGCATTGTTTCATTACTGTTTGCATGTGTTGAACAGTGTTCATGGACACGAAAGAAATACATACGGAGTATAACTTTATTGTTGGAAAAGTTGCTCTTGCAGGAAGGACATATTGCATTCTCTTCCGTTTCGCCTTTGTGGCTTGTTGCAGGGGTTGACTCTGTCGAACGAGAGTTTGATGCTGCCACGAATGAGAATTGGACAGGAGTCAATGACTTCAAGCTTTAAGGTTGCACATAAATTTGGGTCCAGGCACCCTAAATCAGAAAGGCGAACGTACTTGATAGAGTGCGATGGGTGGCCCCCTCGACACATCGTTTGCACCTTGACATCCCGTAATGAAGATGGCGGTCCCTTCGATGTGTAGGTAGGCGTGAGTGACGGAAGCCAAAAGTCCGGGAGTTTTGCTCGAAGGGCCTCCGCTTGTTCCCTCTCAATCTGTCTGAGTGCCGCCTCCTCGGCCTCTCTCATGAGTGTCTGGACGGTAGTGGAATCAAAGTCGAGCTTTCGCTTTCCTGGTCGAGCTGTGGGAGGATATATTACCCGGCGAGAGATAAAAAGAAAAAACGCACCTTCCTTCGCGTTCGATCCAGAGGTCGTTGCTACATTCGCTACACCGGAAGACAAAGTGAGCTGCCCCTGCTCGAAATCCTTTAACACGCGTTCCCTCGCAGCCTCCAATGCCTGTTCCTTCTCCTCGTCTGCCTCTTTCCTCAGCTTTTCTAACCGCTCCTTCTGTCTCTTCATGTCCTTCTTCTGGGTCACTAGGAGCGATCGTTAGTCCAGGACTAGCCAGAAAAATGTACGATACACACGGAGGTCAGTATACACACACTCCTTGCAGAACAAGTGTCCTTGGTCACAAGCCACAGGATCCCTCGCCCTCTGTAAACAGAGAGCACAGGCATCAAAATTTCGCATCGATTCATTGCCCAGTCGTTGCTAGAGTACACCCTTAGTCTATCTGAGCCCACTGAAGTAGGAACAGGACCAAATACACACTCGTCTCGTACCATACTCTGTTTTCTGTTTCTCTGCGTACGAGAACACGGAAGACGCTGTGTTGTTCTTGCTGTGTTTTGTCATGATGGAGGCCAAGCATGTAGGTTGCGTATTCCTAGAGATCGACGTACTAGGCATAAACAGTAGCAAACACCAGCAGTCCCTAGTCAAGTCAAGCTTCAGATCTTGTGCTGCCAACAAGGCCCCAACCTCCATTGCGCGAGACAGGTCCAACAGTGGACTTGATGCGAACTATGCTGTTTCTGCAGCTGGGAAAACAATGGATCCTTATTTCCCAGAACACAAAGAACCTGCGACAAGGTCGACGACAATAGCTACTCCATTACCGGGGGACGAGCCCGAAGAGTCTCCATGAGGAGAGGGTCTGCACTGCGCCCCAAGAAACCGTTTCGGCGGCTATGCCTGAGCCACGCTAGTAAAATAACCATACCTAGAGCCTCTAAACGGAATCTTCATAAGATGGGGAAAATGCGACCGTGGCGTGCCGTCCGCAGACGGATGAGGCATTGAGGCATAGAAATGGTCCAACTTAACGCAATGGCAGCTCAGTTTTCGATAATCAATTGAACTTGGAGAAGACGGTCCTATACGCCTGCAGAGTGCTGGTCCAGTTCGCTGAGATGAGGTGGTTAGCGCACTAATGATGCCCAGTTATTCCCAGCGCTGAGTGCTCGTTGTGTACATATAATACACAGTAAATTCAGTAACATCGTCCACCATGTCAGAGGTTGCATGACAATCTGAATTGTGAAGTAAAGGCTCAACTGATCCAAGCGCTGTGTCCAAGATTGTCTTCTGCACAAGGTTTCGCATTATACTCGTCGCAGGTAGCCCAAGACAGGAAGTATGTCTAGGTAAGGTGTGCGGGTAGCGGGTATGTAAATGCAGCCGCAAGTAAAAGAATTTGTAAAGCCATACGCCTGGAGCAAAAAAGTGTGGACAGAAATAAGGGAAATGTACGGAGTCCTTATACATAGAAGAAGAAAAAGGAATATCCATTCGTCAGTCCACTTCGACGTAGCCATTTGGCGCGCTGGTCGTCCACCGCAAGAGACACGCCTCACACGTACTATCATAAATAAATCCGGAAGAATTCCCATGGATGTCGTCTTCAACTCGTGGAGGGGAAAAGTCGTGTCTCAACGGTCCGTCGATGTCTCGTGATTACAGTAGTTGCTACGTAAATAGTGTCCAAGATGTCTTGAGGCATTGGATTGGGTGGTATAAGTTATTTCCGGCGCACTGCCCCAGCGGCAAGGCAGAATGGGCGGGGCGGGAAATAAGGATTAAAGGGGCGGGCTATGCTATTGAGTGATAGAGGCGTGAGGGGGTTTGTGGCGATGACATTGGCCGCTTCGACGATGTTACGGAAGTTCTCCGTGGTCGATTAGGGTTCGGTTTTCGAAACGTCTGTGGGTCGAGCGCTGAGTAAGAATGAGAGACAAGTAAGGACGACGCAACATACATGCCGCGACATGATCAGCTTTGCCATTGATAGCGGCATAGGGTTTTCATACAACGCTGGTGCTGCATGGGAGGGTTTAAGGGGAGAAGGACTCTGGAGAGGTCTGGACTCACGAGGTGGCTGAAATCGGGGTCCTGGAGTACGGGGCTGCCAACTAACCACAGGTAGCGACACTGAGCGTCTCGGTAGTGCATCGATGTTATTCTCAGGTTGTGGTGTCTTTTCGGGGAGACGAAACGTGAAAGGCAACGATGTAGGAGCATTCCACTGCTGGGGTGTTCGAAGCTTTGGAAACAGAGACAAAGGAACCATGCGCATTTTCTCTTGGTTTCCTAGGGCTAGTCAAGGGACAAGACCATAGCTGCATGAAGGAGAACATGCAGTGAGCGAGCAACAGAAGGAAGAACGAAGCAGTCAAAGCCATCAAGACAGCAGCGACGCTGGGGAACTTGGCGACGACGAGAACAGACATGGTGGTATGTACGTTAAAGAGAGAGCCGAAATCCGTTATAAAGAACCACAACGGATATGAAGGCCGCCAGGTAGTCGTGCTCGTCGGTGTGGGCGACTGGCTGGAGCGAGGGAACTTTGGCAATGGCACAGCTCCTCCAAATATCAACACCCTTATCCGACCGGCTATTCCCGGCCGCTTATGTCATCCCTGTGGAATCGACCACGTATGCGTCCCCCCCTTTCCCATGGCACGCATGGTCATCCGGCGATAGCGTTATCGCGTCATACTAGTAGACACCCTCTCGACCCCTACGCAACATGTTTATTGATCACGCCATCTTCTGTCGGGTATCATTGATCAATATTGGAAGAGCTGGTGATCAGACGTCCTTGTCACCGAAGTTAAACTCTGTCAAAATCCGCTGGTTCCACTTCCTATCAGCGACGTGCCGTTTCCTATTTGTAAGTATGTACATACACACTGCAAATGAAGGGGAAGGGCGGTAATACGCTTGCATTCAACAATTCTCATCGGGTGTAGAGATACGTTTCCAGGCGCTGGTCACTTTGCATAGACACCATCATCAGTGATTACACCCTCCTCCAACGCTTTAATTTCTTGAAGTAACGGTCAGCAACGTCTCCTACATGAAGGAAGTTCGAAATCCGACTCACGGAGCGCAAGGTGCAGACTATGGAAACGAGAACGACCTAGACTTGCTGCAGAAGTGTTATTATGTACAACAGAATCGATACTGCGGGGCCTACTTACCCATGCCGATCCACAGACGCGGTTGCCCCGTTCTTCTCCACACACCTTGGGGCTCGCCCTCGTTATCTAACCCCCAAATTGGACCAACCTGATTTGCTATCTCTGATCCGCACACTTCCCTTATGGAATCTCGTAATTCACCAAATCTTTGCGAGGAAACCAATTAGCTCTCTGCCCCCGATACGTACGCCTCATGTAACGGATCAAGGCAACATACCCAGTGGCAAAGATAACAGCGTCACATCCCACGTGAGACCCGTCGTCAAACTCCAGACCGTCAGAAGTGAACCGCTGGATGGAACAACCACTTTTGATTCTGATATTCCCTTTGATGATCTCCCCAGAAGCGCCAGTATCTGTCTTGGTATCAGGATGCGTTTTCCGAGGTTCAAGCGCCAGCCGTACCAACATAAAAGCCACCTCCTCTTGCGTATATCAAAGGTAACAGCCCAGCATCATCGATCCCAAGGTTGGTTCTGAATCCAGCGCTTTCGAGATCCTTAATCAGATTCCTTGGCACACCTCTTAGAACAGCACGATGGGGACCATGTGGAGGACGCACTTGTCGACATTCGCGGCGCGCGCTGTCTCGGCTCGCAATAACGGTAGAAGACTTGGCCAGGGGAGTGCAGAGCCAAGCAGATCTGAAAATTCAACTGAAGAGTTTTCATTGTACCTTTCTGAGAAGCATTCATTTCAGGATTTAGCTGGAGCAACTTCGTAGCAAAAAAACACTTCGGAAACCTTTTAAAGAGGAAATGCTAGCATCCAAGGAGATAACGTATGTTGATGATCGTTGAATCCTGTCAACTCCCGTCAAGTTCACGAGTTGGTCTAGAATAGATTCGCAACGTACAATGTCACTTCAGCGTTGCGTCGATACAGGTCCATTGCAATATCATGCCCTGCGCAGATTGAAAATATGGTCTATGGGAAATCAGGCTAGCGATTGTTTTCTACCTGAGTTCGCAGAACCGACCACGATAACTTTCTTTCCAGCGTACTCCGCGGCCGAATGGTATTGTGAGGAATGCAAGACCGTTCCGCCGAAACTAGCCTGTCAAGGATATGAGGTCACGGGCGAAGCATGCCGTGGACTTCGCTACCTTTCCTTGGATATCTGGCATTTTGGGGAATCCACCACCGTGACCGGTGGAGAAGACGAGATGTTTCACCGTCATTGTTTTTAGAACACCCTCACGCAGGACAGAAACGACCCAGGTCTTTGTGTCTTCATTCCAGCTTGTCGTCACTACTCTAGATGATAACCACACATTCAATTCTAGAGCTTTCGCATAAAATTCAAGCCAGTCTGCGAGCTAGCACAATATCATTCGCTCAGAGCTGCGGTCTGGTGGGCCTTGAGCACAAACCTTTGCAGCAGGGCAAAACACAGGCCACGTCGATGGAAACCTGCTTACAATGATGGGATCACAGGTGGAAGATATGAAGGTATGACTTCACATACGGGAGGTAAGGCAGATGATTAAACCCTAAACACGGACATACATGGATGAATTACGAAGATTGCAAGGATATGATACCCACAGACTATATCATGCAAACAGAGTGATTTGTAACGTTTCCTCCACTAATATCTAGTTGTTTGTGAGTTCGAAAGACATCGAATGAGCACTTACATTATCTCCTATGCGTGCGCTTCGATCGATGACAAGGGCCGAAGTGTCCATATACTTTAGTCTAGCAGCAATATCCAGACCACTGTGCCCAGCACCGATAATAAGGACTGTTGGGTCCCCAATTACTTCATGAGACTGCTCCTCACTCCAATCATGACGGATTGCATGGTCGCGTAATGTGCCTGCCTGCCTGACGTCTGGGTGAGTCTTCCACGGATTTACGCGCAACTCACTCTTTCTGGGTAGTCTTTCAGTGATCCCAGACGTGTGAGGAGGGACCATGCCTTCCATTGGGTATCCGGTGTTGGCACGAGGAAGGCAATCCCAATGCCCTTACCCTGTTTAGTCTCGAACTCAAAGCAAAGTCGTAGGAAGACCACTCCGGGAATCGGTTTCACCAACACCGGAGCACGAAGATGATCTTCAGCAAGGCAGAGTGGCGCCAGTCCAATCAGGTCAAGGCGGTCATCCAGCAATTTTCTAATGGCCTCTGCACCGCGTATGGTACGGAAATCCCAGGTGAGAGCTAGAATGTCTTTCCAAAACCCAAACGGGTGAAACAAATCAGTCGTCAGTCCAGTGGCCTTGTTGCGAACATTCGCGCTGAACGCGGTCAACCACTTGTTAGCTTCTGCGATAGGGGAAAGTTCCTCCAACGCTGTTGGGTCGACGCCAAGATCGGCAAGCGTCGGGATATCGAACGGTGGAGACGAAGACATGGATGAACAGTTGAGAAAGCTGATCAAAGACTACTTCGATTACATATCATTTGATGGTGGGCGTCGATGGGCTTCGAGTTTCAGTTTGTAATCTCCACGTGCATTTAGGACATTTGCTAACAGGTTCACACTCACCGAATCACGCCGTGAAGGCTGTACTCAATACAATACAACGTATTTGGTTGACACGAGCGACAGCGTGGGTTGGGTATGTACACACTTTGATGACGGTGTTGGTACTGCTGTTGTATTGGTTGTTCTGGTATTTTCTGGCGATGACTAGTTACGGAAAGAGGATACATATCATGATGGGCTGATTCCCGGTTCCCCACCTACATTCGATACAACGCTCTCGTTTGCTTTTGTTCATTGCACAGACCATGGCAGAGTCGGAGGCACAGAAAGAAAGAGAAAGGCCGCTCACCTACTTCGACATCACGATCGGTGGGAAACCGGAGGGGCGCATCGTCTTCTCACTCTACGCTGATCTCGTACCAAAGACTGCCGAGAACTTCCGTGAGTGCTCAGCAAGATGCTGTTTTGGCGAGTATCTCCCTTCTCACCACGAGCACAGGTGCCCTCTGTACGGGTGAGAAGGGGGTTGGCAACTCCGGCAAACCACTTCACTATGCTGGTTCGGGCTTCCATCGTGTTATCAAAAGGTAGGCTTTCCTTTGCGCACCCAGTTGTTTCATTCAGATGCAGATCAGGTTGACTGGTTTTAACTGTTAACTGTCAGGTTTATGTGCCAAGGAGGGGACTTCACTGCTGGCAATGGTTCGTCATTCTTTCCGCTCTTGAACGTGTCTCTCAACATCCCATCAGGTACCGGTGGCGAGTCCATTTACGGGGAACGTTTTGAAGATGAGGACTTCACCATGAAACATTCAAAACCCTTCCTACTTTCCATGGTTGGTCTTCAAATACTTTCCCCTCGATGTCTCTTTGACCAAGGGATTCCACAGGCAAATGCAGGGAAAGACACTAATGGCTCGCAATTTTTCATTACCACAGTCCCAACCCCTCATTTGGATAACAAACACGTCGTTTTCGGTGAAGTCATCAAGGGGAAGTCTGTCGGTATGCTGGTTTTCCCAAGTTCTTCATCACGTAGCTTGCAGCCCTGATCGTACATTCACTCAAGTTCGTGCCATCGAAAATCATCCGACGGATGGAAAGGATGTTCCTACTGTATCCATTGTCATCTCCGCGTCTGGCGTGCTTTCTCCCGATGACCCCTGCTTGGTAAACGCGGGTGCATCTGACGGAGACATATGGGAAGACGAGGCTGTAGACGACGAGACCGGCGCCGACCAAGACCCCAAATTAGCCCGCGATATTGCAGAGAAAATTAAACAGATCGGTATCGGTTATTTCACGGGTAAAAAGGCGGGAGACGGCACAATAATTGAGGCACCACAACCAGACTTGGCCTTGCAGAAATTCCAAAGTATGCATCTTTACTGCTTCATTGGATAATGCGTACCTAACCAGATTCTTGCAGAGGCACAGAAGTACCTTCAGCTTTTCACTCACGCCGACTTACCAGAGGATTATCCGGATTCGAATGGATACCGTGTCGCCTATGCTAAGATGATGCTCACAACCGCACAAGCTGCTCTGCGCGTGCAGCCACCCGATGCTGCAATCGTATTGGATAATACGAATCAGGTAATAGAGGAATACTTGGATTTGTTAGAACCAAAGTTCCAAGGTTCGTCATTTTCTCGTTGGTATCCTACACCGAGTGACCTCTACCCAGCAATGGCATACTATCGCCGTGCATTGGCACACAATTTGCGTGGAGATCATGACCTCGCATTGAATGATCTCGCGGAGGCCAACAAGATATTCCCCGACCCTGGTACCCAGAACGAGATTACTAGGATCAAGGCACACGTGAGAGAGATGGAGGAAAAAGAGAAGAGACGATACAGGAAGATGTTCTAAACTAGACGCCCTTGGACACAGAAGAAGTAGCATACCTTGTACAATAACTAATAACGCGAGTTAATGAATACCGACATCTATAAATCATTGTTGAAGCTGTCTATGCTAAGCAATGAAATAGAGGAGGAAGTCGCGTTTTCCGATAGGTGATACCCTGGGAAATTCTCCGGATGGGTCATCTCGAAGTAAAATAGGTGCGAAGAGCATGGCTGAACAGATGAGTCAAATGGAAATGACGCCGAAATCGATGCATACCAAGATGAAGAGCTTTGGAACTGATGCTCCGGGACCCAGCCTTCCCCGACGCGGAACCTTGCTGCCCGACGTAATGCAGGAAAGCCGTCAGTGATATCCAAACCTTGGTGAAAGGTGTCTGAATGTCTGCGATCTCCACAAGATCTGGAAATGTTACATACATTGATAGATTCACGAGGGAACTCGTCCAGCAACTTGCACACAACTACTCAGATGCGGACATTGCACAGGAATTTCATGAACGTACTTCAAAGGCGGTTTCCCTGTCCCTCACTTGCAGACATCTCGCTTGGAGAGACGGAGGAATCACCGGGACCACTAAGGAGTCCAGGAATGCCACAAGCGTAGAAGCAACTGCTGCACAGAGATCACTGCGATCACTTTCGGCAGTTACGGTTGGAAACTCTTCTCCCGTATCGAGACACTTCAGAAAAAGGGGGTGTTGTGAGTGCAGCAAGCGGCGATGGCATGCAACAAACCTCGCGTATGACTGTACACAGTTTCCGCCTGGCTGGTCGTCCAAAAAACGTGTCCTGCACATGTTAAACATCAGTGATCTCTAACCTTTCGTAGATGAATGTCCAGACAGTTTCTGACGACGAGTTGGTCATCATCCAATTAATGAGTCTCATAATCTCTCTGGGTGCATTGAGAGCCTGCGTGCTCGGCATGAGGTCTTCAGGGGTCTTCAGATTCCTAATGGGCCCCGGCAAGCGTGCAAGTCGCTCCAGCGTGTTTACGAAACACGTGTATTCTGCAGGTCGCAAAGTAAACCAACGGCATCGGAAAGGCGAGAGCTGAGACTTACGGTAATCTCCGCTTACCGAGATGAAGTGGTCTTTTCCAAGAGCAGTGTGCAGGATGAGAGTGCATTCTAGTTTAGGTGGACGGAGGTTGAGCTTCGACGCGGCAGCATCATCTACGTAGACAACAGTGGTAACTGCCACCGTCTCCTTTGGTCGGAGTAAACCCTACGAATACGCTATGCAAAATGGATCGATATCGTGACACTTCCCACATACCACCATGGGCTCGATGTGAAGCCAAGACGGAGCTTGGAAAAAACCTATCAAACAAGTTCGCCAATGTGAGCCGACGTTACCACTCACCCACAGGCGTATCGGGCGCAGCACTCAAGAACCGAAACACGCAGGGTATCTGTTAATACGATTATAGTGAGCTCCTGAGTCCAATGAGGCAACCGTCTGTCTACTACATCACCGTCATTCAGCAAGACTAGAGCTTTTTTAGTAGGACGTCTATAACTGCAATGCCCCTGTTAGCGGAACATTCAGCCGCAGCGAACACGATGAGTGCATACAAGATCGGACCGAAATCGAGGTTCGCCGTTTGAACTTTGATGCGTGGTTTCTTAGATTGGTCGTATTCAGACAGCTCTCGGTGGAGTCCACATGTATGTTCCTCGTATGTCCCTTTATTGATGATCGCTACCTGCAAAACCAGTCAAATACTACAATGCAGCACGCTGGCACGGCGCACCGGTATGTGAAAGTCGGCGGATATAGGTTGGTGATCGCTCAACGTGATCTCCGGGTGGCTTCCATACCCTAGTTGTTTGAGATCGATGTCGGGCGACGGCATATACATTATCCGATCCGTCCAAGCGGGCTTACGCCTGCATCTGGTTGAGCTGCTCGTGTAAAGGTAATCTCTGGACTACCCACTTGGTATCGTAACCCAGCAGATCTCTCGACACACCTGCGCCATATCGATATGTCCTGTATCATATATCAGTATCCTGTCCCACAGTAATGAATAGGGGACGGACGGAAAGTGGGTGATAGGGTGCTCCACAAAGTGAGAGAAAGCCTCGTTAGAGCGTATGGAATTCCGTAGCTAGGTGAGACTTAGTATCTTTATTAAAAACCGAACAAGGAATCTACCTGGTCATATGCAACTATGTGTTGCACGCCACTATCAGGGTAGGAAGTTAGGATAGCTCTAATGTCTGAATCTGACAGGTTTATCCGATAGTTGAGATCTGATCAAAGCCATATCACATTAAACGAGAGGCCACTCCAATTCGGATGTGACTTACCACCCTGCGCCCACGAATGATTTAGGCCGTTAGTGAGGGAAAAACAAGTATGTACTAGCTCACCATCCAGAAAAGCACATCAGATTGATAAAGATTGAGCGTGTCATCGTACCCGGTGCCTCCGGCAGACGGGAAAGTCAAGCGTGCCGAGAGATCGTGAAAGTCGTAATTCCGCCTTTCCACCATCTCATCGAACGCAGCCAGATGTGCGTTCACAAAAGTCAGTGCAATGGGTTGTGTGGACGCCAGTTCTGATACTCCGGATGAAGTTGGAGTGAACTCCAATCTCACAGCTGTGGCACCTTTGTTCCCCTACAATAGATTGTGTGGGCAAAAATTGACGGACGACTGATAGATTACCATAAAACCCATAATGCCTGCGCCTGCATGACAGAACTGGACGTCGTTGAAGCACGAACGTAGTGCCTTCTTGACAATTACTATCAGTAGCATTCCAACTAGCTGCGTCGAAACCAACTATGATACGTTCTCAATGACCGAAAGTTGCTTTGGCAGCTGGGAACGTTACCTTCTCATAGAGTATGCCTTTTTCGCCAAGTCCTGCAAAGATTGCCGTCATCCACATTTCTTCCTTTATGGGACTTGTTGCATATAGAAGAGCCTCAGTCGACATATCAAGTTCCTGAAATCCCAGAACGAAAATATCAGGGTCCGCCCCTTTCATTTCGGGGGTGGCGTTGGCGGAGGACTTGGTTAACAAGTCATCTTCATCTTTCTCTAAACAGAGACGTCACACTGGTACCACTCGGAATCAAGAGTGTAACCTCACCTTCTGGCAGCAAGTCGCACAAAGGCCCCAAAGGAGATAGCGGCTCCAGAGGGGCAATCCAGGGCTGCCCAGTGGTTTTCTTAGCCGCGACCCCCCGAAGCCAGGGCGACAAGTCTTGTGAGGGAATCTTCCCGTTGACATTGAAAGACCCCAAGCGCAAGCTGGATGAACAATTTTGAATAAAGGAATAACCAACTTGAGGGCGGTAAATACCGCAAAGACTTGGTTCCTACAGTAGCCTTTGCAGTTGAGGCTTTGCGTATCCATTCGTCGCGCACTGTTGAGATGTCTCGAAGATCATTTCCAGGGAGTCCGGCAGTTGCTTTTGAGAGCCGTTCGTGCAGGGGTATTATCTTGGTACGGAGATCAACTACCTTGGCTGTGCGGGGGTCACAAATTGGCACGTCAATGACGGTAACACTGCAGCAGCACACCGCGCACTTCGTAGAGCCATTTGATAGGGGCGCAACCAAAGAAAGTTGTCAGACGTGTTCAACTTCCTGGAGGCTTGTAAAGATACGACAGAATGAGATTTTCCTCTTTCTTTTGGCATTCGGTGGTCTTACCAGCTATGGCTTTCAAACGACGATACTCGGCTGAAAATTTCTGTAACTTCTGTATGTCGCTGGTGATAAAAGTCTGAGACGGAAAATCTTCGGAATTGGATTTGATTGTAAGTGTAAAGACTGAGTTGGACACATTCAGGAAAGAAGACATGATTATGCATTCAGACGTCACACACACACACCAGAGACACCCGGGATAGTCGGTGATGCAGGAGAGGGCAAATTTTCAAGTGATTGTTGTTTCGCCTGAGCGACAGTCAACGAAACATCACCAGTGATCGGAGAAGTGGTTTTTATTTGTAACTGGTTGTTGCTTTCGTCCAACTTGAAGACGATGAAGCTTCAGATAACTCCCGTAAGCACAGCGAAACGGACGCTCTATTCGAACACCTGGCACTGCACCTACCGTACCAGGTTTGCTCAGAGGAGCTAGTACCTACCTTGCCTCTTCAAATCCCCCGTCATCGTGCGTCACTATAGAAAGGAGTCGTCGACTGCGTTGTAGGGTGTCCGTGTTGGTGTCCGCTTGACCACTACCGTAGCTTTCTGCGTTTCCAGGTTCCACCTCAACGTTCAATGTGACCGTCGTGTTCTCAGATGGTCGAAGAAACGACTTGACCAGATCGTCCTGCCGATGGCTCATTCCTGTTCAATCAGTGCAAGTTAAGTCGCCGAATGGGGTTGCTCGATTTGGCCAAGTGGAGTGATTGACACATTCTTTCCCACGTTACCCCGCATTTCTTTCACTCAGCGAGACTCCACAATGCCTGGAGTAGCGCAAAGGCAAATAACAAAGGAAGTGCTCTGTGCTTGACGTCTTAATGGATGCGTTGTCTGCGCGTAGGGATGTAGTACGTCTTTGTGCCAACGTCAAACATGTGTCGTACATAGAGATCACGCAAGTAACTAGAACTATCTCGAAGTGGCACTTCCCACTGGTCTCCGGAGCATAAAAAGGGTCCTGGCGTCTGGTTGTTCTCGCCTGTATCCTTGTCTTATACCACATCCTCCACGTCGTAGTAGTTTGACATGACTCGTACGGAGCGCGCCACATACCCTCGTGCTGCGATGAGGGACCGTTCCCTATCCAAGTCGGGTCTGGACAATCACATCCGCAAGGGTGGTGGTGGTCATCACAACTGGGGAAGGCTTGCAGAGGAAGAATACCTCGAGGCGGCGGCAAGGGAGGATAACGCCCATGAATTCTCCAAGGAGTTCGACGAGCACGGTGCGCAATCACGTTGGCGTTGTCTCGGGTTTCGTGCCATCCTTACGCCAGGTCTAGGTAAGAAAGTCGATGCCCGCAAGCTTACGAAGGAGCGGTCAAGTTCACTGTCAGAGGAAGATATCCAACGGGCTAAGGAAATCAGGAAGAACGCCCTCAAGGATGATGGTGAGTTCTTGTACACTCCTGCAAATCCGAGATATCAAAGTAGGGGTCTTGATTGTAGATATTGACCTCACTACCATTGCTCGTACTTCCTCTGCTGTTTCCACCTCTCCCCCTCGTTTCGGTGACCTCTCATCTGTAGAGGTAAGTTGGTGTTTGGCCAGTGTTTCAACGTTCGACTAACTGTTTCTCGCTAGACGTCCAGCGCCGTGTCAATTTAATCCGTCGGAAGACGCGACTGGCTACTCTACTCTTCTGTTTGCCTTAGCCTGTCTGACATAGCCCGCAAAGACTCTGTATTAGTGTTGACGTTGTGACCAAGTAACCTATCATGTATGCTACAAAAACGAACGAACCTTAGTATTTGCGATTTTTTCATCGTATCGCTTAAACAAATTCTGCCCGTTGCAGTATGATATTATAATACACAAGCCCTCTGGGCACCCCTGGACGCCATGACACACAGCCACACCATCACTGAAACAGACCGGCCTTCACGTCCTCATGCGACGAACATCTTCGTCGGCAAGCATACAGCCAACATATCTAGGGGATGGCAGCGTGAGGTTCGGCAAAGTCCATCCTAACCATTGATCTTCGTCTGCAAGGAATCTGGAAACCGAGAGGAATTGCGTTTGAACGGGTGAGCACAAGCCACGATCCCTCCTGGACGCCGTACCTCTCCTCGCCCGCAGGGACTGTTGTTACGTGCATGGCTGCCTCCCAGGACACAAGCTGCTCTCCATAAGTAAGCTGACCAGGGTAGGGATTGTGCCAAATCTTGTAATCATCGGGGCCGTTCACAGCTATGTCATTGACTGGGTCAAAAAAGTCGAGGCAGTATTGTCCATACTGTTCCATGCCACCATCCCAGATGCGGATGACCAAGGGGGAGTTGGGGATCGGATAGTGTTGGATGTTCTTGTCGTTCGGCAGTGGCTTGGCCTGGAAATAATTAGCGCTTGCACGGACAACAATATAATAGTGACATACTCCAAGTGTAGGAAGCCTCCCATCGGGTGCCCAGGAAAATATGTCGTCCCACTTCTTGTTCAGCATGTCATTGTACTTGAGCAGAGTTGCATCACTGGCGCCCATGGCGTACAATGCCTGCTTCACGTCTGCTGGCGAGGAGGGCGGCAACATGTTGGGGTACACACGACGCATGTAGTCATCGAAACTGCTCCGAAAGACACCTGGGGGGGGTGTTGGGTTGCTCCTCGGTAACACTCGTTTGCGCCCGTTTCGGAGGGGTGCAGCGTCGTAACGCAGCACTATTTGTTTTCTCAGTGGCTGGAAGGCCGCCATCAGGAATGAGCAGGGTAGATACAGTGGCACGAAGACGCACACGGCGAGCGGTGGCGTTTATCCATCCTTTGGAAGGTGTGTTGCGCTGCTGTCTGCGAAGGGGAATGGGAATGGACATGAGTTTTTGTACTTACTTATCCAATCCCGTTCCTGTTCCCTAAAAGGACAGGGAGTGCGGAGTTTCGGGCTATCTTGGGGTGGGTACACCAGCCTTAGAAAGACTCGGTGCTCATCCTGAAGATCTCGTGCTTGATCCTTTTGTACAGCCAAAGGTTACATGCGAAGGCCATGTAAATATGTACTACAGCCGTTGCTTGGCACGGCGGTACTGATTTATCTGTGTACCAAAATGCAGATTCTCAATAACCCTGTGTTGACCACCTTCTATCAATGTTGGTGGAGCATAGTGACCGTCCACCCTTTCACGTGGATAATAGTAAAGAAAGTCAGGTTGACCATCCACATGAGTGTGCTGCTCATAGAACTCGTGATACCAGCGGATGAAATAGCCCGCAATTGGCTGGCCAGCAATCACCAACACCATGGGTATGGTACGGACAGGTGGTAGCTGTCACGAAATCCAGTTGCAGTCGCACAAACGGATACATAAAATGGTGATCACTCACAGGCACCATGCCAAAATTGTTAGGAGGACTGGGACCTAAGTCAACGACATCCAGGTTGGCCACATATGCGGGGAATGGGATCCAAACTTGTTCTGGTGGGTGACCAACTGGAACGCGGACTTCAGGGATGACAAAAGTAAGACCATTAGCGACCGCCAGTGCACGCTGCCTTATGGGTATAAGTCCCGCATTATGACGCCAATTTGTAATATGAAATGTCAATGCTGTACTGCCCAGGGTATCGTGTCCCTTCGGAACCAAGGAGGCCATAGTAAGCCATGACTGGCAACATGGAGATAGACATTCGGCACGAGCCATATCCAGTGGACAAAAAAGCAAGGGACCACACATACGTCAGCCCTAAGGGTCTTGATGATAATATATGCGCCTGTTCAATCGACAGTCCCGAAGCAGAGTCAAGGTGTTACAGCAATTTGCGAAAATAATGTCAGTAGCAAAATATTTGCAAGTCGCGTTGTGAGGTGGCGCTAGTGTTACTGATAGTAGCTTCCCACAGCGGGAACGGCACATGGAACTAAGTAGTAAGTACAGTGCATCGAGAACTCAAGGTCGAAGCCGATGCATGGGCATGCGTGGACAGCGCGAGAGATGGGCTAGCAGCAAGACAGGACACAGTACGTAGCTCGCCGTCTCACGTTACTGACGATCCGTCTCTAGCTACGGAGCCAAGTACGACGCACCAAGAGCGCAAGGTCAACAATGTACAGGCGTGTATGGAGAGTACTGGGCGTGATAAGGTACGAAATCGACTTCCTGATGTTACTGACGATCCGTTCCTAGGTATAGAGATACTTCCGGCACGTGTGGTACACAGTAGTGAAGACTGCGAGGACAGGATACTGAGACCGGCACCGAAGGCGGAAATATCGAAGACCAGCGACACACGTGACGACCGGCTTGGACAAGCCCCACAGAATACGATTCATTATTCCGACCGTTCACGCACTGACTGTTTAGATTCTACAGGTACTTTAGTGGTGGCTAACGAGGCGTTCGTACTAAGCAAAATAATGGCCATCTCGGACAAACGAAAGAAGAAAACGAGCGAAGAGCGCGAGATGCCGAAGGACCAGGACCGCCGACGCACGAAAGACATCAAAGTGAAATTCCGAAGGACGAGAGAAGCGAGTATGCGCGACTAGAAAATTCCGACGAACATTCAACGGTGCCATGTCGAGAAGAAGTATCGGTTGTTGGTCCGGGCAATATCGAGGAACCAACAGAGATGCCGTGTCTCGAGATGGCGGAATTTTCTTCGGGCATAAATAAGTTACTGACTATGGAACCACAGAAGACTACGGTACTGCAAGAGCACGAGCGAACTAAGGTGACAGGATCGAGACATCGTGCGGACGAGAAACGCCGTATCGAGGCGCCATCAGCGCAAACGGGTCACACGCAGCCATGGAGTTCGTTCGAGGAGACAACGAGTGATGGTCACTGCCCTGGCAACGCTGAGGAGTTCTACCCAAGGTATCAAGGGGTCGAAGAAAGCGCTATCGAGAATTTCGCGGTCGACTTGCAAGCACAGCAGTTAACGGACGAGCTGTTTGTGTCAAAGGCAGAGGATAGACCGGTCGAGTTGCTCGCGTGCAGTCTAGAGGTAGAACATTTGGTATGTGAAGGGAACGCTGACTCGTACAGAGCGTCAAAGCACGCGGAACGTGTCGAGACGAAGGTCGTAGCGAAGAAAGTTGAGGCGAATACGACGCCTGCGGAATTTGTTTTATTCAAGGATTCGTCAAGGGTATCGACTCGTGCACTCAGTATTGGGATCTATTCGTCTGATGTTCAAACATTTTGACATGATGCTGTCTGGTAGCTGCCTTGGCAAGAGTGTTGTTCCCCTCTTCTAGGTCGGAATTTATTGTGTTGAATCAAAAGGAATTTCCCTTTCAAAGAAGAGCCGGAAGGACGCTATATATCATTTGGCAGATATTGAGGTACATGCTGAAAATATATGCCAGCACGTCTTTGCCACCCTAACAGCGACTGTCTACCTTCTCAAGGTACTACCTCAAGTATGATTAATTGATTTGCGGAAGAGCAGGCAAGGCAGTGCGCTACCGTGGGACAGTTTGTCATGTTTCGAAACCCGCGGTGATCCAGGGAAGTGGGCAGGCACGAGTTCTGCATGCAATCGCGTGACGCAGCGGCAGAATAGCTCGGAGTATTCAAGGTTCCTTCTTCACCGAGGGCATCCATGCGCGGAGGGCCAGAGAGAGCGCATCGGTCCCAGACGGAGATCATCGGGGTTCGAGGTTAGCCCGTCGGTTACACGAGGAAATATTCACCCTCCAGGGCAATCCCAAGGGTGTACATGCCACCTCGCGGCGTCGGAAAGAGTTCAAAGCTTCACAAAGGGAGTAATGGCTAGCAACGTGGATTATCGTGCTGTTGCATCCGACACTCCCCAACGCTGACCGACACTATATACACACTAGCCCATCTTCGCCGTAAGCGATATGCTCCTCAATATGGACCATGTTTCTTGTCAAGCTGCTGCTAAGAACAACCTTGTAGCTCTACTGAAGATGAACCTGATGATTGGTAAACTCAACTTGGTGTTGGCATTCGTACTAACCTGAGTGGGCACCCGTATTTACAATAGAACGCTGCAGAGTTACTGTGAGCGTGGCGCGCCGCCCATCACTTCTTAGGGTCGTTCGGGTGCTTAGTGGAGCATGTAAACTTAGCCTTTTCGACTTGGCGCTGACCACATGATGGAGCAAGACGTTGACACACTGACGGACCGTCCAACAAATTTAAAAAGCCCATCGTGATTGGCAAATATGTTTTATGTTCTGAAATTTGAGTTTTGAGTACGTACCTTGACTTACATCGAGTCACGAGTTGAGGGGAGAGTGAAAGCGAACGATAGCGTGTAACACTTGCACTTGCAAAGGAGGGAGTCTTCCATGATTTTGTCAATCGCCTTACTGTACCCTCATCCGCTGGAGCCATCGAGATGGTCATGCCCGAGCTATTTGGTAGCGTAAATAGCAACATATAGGCCTAGTTCAGAACGCGACGAAGCTACCATGTGCATATCATGAAGCAGATGCAATACAATTCTGCTCAACAGTGCATACGCCCAGTGTAAGTCCGTCATACCACCCGATTTCGGAAGTCTCCCGGATATGATCCAAGTCGAGGTGCGGGAAGATGCGCTTCTGCAAAGTGAAACACGGGGCAACTTGTCCAGGCAGAGTTTTGTATACGGCGATGGGGGTCACCACGTACACCACATCAGAACTTGTGGACACAAGGGTATCTACCAAGGCACTTTCAGCGGCACCTGCGAGATCTGTGATTGCCACTTTTCCGGACTGGACGTCTGATCCGCGCGTGTGAGCAAGTTGCAACTCAAAAGAGATAACACGGGAGAATACCTTGCTGGGGAATCCCGAGGAAACGGCGAGGCGGCATGTATGTCTTCCAATAAACGATATGGGTAGTCGTTGCAAGATTATCCGTCATTCGAGTATTGAGATAAAGTAGCGAAGGGACAACCCCGCCCTGGTGCATGATGCCAAACACCACCGCAAACACGACATTAAACATAATCCATGTGACCTTGCGATAACATTCTATGAATTATCATTATCTCCACTCGAGACAGAGGGGCTTACCCAAAATGCTTTTCTAGGCCACCGAGACGAGGTGGCAACGAGCACTATCGCTGGGAGAACTATGGGGCATAAAAATCTGGGCTCTTGATGGGGGACAACGCACAACATCGCAAGAAAAAGAACAATTATTTGAGATATCGCTATATAAAAAAGGATCAGAGATGTACAAGCACCTTACATTGCTCCACTCTTACTTTCTCGTGTAACATCAAGCGCACGTGCCCTACCCACAGCACCGTGTATTGAGCCCTTGAAAGAATGGTATATGTTGCAAGTTGTGAGAAACCAGACCCACGGACTTAGCAACATCGGCAAGTTTACAAATAGATGCAACCAGCGCGGGTGCAGCCCATGTTCGGCCAAATTATCTGCAGAGGAATTATACCTGAGAAAATTGAGACATGGAAATACTGGGTGAAAAGGAGTTCCCCAGTAATAGAGCGCGTCCGTAACGGCGAAACAAAGGACCGTGAGAATCCCAGAACACAACGGCAGAGCCAAGAGTCTTCCCGTCCGACTTATAGACCCTGCAGCTTTGTACGAATATCGAAGCGCCTGAAAGCTTATTGGAAGTGCGAAGGTGAAGAAGGTCGGTCTCATGGAAGTTCCGAACGCACCCAAGGTGCAAAGGGCATGCAGATTCCAATGCAGAGCCGCATTTCCGCTCTTCGCGCTATGCTCGTGCGAATCCGATGAAACTATTCCCACTATATTGTTCAAGAATACCAAGCAAAGGGCTGCGATCACTGACTCGAGCGAGTTGGAGAAAGGCCGGATGTAGAAGGCATGCGTGACATACGATGACGAGAGGAGTAGAAGTGCGAAGGAACGCATGGGTGGCGGAACGAGTAGGGCCACACTCATGTCTGCGCGAAATTCAGACCCAAACGAGTACAGAGCACGCACACCTTACCGAGGAGTGAAGACAAGCAAAGGAAGGACAGTCTCTCGAGCCGGAAAAGGGTCGCCGGGCCCAGGGTTTGGTCGGACAGTGCTGCTGTTTACCTTCATTCAAGTTCCTATGCTCCACAGGCCTGAAGCGAATCTCTCACAGTAAATTCTTTGAGCAACGAAAAACGGTAGTCCGGTGGTCATATATACTGGGATGACGGCCCGCAAAGGGAAAGTAGGGTCCCACTCCCATGATCTGAAAGTGTAGTATCCAAGGATATCCGCTAGATCCCACGTCAGGTCCCCACAAGCTGGATCCCACCGAACTTCATACGCACCAGCTGTGATTTCCGCATTTTGCATGTGTTCGTCGGGATGAATGTACCCAGTGCCATAAAGCGCGAATAGTATGCGAGCCACCCAGAGAGCAGCATATATCCGACTGAATGAGTGGCGGAAGTCCACCATACGACTTTAACCTCGCTGTCGAGGTCGTCCGACACTGCTATGTAGTAGCCTGATCAATGCGTTAGCAGTTGTTTTGAGCCATTTCTTACACTCACCGGACCTGGCGGAGTTCCAAACACATTTGGCCTTCGACAAGTCGCTATGGTCTGTGCAGCTGTTCAATGGTCCGCCGAGGTGCTCACTGATAATAATTGGGTTTTGCGTTACCGTCGCGCAATACATTTACTTCGTTTTGTCGACGGTTTACGACAATAGGCCTCTCTTCACTTTTGCTCGGAGTGCAACAATCTCCTTTACCCCAAAGCCGATCCACAACGTCGTATAATGGTATACGCCTGCAGGATATGCACCTATGACGAGATTGGGGACAATAAATGTGTTTACCGCAACGATTTGCTCACTGTCACCAAGTAAGTTTCATTCGTTGGGTTCACTCGCGCGGTGCGAGACGCATCCGCGATCCATTGCGCCTTCTCGTATGATGGCTTATTAAGCTATTCGCCTATCACAAAAGGGAGCAAGTTGGCGTTACAACCGACCTGGGTTCCGATTCGACCCTAGTACGTTACTACCCTTGTTTGACCCTTGCGTTTACAAATCACCCGATTACAGGCCCATGAGAACATTACATGTCCGCGCTGTGGTCATGAGGAGTGCGTGAACCTGGGTAATCTCAAACCTTTTACTGATTTCGCAAACCAGCGCGGTCTTCTATCAAGACCAGTCTAAACGGAAGGAGACGCGGATGATCCTCTTCTTCGTGTGTACGAAGTGCAATCACAGTTTTACAGATCCCACGCTACCGCTTGAAGGCAGACCAGACACGTAGGCCGCTATCTGCTAACCTTGGCGTAGATAGTCTGGGATCTGTGCCGTACGTTCCCCAATTGATGTGACAATGGTCCGCTACTAGAAGGTACGAGTAATGCAATAGGACACCTTCCTCTTCCCTTGGTAAACCGTTCGAACGTGTATCTACGGCGTAAGAAATAACTATCTCCGCTGATCAACGTAAGTGAGCTGACCCCTCGATGCCACAGGCCATTGGCTACAAAGATATGTGCATTCCTACAGGCATTCGATCGCCGTGGTGCATCCGCTTGGGGATTTATTTTGGGGATACCTCCACGGCCTCCAGAGAATCGTACCCCTGCCTCACCATTTTGCTGTTAATGCTGTTTATGGGTGTGCCCCCAAGGGCAACTACGCTGCATGGTGACCTCAACTACGCCTGAGAAATCCTTGTGACGTGGGTTCTACGTAGTCAAATGAACGACTTCGCCGCCGCGCACATTTTGGACTATTTCAATTAGCCGAACCATCTCAGCGAAAGCGCCAAAGGTCCATGACACTGTAAAAGGTCTTATAGCGATTTAAGGTTGTGACAATCTGCTTTCCTGCCATGCGGTCAGTTGAAGCCGAACTCGTACCTGCCATACAAGTGAAACACAGCATGTCGGTGGCGTTCATGTTCCTGACGTAGGGGTGCTGCCGTGTCACTTTCGGTACTCGGAAAGACAGTGAGTCTTTCCGAGTTCTTCTGGAAGGCAGATAGATCAAAGATAGATATAGCTTACTAAGGCGAGTACCTCAGTTCTCGCAAAGCTCAAGTTCGTGCTGGTGCCCGACCCACTCGGCAGAACCGAAAGTCTGGTTAGCCGAGCAAAGCCCACTGGGCTGAATTTTTTTTGCTGTTTTCCAATGGAACCCACTTACGTACTATTAATGAACGGATATGACCTCACACTTCAGGCAAGTCATACTATATATGGTTGAAACGCTGAGCGTTTGAACAGGCAAGATGGGGAAGGGAAGGGTTGCAAGGAGCCACGGACCACCACCACGAGCATATACTTTTTTGGGATTAAATTTACGCAGAAACAGTCCCCGAGACGGGAAACGACAGCTGCTGCCGAGGTGCCAGTCAAAGATTCCTCACTTCGATTGGCCAGGGAAGCCGGTTGACATCACTTGACGTTCGGTGCGGGTCTCGACTGAACACGTAGCAAGCCCATCAACCTCGAGCCGGCCGGCGATGGCGGACTTCCCACATATGGAAGTAACACCCACATGCTCCGTTGCCCATCAATGTCTCCCTTCCGTGCTTGTATATGCCCCGAGCTGTCTTCCTGGTGACCTTTCAGCGATGGGCCATGGAGAAAATAATCCAGGGGCTGTCGGGATTCAAGATCGCGCCCGCGAGGAAGCTTAGTGTGTTCTAGGCGCAGAGCGTCGGATGCTGTCAAACCTCGCCCACACGACGATGACAGCATTGACGCCGTAATCAAGCATTTGCCGAAGGTTGGCAATAAATATAAGACGGTTGTTAAAAACACGCTGCCAATCTTCTTATTTTCCCATCTCTCTTTAGGTCCTTTTTGTTGAACTGCAAGTTCACACCCACCGTTCCCTTGCCAGTCGTCACTCCAGTTAACATTAGGTCATAATGAAGTTCGCCGCCGTCGTCGTCCTGGCTGCTGCTGCCGCCATCGTCTCTGCTGAGACCAATGCTGAGCGTATGGCTCGCGGTCTCCCTCCCAAGGCCCCCCTCCGCCGCGGCCATTCTGGTACTCCCGCTGACAGTAAGTCATCTGCTGTTTGTTCTCCCATCGTTCTAGTTCACTGTAAATGTCTTTTTCTTTTCATGTAGCGGCGAAGAGAGGTCAGCCTTCCTCAACCGGTAATAACCAATGCAACACTGGACCTATTCAGTGCTGCAACACCGTCGCTGCCTGTGGTTCTCATCAAGGCATCGACGACCTTATCAGTGTCCTTGGCCTTTCAGTGCCCATTGGCACGCAGGTTGGTGCCAGCTGTTCTCCAATCACAGCGGTCGGCACCGGCAGTGGTGCACAATGGTAGATACCATCCTTTACCTGCGTATTTGCCCATTGTTGACGCACCTTCTCAGTTCCAGCCAAACTGTTTGCTGCGAGCAAAATGATTGGAATGGTCTCATCAACATCGGATGCATGCCCGGTAAGTTAACTCATTCAAAGTCTGCGTGGGTAGTTGCTCATAGTTCGAGTAGTCAACATAAACGCCTAGTTCGCCCATCCATCGACGTGCTTCGCACGTTCCGCTCCTTACTGTTGTTGACCTAGCCTCTTAGAGGTCATAGACGCTTCATACCTAATTTTACTTTCGCGCATGGTATCCCTTGTTCAATACCCTTGGTCCATTTTTAGGTTGCCTTTGTTGGATGTGCCCATGCAATGCGTTGACATGTTGGTCACCGTCCGTAATGCATAATACCTGGCACTAGTACTGGTAGATAGCAATCATTGAAAGATGCATTGTCATTGCACAAAGTGGGTAAACACAATTGTGATCATCATTCTTAGGATTTCTTTTATGTTTGGGTGTTTTTGCATAATTACGTGTTTTCTCGAATTAGTTAGCTTGGTGTTGTCCGAGGACTGGATCAGGTCATCCACGCGCAAAGCGGAAATAAGATGACGCTTGGGAACCAACCCACCGAATTTTGCCGACCGTTAAGTCTTCTCTTCTCGTCCCCGTCGTGGTACGTCCATGATTGATGATCCGCATCCTCGTGTCTCCTCACGCGCACACCTCGGTTTCGTTCCTCTAGTTCTCACCGATGATAAGCATGTTTTCTCAAAAATGACCTTGTCAACTCACTTCCCAAGCAAGGATTCTATATATCGGCGGCCTTTCTCAAGTGACGAGACTGAGGCACCCCGCTTTAAATGCCTCGCAGCTTACGCGCCGATTGCACTATCAGATTGACTACAGGTTGGCAACGGTGCGTCATGATGCATGATGGATTGATCCTTGATAAGTTTCAATAATCAGATGCGGGGGTTACGGGGCATATGAGGAGTACCACCCCTGTTATATAAGCTGAAGCTCAACGGCGTCTCCGATGGAAACCACGCTCTAAAAAAAGGTGCCAGGCGTTCGGTGAGGAAGTAGAAGTTCGTGGCCTGGTAATTCCACCGACAATCAGGGTAAATATTTTCATCACCTTGCAACCAGATATCACAGATAATAGCAGTGTTGTGCGTTGTCAGAGGACGCCCTGATACGACGGCGGTACATGTGGAACTTCTGTAATAAATCGGGAGCTTCCACTGAATGTGGCAACGGGATAATATTCAAATATTCAGGTGCCAATAAACCGTAGCACAAGTGGAAATCATAATATTTGTCCTACTTGTGACCTAGTTGTCTGTGCCTTCCAAGCCAACAAGCCAAAAGAAATATTTCTCGTCGAGTATTAGAGTGAGTTGCTGTTGAGAAATGACTGGAGGCGACGTTCAGAGGTGGGTACGCTGATGCCGACTCAGACAGTGGTGTTTTAGCTCGAAGTTTATTTGGGGGTATTAGGAAACCAGCAGATTGGATTTGGTATGTATGTCTACATTTACGTAAACTATACAGTACGCTCGGATTCTGCCGGGTGGCTGCTAGCTCAGTGATCGTCAGTAAGGCTAGTTAAGTCCAACGCCATCGCCGACGTCAAGATGCCCAAAAGTAAGCTGCGTTTTTTTATGTGCAAAGTTCGACTTAATGACGCCAATGTTCAACAGTCTACAAGCCAGGAAAAGTGAATATTGGGTAGTTGATTGCTATGGTGGGACTGATGCTGAATTGTAGTGTCATATTTCCTAGGTTGCTATCGTCTTGCAGGGCCGTCAGGCAGGCAAGAAGGTTGTGATAATCAAGCAGGTCGATGAGGGTACGAAGGAAAGACCGTACGCTCATGCAATTGTAGCCGGTGTTGAGCGCTACCCCCGGAAAGTGACGCGTGCTATGGGCACGAAGAAGGTACAACGAAGAAGTCGGGTTAAGCCTTTCATAAAGGTCTGTTTATCTTCTGCATATATTCCAGAAGCGGGCTCACGTTTTGGCTTTCCGCAATCTCGAATGCAGATCGTGAACTACTCGCATCTGTTCCCTACGCGTTATGCTTTGGAGCTGGAGGGGCTGAAGGGTGTGATCTCGCCAGATACGTTCAAGGAGCCGTCACAGCGAGAGGATGCTCGTAAGACGATTAAGAAACTCCTCGAGGAACGGTACCAAGGTGGGAAGAACAAGTGGTTCTTCCAACCCCTTCGCGTGAGTGCCTTTTACAAGATCATGGAAATTAGAGCTCAACCGCTTTGCGTTTGCTCACCGTAGTTCTGATCCCGCTGCCGTCCATTTGAGATAACCGATGGAGAGATGACACAAAAGTCCATGTATCCTACATGCTTTTCCATGACGCATCACACAATATGCATCGTACTTCTTTGGAATATGCCGTTAGGATGAAACTTTAGTACATACTATTGACTGCTGTTGAGCGTGAACTCGACAAGTCAGTACTACCCATGCCGGTAACCCGAAGACCACAATCTTTGCTCACTGCAGGGGTTCTAAGTCCCCGATAGATAGACAGGTTGTAGCACCAGAAAATGCGGGACTAAAGCCTACAAGGTCACGTGATCCCCCGACGCGAGACGACAACCCTCCAAGCATGATACTGCCAGTGTAACGTGCCAAGGTAAGAGTGCGCCAACACTGTCAGGTGCGATGTCCACGATGAATCTCATGTACCGTAGGTCGTTATCCGTCTGGGCTCAATTTCCAAGTCCTCGATCAAGAAGGGCCCATCAGTAAGGCTCACCACTGGCTAGCACGGCACGGACTGACAGGCTCGATGAGCAGCTGGCCACTCCTTCTCTGCATATACTGTGACAATGTCGGGATTTGGTTCGTTTGGGACTCAGAACCAGCCGGGGACCACCTTGTTTGGTGGCACAAGCACATCAAACACCGGCACAAGTCCTTTTGGTAATCCCCAACAAAACAATTCGCAGTCTGGCACTTCCCTCTTCAGGGCTGCAGGGCCCGCGTCCAACTCAATGGATTCTACAATGACACCTGGGGGACCCTTTGGGAACACCTCCAACCCAAGTGGTGGCAGCGGCTTGTTTGGAAACACAAGCACACAGCAACAGCAGCCAGCTCCCGGAGGTTTATTTGGAGGTACCGCGAACGGGCAGCAGCAACCTTCATCTGGAACCACCCAACCTTTCAGTGGCGGCTTGTTTGGGAACCTCGGTGCGCAGCAGCAGCAGCAGCCCGCAAACGGATCGCTATTTGGAAATGTGCCTACGCCGGCGCCAGCACAACCGACAGGTGGGAATCTGTTTGGCGGAACGTTCGGGGGTACAGCTGGATCTGCGTTCGGAAACACCAACACCAGACAACCGGCTGGAGGAAACTTGTTCGGTACAGCTGCTGGAGCCAGCGGGAGTACACCGACGCAACAACAACCTGCAACTGGTCTCTTCGGAAGCACAACGACAACTTCCGCACCCGCAACAGGTGGCTTGTTTGGCAACACTAATCCGTTATTCGGGAATAAAAGCCCGTCCAGTATATTTGGGAGCCAGGCTACACCAGCCATCCCTACGACGACGACGACGACGACGACTACGACACCTTCGTTGTTTGGGCAGTCTAGTACGGCTACGCAACCAGCTACCTCGCTTCTTGGACAATTCCAGGCAAAGCCTTCGGGAAACCTCTTCGGCTCGACCACCCAGCCCACTAGAACTGGAAGGCTATTTGGTAGTTCCCTAGCACCACCGATAACCTCTACTTCGTCACTACTCGGATCAAGGTCATCCTCGACAGCTGCAAATCAACAGCAGAGCGACCCACAATCTCAGTTTGCTGCGCTGACACAGAGGATAGATGCCATAGCTGAAGCATGGAACCCATATTCGTCGCAGTGCTGTTTTCAAGTGCGAGTTCATTCTATTTTATTCATAAGGAAGCTCTGACAAGTAGTGGTAGCATTATTTTTATAATCTGGTCGACCCTAGCCAGGCAAGCCTGTATGGCCGACCGCCTAATGCCACCAATGAGGCCTTATGGCAAAGGGCTGTGCGTGACAACCCCGACCCTACTTGGTGAGTAGGGAAATCTGTAGGAGGCCCGTCACTATTGATTGTTGTAGCCTCGTTCCTGTTCTTGCACAGGGCTTTGATGCACTCCATACGCGCGTTGAAGCGCAGACTCAACAAGCAGCTGCTCAACAAGAAAAGCTGAAGGCGTGTTGTCTTTTCTTCGAGTTGCTTGACATCAGCTGAAAGGGAATTAGGAGCTCGAGAAAACGATTGGTGTCACTGAAAGCGGTCCACAATGACAACAATATGGCGCGGATCCAACGCGCTATAGCCCAGAACACCCAAATTTCACACCGACTATTGAAGTTAATTCAACACCTGCACCTCTTAATACCTGCTGTTCGTTCTTCTGCCATACGCCCCGAAGAAGAGGCACTTCGCGCGGCCCTCGAGGAGATCGAAGAAGAGGTTCGCCGGCCAGGCGGGACTAGTAAGATGCGTGGTAAACTAAACGAGTTATGGGCTTTGGTTGGTGCAGTAAATGCTGCGAGAGAAAGGGGCAAAAAGGTAGGGGCAGATGGTCCTACGGAGTGGACCGTGGTCGACGAGGATGGCCTAAAGCAGATTGCTCAGGTGTGTTATCTGCTTAGCCGCGGATCGCGACAGCTATCTAACCTGCAGAGCAGATACTGGCTGACCAGCATGCGGGCCTGGAACACCTCACTAAAGTTTTACAACGGGGCCTCAAAGATCTCCGTGTGGTCACGGGAAAAGGAACTGAGGGGGAAAACTTGAGCACAGAAAAACTTTCTAGTTCAACTTCTTCGCTTCACGCGAGTACCTTGCGTTGACTGACTATTGTTATTGTTGTGTTGTTCCATGACCAGCACAAATGGGGCGTGGCAATTGGCAACTGTGTAGTTCTTACATAGATAGGAGTACCTGGTTGTTGCTGTTGGTTTGTCTACATAATACAAAGTACTTTAGTCCGTCTTCAGCCCTGACACGGCGTTTGTTTTGTTATCGATCACCGCAGCCTGCAGACCGCCATTAGCCACGCAGTTTCAGCCTGATCCATCAAACGACCATCCAAGAATGCGCTACCGTACGCTCGAGATACGGTGGCACGACTCGAAGCCAATCTCGACATGCGACTTCCAGCCAATTCCATTTAAAAAAGCGCGTCCTTCCCAGGAGAAGAACTTTGCTTCCCAATCGTACAAGCTTGCAACTGGCGGAGAGGACAACCATGTCAGGGTGTGTCCTGTTTTCTGCTGCAAAATTCCCCCCCCTCGAGTCTCATTATGTTGGCAGATCTGGATGGTACATCCGAATATCTTGCCGCCAACCTTGGTAGAAACTGAGAACGCGACCGTTACACGCCCACCTCGCGTTGAATATCTCGCGACGCTAAGCCGTCATACAGCGCCAGTTAACGTAGCGCGCTGGTCGCCCAACGGTACGCGTCCGGTTTTGTTGAATGTGCAAGTGTACTTGACAGCGCAACTTCTCTTCAGGAGAATTAATTGCATCAGCGGGCGATGGTATGTCTGAGCACCGAGTTTCATGTCCTATGCTGCAATTCTCGTGTAGATGGCATGATCATAATATGGGTGCAGTCGAGCACACCACCACCTGCTACGTATTCAGGGGATCTATCTGCTGAGGACCTGCAGTATGAAAAAGAGTTTTGGAAACCGCGCACGACTTTCAGGTAATGCATCCTTATCTTCGGGAGCGCCCGGGGTCTTGATGTCTACTGCGTTGAGATGCACGACAATGCAGGTCTATGATCTTGCCTGGAACCCAACGGGAGAATACATCTTGGCAGGTAGCACGGACAACTGTGCTCGTGTATTCACAGCTGCTGATGGTGAGGAATCTGCCTGGTATTAATTCGCTGCCATGGTTAATCCCGTGCTCAGGCAAATGTATACATGAAATCGCCGAACACAACCACTACGTACAAGGTGTTGCATGGGATCCATTGAACGAGTATATCGCAACCCAAAGCAGCGACAGGTCGATGCACGTGTACAAAGTTTCCACGAGACAAGGTTCTTTTGATGTTCACGCTGTGGGAAAGAATACGCGTCTGTCCTACAATCACAGCCGGACGCCCAGCTCCCAAAGCCGCGGAAAGAGCATTCGGCGTGAATCTGCCAGCGATGTGGAGTCAGTCACCACCGGTTCTGGGGATCACAAGGAGGACGCCCTGTGCTCCACAAGCCAGGGAAACTATGCACCTCCAACACCTGCTACTTCTGTCGCCAGCACCCCGTCTACCATGTTCCCACCACCTAACGTCGAATGGCCACCGTCCAGGCGATCCTCGTTTAGTGGATCGAATGCCCCGTGCTCGCCTTCTCATCTCTCAAGATATGGGAGGTCCCCATCACCTATGCCCCCTCTTCCTGCGATCCGTGCGCTTCCTTCGCCGGCTTGGTCGACTATCAAGCTATACGGAGACGAGGGCTTCACTAACTTCTTTAGACGTTTGACATTCAGTCCTGACGGTGGTTTACTCTTGACTCCAGCCGGTCAATTTGAGGACCCGTCATTCCCGCCAGAGCCCAAAAAGGCCGAAGGAACACCTAAGAAGAAGACCTCTCGATCCTCGGACACCGCCAGCGAGTCTAGCAATCCCAATTCTGGGTCGTCGGTGTTCATCTATTCACGTGCTAATTTCGCTCGGCCCCCCATAGCTCAACTTCCTGGTCACAAGAAAGCGAGCGTGGCGGTTCGCTTTTCCCCCATTTTATGCGAATTACGTAGCGGTGTTAGTGGCTCCGAAGGAATTGGGGAGGCTAAAACGATCAACTTGGAAAAGAAGGAAGGCAAGATTGTAGTTGACATCCTCGGGAAGAGCCACGATGCACCACCCCCGCGCGCGGAAGATAGTCTATCAGCAGCGTCTGTTGCTCCCCTGTCCGCTGACGCCCAATCCACGGCAGCGCTGTCAACTACTCTTCCACCAAGGCAACTAACACCCTCCCAGCTGTCTAGGCCCTCGACAAGCACTGCTCAAAGCACAGGCTCGGTCTTTGCATTACCTTATCGTATGCTTTACGCCGTCCTGACTATGGATACGATCGCCATATATGATACACAGCAGAGTGGACCAATTTGCCTACTCACCAAGTTGCATTATGATGAATTCACGGACATAACATGGTTTGTGACAACTGGTTCTGAAACTACTGCTCATATTGATCGCTGCTCCAATAGGTCGCCAGATGGCCAGTGCTTGATCTTGTCGTCTAGAGATGGTTATTGCACGATCATCATATTTGACGAGATTTTCCCTGCGCACCATACACAACAATCCACGCTTCAACTTCAGTCCATTGCACAGCATAACTTTGTACCACTTACGGTATCGTCTACTTCGTCAAACAGTAGTTCGGCACTGCCCATCATTTCTGCACCAACTGTCCCAGCCAAGCGGACCGAGTCATTTGCAGTGAATCTGCCAAGCCTTGACAACCCACAAGTGAACCCTCCCCCTGTTTCTTCTGCCACTGGAGGCGCGGTGGAGAAGAAACTCGACGACGAGCGACCTCCGAAGAAAAAGCGCCGTCTTGCCCTGACACACGTGGGGGATATTGAAAGCATGATATAGGTTTGGCGACAGCAATCACGCGTATTCTGTTGAACGATTTTTTACTTTATGACTAGTCTAATCTCATCGGTGGAATTTCCAGCGACCCCGATTTCTTCTGTGCACGTTTATTTATGTTTTGCGAGCCGTCTCCGGCGTGCATGTATTCATTCGTTGTGATGTAATGTCAATGTCGTACAGTGTGGCCAGATTACATACACTCGTGGCGTGGTGGTCTTACTCGACTGAGAAGGGGAGGCAATAGCAACCACATCAGGCTACCTTGTTTTTGCTTCTCTTCCCTACTTGTGCCTGGAATCCGCTCTTGATGGTATTGACAGACCGCCGCGAACCACATGACTCGCAAGACATGAAGAATATGCGGTTCTCCTTCGTGAGAATGGTGTCGGGTGACTTGCAAGTCTTGCAAGTGACATACTCGACTGCAGCGTCTTAGAAAGGGGGTTCTGGGATAGCACAGGAGGAAGAAACCTACCAATGTATCGACGGAGAACGTTTTCTACTTGTTTGGGTTGGAAACGACCCTTTATTACCAAACGTCCCATGCCATCCACAGATCCGGTCGTACCCATCTCCGCAAATAAGAATTGGATGACGTGGTCTGGTGACCGGTGCATACGCTTGCAGATATCAGCGATATTGGCGAATATAGATCGCCGTATGCCTTCTCTAAGGATTTGAGGTGGGGCAATTGTGTACCGTTTTCCGGCAGATGTGAGCAAAGAGGGATTTGATGCATGAAGAGACGCGTAGAAGCGCAGCAAGAGCTGAGCGAATAATGTCAGAATGTTGGCAGTGATTGGGGAGGGTGCTCACTCACTTCATCGTAAGTGTAATCGCGATCGCTACCGAGCCAGGGCTCCGTACCACTATCGACCCCTGTTGGTGCCTCTGGGCGAGCGAAGGGGTCGTCGCCTAGATCCGCCTCATCTATGTCATTCAGATGCTCTCCGTCATCGACATCGACATCCTCTGTATCCTCCTTTGCCTTTGCCTCATTAAGCTCCTTCTCAAAATCCTCCATGGCCTTTTTCTTGCTGGTTTTCTTCTTCTTTTTCACGTCAGAGAAGTCAAGGTCCTCTGTAGGAGCGATCGCTGGTGGCAGGCCTTCGGAGGCATCTTCGCCCTGAACAAGGCATTCGCATCGCAATTAATAGAAGAGAAAGTACAACCTTACAAGATCCATTGGAATATCCTTCTTCTTTTTCTTCTTCTTGAGGCCTTCAGGGAACATCGCCTTGAAGTCATCGGCCTCCCTTCCCTCATCTGCATCATCATTTTCAACAGCCGTACTCTCACTCCGCTTCATCTGCTCATGTAGGGTAGCTGGCCCCAAGTCGACAGCACTACCATCTGTCGTGTGGTTGTCGATCGTGGTCGGTGCAGGGGTGGTAGGGTCAGCATCACGGCCCAGTGGGTCTTCTGTGAAAGCGACGGTCTTTTTCTTGCGCTTCTTCAGTGAAGGATCAAACAGCGGCTCTTCCGAAGCCATTTTTCGCGCCGATCGCGGTGGTCGTTGCAGTCGATGAGTCAAGCCCGTCGATCGGTTTGGGAGAGGCCATCAGATGCCGAGATTCGAGTCGGCGACCGAATATCGGCAGGTGATTTGCATCTCCGCTCGCTCGTCGCCGAGGCTTCCCGATACTCCCAAAGACGGGCTGACCAGCGCAGGTTGACTAGATTTTCAATGTTTGCAAGGAGTTCCCTCGGCCGCATCGCGTCTCAGCGTCCGACGCTGGGCGCTGCTCCTCAAAATGCCCGCAACATGGCTACCCTGCGCGAAATCGAGTTGCGTCTGAAGTCCGTCAGGAACATCGAAAAAATCACCAAAGTATGTTTGGTTTTGTACACCGGGTTGCAATGAGCACAATTGACATTTGGTATCGTAAAGTCGATGAAAATGATTGCCTCGACGAAACTTGCAAAAGCGCAGCGCGCCATGCAAGCTGGCAAGGAGTACGGTTCAGCTAACTCCGGTGCGCTCCGCCCTCCAGCCCCGTGTGGATTTAGCAACTCATGTAGCTCGTAGAAATCTTCCAGCACACTCCTCCAGAGACCCCATCAAAGCGCAAGCTCTTCGTTGTCGTCTCGTCCGACAAGGGTCTTTGTGGCGGTATCCACTCGTCTGTCTCCAAAGCTACCCGCCGTGCATTGGCTGAGTCCGACCAAGCTGATCCAGCTTCACCCGTCATGGTCATTGGTGACAAGTCAAAGGGCCAGTTGTCTCGCGTGCTCGGGCAGAACATGGCCATGAGCTTCAACCAAATTGGCCGCGACATCCCCACATTCGCTGACGCTGCTGGTGTTGCTGACTTGATCGTTAAGAGCGGTGTTGAGTATGACAGCGTCACTATTGTGTACAACAAGTTCGTCTCGGCTATATCATACGAGGCTGCTACTGTCGAGGTCACCACCGAGAAGCTTCTCAAGGAGTCCCGTTAGTGCTCTCCTTGTGACTATCATCCATATACAGACTAATCGTTACTCTGCAGCTGGATTCCGGGCATACGAGATGGAGGATGATTTCGCCAAAGACCTTGCAGAGTTCTCGCTTGCGAATGCTATTTATGCTGCACTGGTCGAGGCTCATGCTTGTGAACAGAGTGCTCGGTAAGTTTCCTGTTGTCCGTTGTTGGCAACTACTCACCTTTTTTTTTTTGACAGTCGCAATGCCATGGACAATGCTTCCAACAATGCGAAGGACATGATCGGTGCTTTGACTTTGCAATATAACCGTGGTCGCCAGGCTGCCATTACCAACGAGTTGGTCGACATTATCACCGGTTCGTATCTCGTAATTCACTTTGACCACTCAAAATGGCTCACGCGGTCTCGATGATAACCAGGTGCAAGTGCTCTGTAATACCACCTTATCACATAGAATACATACAGACCTCGTTAGTGAGAGAACCTCGACCCGCTTCCTCCTATTTGGTATGCATGAGTGAGCCTTGCTGCAGTCTGTGGTTCAGTTTTTGGCTTTCGCGCGTGTAAGGAACTGCAGGGTCACAATAGCTACCATTGAGGGGGATCCGAACTCGTATAATATGCGTGTTTCCATCCGTCTCGTGTTCCAATCACAAAGCTCCAGTGGGGGTTTCTTCGAACAACTCCTGATTGCACGCCATCAAATCGACACATACCTTCTGATCCTACATACTAACAAGATGGAAAGCGACATTGAGCTCGATCCCCAATACTAAATTCTAGTACCAAGACACTCGGAATACCACCCAGTATCAAAGCATTCACACCTGCCTTGCGAACACGGATGTTCCCCTGCTGAGAGTCATACGTTACAGTCTAGACGAGTTTGACAAAGGCACGAGCGAATTTAGGCGTTTGATGTCTACGGGTAGAAGTAGTTACAACACTAGAAGCAGTCAAAGACAGGAAAGTGCTTGCCGCTCCACTATTCGATGGGGCGATTACAATTGTACTCGAAGATGCCGACGGGCGATTCCTCTAGAGACCGTCATCGGAATGTCGAGTTTGGGGAAAGTCCCAAACGATTCAAGGTCAATCAGGACACCGGCTTTAGGTATAAGGACACTTGGGATATCTCATGGGTGGGTAGTCGGGGCCGCCCGCGCAATTCAAACGACCTATGCATCACCTTAAACACCAGGGGGGAAGGGAGGCAAAACGAGTAGAATGCCTACTTTGGGTGCCAAGCTCACGATCTTAGGACCATCCTTTCATTCTCAGATCTGCACTAACAACGCCACCTATGCGGGTACCCAGCATCTCCCGCTTGTTGTTTAGCAAAACGACTGCGTTGTCGTCGAAACGGATGAAACGACCGTCGGGTCTGCGAACAGGTTTCTTCGTCCGTACGAATCACGGCGCGTCGCACGTCACCACGTCGCACTTTAACAGCAGTGGCAGACGCTTGAGCGGCTTCTGATATTGGACGTGCCTTGTTTGACGACGCAGACGATTTCGTCACCCTACGGACCCCCACCCATTGTTGACCTTTTGCTTGAGCACGTTGACACATTCTACGAGAAGAGCACCCGAGTTATCGATTACCTTAGGACACCTTGTCAAAGGACTCCATACAAGCAAGCAAGCCGAACTCACATTCAGACATCCCTTGAGTCCAATCATGTCGTGCAGCTGAAAAGCATGGAACCAAAAAAGAAAAAAAGAAAAAAGCAATAATATTGTATTCAAAATTAATTAATTAATTCAAACCTCCTAAGAGATAAGCTTCCCACGACTTCGGTCGATGCAGGGTTGCAGTTTATATCGGCCTACCGTAGCGCTGAGAGTCTGGTCCGATCTTTCCTTTGCACCAGTCAGTAGTTCCACAATGCCTGCCTCGCGTCGCGGAAGTGGCAGCGTCATCCTGCCCTCTGGGCAGACCCTCGCCATCCACACCCGAACTCACGATGAAGAGGATCTCCCCCATGCAACCAAGAAGTACGTTTTCCGGTGTCGTGAATAGCAGCACATGTTGTTTGAACCGTTGGGCGATACAGGACAATGGCCGATCATCTGCGCAAGTACGAGAGTTTGTCAGTACACACTATGATCAGGGGCTGTTGACTGCATCGGCTAAGCGATAACGATAATCCCCCAGATTCACATTAACACCCCAGAGGATGCGCATGATCGTCGAGGCATTTACTGAGTGCCTGGAGCTGGGGCTCAGCAAGCCGAATCAAATTGTGGTACGTCTTTCCACTATTGTTCTGCCGCTAATGGAGGAAGCCTGTAGATTGCGAGTCGGTGGATATATCGGGGTGTCCGGAGGAACTATATCCACCCACTGCGCATCTTTCGAGCTTCTCGTTCTGAATTTAACACAAATTCTGAAATGTCGCTTGCAGCCTATGATTCCCACTTGGGTCTTTGGCTGGCCCACCGGTAAGGAAACGGGTGACTACCTTGCATTGGACTTGGGTGTGTAAGATCCCTTGAGTTTCCGAGCGCTGTGATTAGGCATCCCACTGACGCAGTATGGCCCGCCGCCGACTGTCCCACGCAGGTGGCACTAATCTCCGTGTCTGTCTTGTTACTCTCCAGGGAGAGGGAAAGTTCGAAATCACTCAGACAAAGTACCGTTTGAGTGAGGAACAGAAACAAGATGACGGACAGAAGTTATTCGATTTTTGTGCAGAGTGTCTCCAGACCTTCATTGAATCCAACACTGGAGACGGTCCCGGGCAGTTGCGCCCTAACCAACTACTCCCCCTTGGCTTTACGGTAAGGTCCCTCCTTCCCGGTTTGCTTTGCGTTTCACTAAAGGCGACTCATTTCCACCGCAGTTCTCATATCCTTGCACGTCAGTATCATGTGTATTTGAAGCTATTTGTTATCTTATTCGGACTTCACAGGCAAGAGCGGATTGATCATGGAGAACTTATCAGATGGACAAAAGGTTTCGGAGCTCCGAACACGGAAGGACGGGATGTGGCAGATATGTTTAAGAAGTCCCTCGAAAAATACGTGCGTCTTTCCTGCTCCCTCATATATCACTTATTCTCAGTGCATTCTCTAGCAACTGCCCGTAGAGCTTACGGCTTTGATCAACGATACTACTGGAACCCTCATCGCATCCCACTATGTGAGCCCAAGAACGAAGATTGCTGTAATCTTCGGAACGGGTTGCAACGCTGCGTACATGGAGCGTGTCCCAGACATTCCTAAAATAGCGCACCTTGGCATTGCTTCGGACGCCGAGATGGCCATCAACTGTGAATGGGTGCGTGCCGTCAATCAGGGCGTTTTTGCTAGTACCATTGTGGCTAACCCAGTCATTTGACAGGGCGCATTTGACTCCTTTGAGCATGAGCACTTGCCCCGTACTAAGTATGACGCCATCGTGGATGATACGTCAAACAAGCCTGGGGAGCAAGCCTTTGAGGTACCCATTTCGTCACCATTTTTACCATCGTCTGATGCAAACCTCGCAAGAAACTCATATCCGGCCGATATCTGGGAGAGATATTCCGATTAGTTATTTGTGAACTGATTGATGAAGGTGTGCTCTTCCTGGGTCAGAATACGTACAAGGTCGAAAAGCCGTACTGCTTCGACACGGCGTTTTTGTCACTGATGGAGAGGTACCGCTGTGGCCCCTCCCAGTTCGAGAATGTTCTCATTATTTTTCCAGCGACCCAACGGACGAACTTCTCATGATTATTGGAATATTCACACACTTCTTTGCTTTGGAGACGACACTTGCAGAACGCCAGTTTTTCCGTGCGCTCGCCAAGCTCGTCGGGCGCCGAGCGGCCCGTCTGAGCGCATGTGGTATTGCAGCTATTGTTAATAAAATGGGCCTGTTGGAAGATGGTTGCTCCGTCGGCGCGGACGGTTCGCTGTACAATGTATGTGCGTTCCGTAGCGTCAACAGTTCTCAGTTTTTCTAACATCCTGTGGCTTTCTAGAAATACCCTTCGTTTGCGGAACGCGTCCACGAAGGTCTTGTTGACATCTTCGGGGACAGAGGACGGTAAGCCCGTTTCTTGAATGTTCTCTTTTCAATCGTTTGTGTTGTGTTGTTTCTCAATTTCTCTTGTACATGTCGCAGAAATGTCGTCACTCACCATGCCGAAGATGGAAGTGGAGTTGGCAGCGCTATTATTGCGGGTGGGTCCTTACTGCATGATTTTTTTCAGTCCCGTTCTGTCGGCGTGCTTACTCACGTGCCTTGTCCAACAGCCATGACAAAAGCCAGACGAGAGGCTGGCTTGTACCCCAACGTGTGAAAATCTGAAGATAACCTCATGATGCGGGACCGATGGCACTTGTGGTGGCGGACGTGGAGATGTTTGCTTCCACTGGAGGCGTGCATGAGGTACCCGAGTCCTTGTTTGATACTGTCGTTTTCCGCTCGATGATCCGTGAGAGCATCAATTTTTGTATGGCTTACTATGTAGAGGATGTAGACGATACACGCCCGGTGTACTGAATGACATGTAAACATATGTTTTCTGGCAGGTTTGACCACTTCGTACTTCCTGCCTGTCGTCGATGCAGTGGCGGGCACCCCGATCGAGGACCGATCGTTTGGAAATTCACTTTCGTCGACCCTGGGTCACATCTTTTGCCACGGAATTTTATTGAAAAACCACCGTGCAGACTGGTTGTAGAGTCAGCCTCCGAGATCGCCATAAACGGACGATGCAATCGGAATTCCAGATCTGGTTGAAGGTGCGGTGGTGCTAATGGGCGCTGTCCAGAGAAGGGTTAGTTCGCTGAACGACGCCACGGCGCAAAACTGTAAGATGGATGATGTAATACAGAAGTCGTAATATTGCTGCACGATAAACATCACGAGATACAAGAGTCTACAAGGTATACATATCTATACAAGATACGGTGAGATCCAACCAGGAATATTCCATTCAGTCGTGCGATGCTATATAAAAAAATTCCCCACCATCCCCATCCTTGCTCCACCCAGATCTTTTTCCCGATTATCTTCGCTCGCGAGTTGCATAGCAATGAGCGGTATCCTGGGGGATCAAAATGGGGACGTCGGTCGAACGTAAATTGTGAAACGAGCTGGAATCGCTCCGTCATTAGAAACCCCACTTTCGGAAGGCAGGACCAGCATCTGGCAGGCGATACGGATCCACCTTGATGGCATGATATCGCACTAAAACCCACTACACAGTTCACTATACAGCATGGCAGACTTCATCCTTATCCTCGACAGATTTGATCACCGACTCATCCCGACTCTTATGGACATCAAACGTAACTTGGATGTTCATCGGGTTAGTGCGGATATGAGACGTGGTGCTTGCATCAGTACTAGTGGGATTAGCGGACATTCGGCGCATTCGGAGAGAAGCGGAAGTTAGCGTGTTTCGAGACTGGGTGTTTGTCCACGCCTTGCCCTCCGAAACGCGGTAGATGATGAGGAGGGGGGCGGTTCCCTGATGGAAAAATTAGTGCTGGCTTAGCTGGAAAACTCACTACAAGGACCTACCTGAGCCATTCCAAGGATTTGCATGAACGCGTTCGCAAGGGGACTTCCAGTAGCGTAGGGGATCATATAAAGTAAAGAACACAACGAATATATCGCTGCAGATTCAATGATCATGGTTACGAAATTCGTGTAAACGGAACCGAGAGCTTGGCCGAGGACGTTGGATACGCGGCGGCGGTGGTCCAAGAAGCGGAGGACTGTGAGACCACTGATGAACATAGTGCTAGCAAGCGATACACTGAGGTAGGGAAAGAGTAGGGAGTAGGACATCCACGCGTCGGACTGCCCGTTCAGGGATGGATATGATAATGAGCCAGAACAAACCGGTAACTACGCGGCGTCAGTGAGTGAGTGGGGGATTGATAACAGTGATGTACGCACCGAAGCTAGCGACGAAAATCAGTACTCCAAACAGTGTGATGATAATGCGAAACCTGGTATCACGGTATACAACGATGCAGCGCCAAATCTATGTCGAAATCAAGTTTCGAGAATTGACAAGGGGATACGGGAGAGCTCACCATGAGGAGGTCCGCACACCAGTCCATGAGAACGAATGTGAGGTTGATGGGTATGGAGGCATTGCTTTCCTCGAATGCGGCGGGACCTAAGCGCTTAAAGTGAGCAACAGTAAGTGTGGGTGAGTGTCGAGGAGACACGTACCACCGGGGTAGTTGCGACGATTGATAAAGCCTAATTGTGTTATTTGGGCGTTGGCAACCTGGTAGACACTCGCACACGCAAAGACGAAAATGACATAGCAAAGGAAGAAGATGTCTTTTTTGTAACCTGACCCACGGGAGCGGATGCGATTCCAGAGGGAGCGGACACACATGGATGTAAGGGTGAGTGCGACACCATAGAAGACGGATGTGACGATGGCGCCTTGCAACCATGTCGCCTCAGCGAAGAGCTGGTAAGCAGACTCAGTCGGGGGCGTACGACGACATCAGGCAGCAACGGGTAGTCACCCTAGTGGGTCATCGGATCCCTGGCCAGTGGAAAAACGCTCGCAACTTGAGGGAAAAACGTGGGAAGAAGAAGACACGACGTGGTGGCTCGGCCATCAGGATGAATTCAATATCCATGCTATTATCGAGGGCTTGGTATTACATACCACCAAGTATCGTTACGATACCGTATAGGGTTTGGATTCCACGGTTATCAGTGGGGCATCGGAGGGCAGGAGGGCTTGACTTGTGACAGCTGGCAAGGTCCAGGGCCCGAGACACCCTAATAGTTGACGTATACCGACTTCTCTCCCTCCTCCCACAGCTAACTGGATGGGGGAACTGTCAGAGCCTCACTATATGAACAACCCTGGTGTTTAGGATCATATATATTACAACAACGTTCTGACCACAACCTTGAGGAAAGATTTTTTTTTTTCCCTCTCCTTTTCGGCCAAGCTTCCTTACCATACTTTACTGCGGAACTCACTGTAGGCCTGTCGCCCGAATTGTCGCGCTCGACAACATGCCGTAACCTGCGAACCGGATTTTGGTGGACATAGGCCCGTGAATTGCCGTCTGACTCTACGAAAGCAGGGAACTGTCCCCGTGAGACTATGTATTACCCCAAGTCAGTACCATCCTGTTGCCTAGTTGGTATGTACGTACACTTGGGTTGTAGTCACTGACCGCAGGGTAGCGTGGTTGGTGTGTAGAGCGATTAGATAACCACGTGGCCGCACCTCCAGATGCCGTGACCGGCAACTTCGTGGTTAATCACAAGCTCACTTCCTTGCCCTGAACTCAACCATAGACGATGGGATACGACCTTACTAAAGCTGTTGGCTTTCAGTTACGAGACAAACCAGTATTTGAAGGCTCTTCTCCCGTTCTACGTACGATCACTGATGCCGTGGTTCCTAGGTGTCTTGGACACGCAAAGACCTCCTCACGTATGCGCTAGGCGTCGGGGCTAAGCGGGATGAGCTACCACTAGTATACGGTACTTCTTTCCTTGTATCCTCCTGCCTAACTCCAATTAATACTTGGCAGAACTCGGTGAGCGATCTATCAGCGTCGGTCGTGCCGGAGAGCTTCAATTGGACATCTCGCAGACAAGTCTTGGGGTCCGTTGCCAACATTTCCAGTAGTTCTCTCACTTAAGGGTATGTTTCGCGTCTCCAAGGTACTTGAACACTGAGTACTTCGAATTATAATTGCAGGCGAGGACACCGACGTGTCGTTATTTGCTTCCAAACATGCCAATGAGGTTATTCCCGGACTTCCAAAACTCGATTCTAGGAGGGTTGTATGTGGCTACGACCCTGACCTATGTACTATTATTAATGGACCTGTCTCGTAGGTTCACGCCACTCAGAGCATCGAAGTGCTGCGGGATCTGCCACCGGAGAGTGGTCTAGGGCTGGAAACTATCTAACAGGATTGTCGGCGTGCACGAAAATAGTAAGCCTTCCATCGCCTAACGAAGGAATGTACCGTAGTCTGATGCGACTTGATTAGTAGAGTCAGGTATCATTGTTGAAACAGAGTCGCTACTACTTGATCCCAAAGGCACCGTTTACGCTAAACTCTATGTGAGTTGGACAGGACCGTAGTACCTCGACTCTCTTCCGTTGTGTCTTACCAGAGACTTTGCGACCAGGGCTCCGCATTTTATCTAGGCTCCAAGGCCAACGGCGGGAAATTTTCCAAAGTCATTGCCAGCGCTCCACAAGCAAAGCCAATCCCGAAAGATCGCAAACCAGACTGGGTCGTCCGTGAAAAGACGTTCCCCGAGCAAGCGCTCATCTATCGCCTCAGTGGCGATTACAATCCTTTGCACATCGGTGGGATTTCAATGAGTACACTGTAACTGCGTTCCTGATCGTCCTTGTCGTCCACACACATGCAGATCCTGAAGTAGGCAAGGCTCTGGGATTCGGTGATGTCATCCTCCACGGACTGTCATCGTATGGGTTTGCCGCGAGAGCGCTTATCCGGGCCGTGGGAAAGGGTGACCGACGCGCGCTTAAGCTTATCTGCGCCAGATTCTCGTCCCCTGTTTCACCTGGTGATGAACTTGAAACGCAGGCTTGGGAAGTTGGGCCTGGACCTAACGGCACGACAGAGATTGCTTTTGTCACAAGGGACGTGACCACGGGCAAAGTGAGTAGTTATCCAGCACAGACTTGTGAAGTTGTTATATTTATTCATACCCTCGTACCCCGTCCTAGGTTGCACTGAGTAATGGTATAGCGTTTGTTAAGAAAGCAGAGAAGAGTAAGCTGTGAGGCCTGTGGCATACGATGCAGAATATCGTGTGCAATGTACCTTGCGAAGTGTAAGCTTACAATGCTTGTATATTCAGTAGTTGCCAATAGCTCGAGGTAATGCATGTTTCAGCTGACAAGTTCTGGTTTCGTACTTTCGGCGCTAGCACGAAGGACTCTTCCACGGTCGAGAACAGGGTCTGCCTCCAAATAGCACCCTTTCAGCCAGCGATTAGGCTCTCCATCGACGCCACAGCCAATGTCTGCAAATGCGGTACGCGCGTGAAGGACCCTGCGATTATCGAACAGTGCGGCGTCTCCTTCACGCAGGACATATTCCATGGGGTTCCCTGGAGCATCGAGCTGGGTCGCAAACTGCTTCAATGCGGTATGGAACTCCAGTAGTCCAGGGCTCAAGAGCAGTGGCGCTTGGAATGGAGGTGAATAGTTTATGTATTTCACAGTACGTTCTGCAGATGGCGATGTGGGGATCGGTTCGAGCTCGATAGTCGGGTGCTCGTGGTGAAGATGATGTCCATCGTTGATATAATGGAAAGGGACCGGAGTGGTGCTTAGAATGTTGAAGTCCTCGGGATGGGTTCTGCGAAGGGTATTTGCTACGTGCAGTCCATCTGCGAAGATAGACATGCCGCCAATGACTCGATTTCTGAGACAGTGTAGGATCTGGTATCGCGGGGGATGCTCAAAGTATCTACAAATCACGTCATTCAGGTAGCGGTCTTAGGATCGGAAATGGCTTACTTACAGTAGATCACAATGTAACCCGAGGTCGAGGTTTGTATATGCGATATTTCGACTGTCAACGACATGCTTCACCTCCCAGACCTCCCCATAAAGAGTGGGTCGAATTTCCCCGAAAAGATTTGCTAATTTGCGAGTTTCGCAAGTCTCGGTATTGTTAGTTGGGACGCCTGTCACGAGGAGCAGTCCGAAGCAGGTAAGCTGTGTGATGGCACTGAGAAGACGCGATGGCTGGGAGAGATCGTCGTATGGCACGAACAGATCGGGAGACTGGGAGATGGCCGATACATCCCACGGCTCAGCGGGGATGTCGCGGTGGAAAGAAGAGAGACTCGAGGCAGAGGAGTACCGCTCGAGGAAGGTGAACGAGTGGAACGACTCGTGTCCGTCTGTCCACCTGATGTGTGCACCGTCCTGCTTGAGATCGACACCGTCGTCAGTTGCAGGACCGATATCGGCGGGGATGTCGGACAGTCTGTGAAGCTTCTGCTGTGTCGATGGGTGGACACACTTTGGACACTGGCAGGCGTCGCGGAGCCAGAGATAAGGGAAGCTGGCATTGATCTGTGGCAGTTTCAGTTGGAGACTCGTCGGGCGGGACAGCGAGCGAGCAGCGGGCAATAGCATGGCTCAAGTTGTTTGGTCCAAACACCACTAGCATATTAGTACTAGCACTACTTGCAAGTTGCTGGAGACACCCATGGAAAGCATGGAAAGCAGTTCTGAGACGTCCTTCGAGCTGCTGGACGACGTCGACGACTCTCCCCAGGTATGCACCTGTGTCCAACCCCATCCTCACTGTTGTTGACGTTCCCTCTGTTATAGGCACCTCTGCATCCGTCTCACTCGCCAAATTACACTCCAGGCTCAGGTTCAACCTATGCTCACGACTGGTCTCCATCAGGTACCGGTGGAAAGTTGCGCATCCATGGACGACACTTTGTAGACGCGTTCGGACGCGTTTGCAACTTGCGTGGTGTTAATGTAGCAGGGAGCAGCAAAACGTCAGTCCGGGTCTCCATCTCTCTTGAGGTTTCCTTACCATCGTCTATACAGTCCAGTCAATCACAACCACGAAGCGTTCCCTCATGATCATCATGCGGTGACATTTGTCGGTCGTCCTTTTCCACTGGTGGATGCTCCCCAACACTTTGCACGGTTGAGGAGGTGGGGACTGTCCCTGAGTAAACTGAACCTCTTCATGGGCTGTATCGTGCTACTAACGGATCTTACTATTCAGTACGTTTCGTGATAACATGGGAAGCCGTGGAGCATGCAGGCCCGTACGTCCTTTTAGGCCCTATCCTGACAATGTCCACCTACTTTTCTACCCTCCAGGGGCATATATGATATGGATTATCTGGCATACGTCAGGGACCTTCTGTCTCTCCTTCCACAGTACGGCCTTGTCGCTTTGATAGATATTCATCAGGACGTATGGTCAAGATATTCGGGGGGATCAGGTGCACCAGCGTGGACTCTGGAGAGCATCGGCTTCGACCTGCATGCCTTGGAAGAATCGGGTGCGGCATGGCTTCTTGGCGTCAAGGGTGGCGGTCACGTCGAGGCCGAGCGTGGTATCTGGCCTTGTGGCTACCAGAAGCTGGCTGCTGCCACCATGGCGTATGTCAGCATTTGTCGTGTCGGCAAACAGATTTGGTCTGAGTCACTCCCTTTACAGGACATGCTTTTGGGCAGGAGATACTTTCACTCCAAAGCTGCATATCCCGATGTCAAATGGCCAGGACGAAGCCTGTTCAGCAATTCCTCCAGGAGGCCTTTTTGGATATGTACACTGTGGTCGTCAAGGCCCTTGGTGATATAGAAGGCGTGTTAGGTTTTGAGGTGAGTCTTCGCCACTAGTGTCCGCGACGAGAATATTCAAGTTACCTAGATAATGAACGAACCCCATAGAGGTTACATAGATCTTCCTTCCCTTTATCAATTCAACTACAATACGGATTTGCACCTATCCTATGTTCGTGAGTGCAACGTCGACCTCTTAGCAGGAATTATATGACAGACGTACTGCCCATAGCATCTGCAGTTCAATCTTTCATGCTGGGCGCTGGGTATCCCACCTTGGTTTCGAATTGGACTCGATCGTTCCCTATGCCTACACGCAAGACATCTCACAGCGTGCTCAACGCTGCCAGCCGCAAAGCGTGGAGAGTAGACGGCCCCACAGAAGGCAGATGTGTTTGGGAGCTTCACGGCGTGTGGGGGTGGGACAAGATCAGAAATGAAGGTGTTGTTCTGCGAGAGAACTACTTCGTGAAGGATCCGATGACAGGGCGAAAGGTCCGTCTGGAGCTCTCGCATCCCTTCAGTTGTGTGAATAAGCGGCAGGTCAACTGGTACACAGATTTTTATTACCCATTCTTGAAGCGATGGGCCAAACGTGTCCGTGATGTGATTCCGAAGGACAAGATGCTCTTTGTTGAGCCTATCCCCAATGAGGTTTGTTTGCTTTTCTGTCCTCATGCGCGGCTGTTAACTCGTCCACATAGTTCTGTCCATCGTCATGGACCAAAGAGAATCAAGTCCCTAATATGGTTTTTGCTCCCCACTGGTAAGACGAATAACGATGTGCCTTGTTTCAGCAACGTCTTACGCCTGCGGTAGGTACGACCTCGACACGCTCTTTTCCAAGAAATTTGGCGATTTCTCGGTGAATGTGCAGGGGTTGTCTAGGGTACTCCATTCATTTTGCTTTTCTTCCTTTTTCGGCTGATTTGTGGCGCAGGGAATGTTCCCCCTCCAAGCATTTTATTGGGGCCAACTGGGTGTCCGAGAGAATTATTCTCGTCAGATACGGAACATCGTCGATTCTGCCCGTAAGGTACTTGGGGAAGTCCCCGTTCTCATCGGAGAGTGCGGAATACCTATGGACATGAAGTAAGTCGCTTTTATAAATCCTAGAAATGGCAAAATTTAAGTTGCGCCCAGTGCAAAGGAAGCGTTCGAAACCGAGAATTGGAAATGGCAGTACCGAATGATGGATGCTTTGATGGTGGCACTAGAAGGATCCCTTGCTAATTTTGCGTACGTTATTTTAGCTCGCAAACTCCACGCATCATGGCTAAACTCGTTTTAGCTTGTGGAATTACAATCCCCATAACAGTGACGTAGAGGGCGACGACTGGAACGGGGAGAACTTTTCGTGGTTCAGCAGTCGCCGTGCATTACCGCCTTCGTTGCTTGATCTTCACCAGACCTCATTTACACTGGATAACGGCGGCCGGGATCTTGTCTGCGATTGTACGACCATACCCTGCAAAAACTGCTGGTATCCCTTTACAATTCAGTTACGAGATGAACACTGGACAGTTCACTTTTGAATGGAAACCATCCGATACCATTCCATTGGAACAGGCGGGTCAGACAAAAGTGATACCTGTTGCCAGAGAAACCGAAATATTCGTCCCTTCCCTGCTGACCCACGGGCGCAAACTGAAAGTCGAAGGGTTGGAACCGGAGGATACCTATGTCCATGACGAGTCACGACAGACCCTGTTTATCGTCCATGGAACATCCACACCGAGTAAGGTGCGAAAAGTGACGGTATTAGTTTGGCCGCCGTTGCGTCCTACCTTCCAACTCAATACGTTCTGGGGAGATTTCGGGGAACTCATCATATCGGGCTTGGTAGTTTTCGTTGGCGTCTTTATCTTCGTTAAACTAAAGTTCTTTATGTGAACGGTTGGTCCGCGCGTGGATTTTGGAAGGCGTAGATGCCTTAGGATATAGATATGGACTTCTTGTCCGCCCTATCACAAGGGACATCATGTATACGAAGAGATACTACCAGATCGTTATTCAGCAACATGGTGCCCCACACCCGGAATCTTTCTCACTGACCGACTCCAAGTAGGCAACAGTCCCACGCGGTTTCTGCACACCAGCAGGCCCTTCCAGAAAAAAGGGTACTGACAGGGTCCTTTTGTTTAATTGATCGGAAGGCTGTTTCCTAACTGGCGTCCTCGTGGTTATTGCACATGAACCTCGAGTCTGGACAAGGTTATGTAGAACACGTATCACAGGCGATCCCACCCTGCACAGGTGTATCTGTCGTATTGGTATCGCATGTCTGGCTTGTACCCAGGCAATTTGCGCATGGATGGGGGAGGCCGATCGCCGCGGTCTTGTGCAGTCGTACCACCTCTTCTGATGGACAATTCAGCCGTTGCGCTAGAAGCCCAGACTCGGTACATGACTTTTCCGCTCTCTGTTCCGGTGGACATCTTACCTCGCGTCGGCAAAATTCGGCGCGGAGCCTGCAGGACGCTATGTCACCCGGCAAAGGTTGATTTTGACCTGCTCACGGACGCCGCCCCACCGAGGGTATCCTGAATTCGGGCCTAGTCCCCTATAGCGACGCTTCGCTTGTGAGTATCCAAAACGCAAGACCAAGAGGGATTCAGCTAACTCCCAGGGCCTGGGGTTCAAAAACTCCTCGTGGATTAGCGGGTACTCGATTCCTTGAACAGTGTTCTGGACAGACCTTGTAAAACAATACACGATCTATTTCCTTCTAATAGCACAGACCACAAGTGTTAGCGCCATCTAATTTCCTGAGCAGTTTATTCAACAGGCGTTTCCCCCCCTCCACTTGTTCCCCTCCTCTCAGGGAATGTAGACACCCTCGTTTAATGTTTTCTGCTGTGTAGAAAAAAAAACATAGGTCAACTCCTGTTTCAATGGCGCTTAAAGACGGGGCGGCTGCATACAATACCAACTGGTACCACTGGACCTTGGAGTTTTCGGGTGACATGAGTACTCTTTCCTCTGCCACATCCAACAGCACGGCCAAGTCATATACAGCGAGTTGAGAGTCCTGCGGAAACGTAAGAGTGGACAGTCAGCTGCAACACAGCTTTCATTCTTCTACCCTCAACTCTGCATTTCGAGTCTGTCAGTAAGAATTTCATTTTCCATTGGGAGACACAATCCAAAAGCATAGAAAGTTAGGAACTCATAGTTTTTTCTCTTCAGAGGCTTGCAGAGAATGGCCTTGTTGACGAAACACTTGGACATAATGTTTTGGTATCTTTTCATGTAATGGCACCATGCATGTCAGGAGGTTGTGGCAGAACCCTGGAATTGTAGTTTATACAATACAGTAGGTAGTCGGACACGATCAGTGGCCTGCAGGTGTGCCGGCGTGAATGAGAGAACTAGCACAGATTCCTGTAGTCGATGAGTGGACTCACCGCAAGTCACAGATCGGTAGTACCGGGTGGACACCGAAGGCACGGTTCCAGCGAGGCTATATGTCTGCAATTAAGGGCCTGCGTCGCCCGACAAAGCTGGTGCTCGCCAACCCACACAATGATGCAGTACCAGCGAAGAATGGAGGGGTACGTGGAACAACTTATATTTGACGCAATGGCCAGAGAAGGCCCAACGCGCACACAAAGCATACACCTAAGGGCGGCGCCAAATGAATTTGGAACTGGTTCGAACCTCAAGGCCTTGTCGTTTTGCATCCACACACATCAGGAAAAACACGAGACTGATTTTGTATCATGTCGTTTCGTTTGTCTTCCGACGTGGAAGAATCGAGTGGAAATATGCCGTGGCCAAAGAAGGCCGTTGAGCGCATAAACTTGATCTGCAATACAGAACGATCGATCACCGCCACCTCTTGCCAGTACTTGTCATCTGTCTTGCCGCTTGTTTAGTTGAACGCTCGAACGTCCACCTTCGTCCACGTGGAAGTGCAGTTAGATACGCACTCTCACCTTGCGATCTCTTATGAGTTAGTTCAAATTCCCCTCTGCAAAGCGGCTGATCGGGGGGTTTCGGTGAATATTTTTTCCCATCCTGCTTCTGCACGAACGCATCAACTGTTTTTGAAGCCATATCACGCTGCCCCATATGTTCAGATATGGATTAAATCGCCAACTTCTCAAGCACCGCTAAATACTGGACACACCGGGAATACTTATAAGGCCGCGCCGTACTCGAACCTTGATGCACGTTCAGATGCCCCGTTAGAGGCAGCATGCGACTTACTCCCCTGATTTTGCCCAGTATTATCACGGCGCCCGCAAGCGCTGTATTCGCCAAGACCAGAAATGTTGGCCGAGATGCAGGGTCATCATATATCCAGTTCACCTCCACCAAGTTAAACAGCACAGACCTACGTTATGTCATGGACTCTGGTATCTGTGAGACCACGCCGGATGTAACACAATATTCTGGATATGTTGAAGTGGGGAAGAATATGTCCATAGTAAATTTGGACTTCCTTGTTGGTATGACGGGCCCACGGCTGACGTTGGTCCAGTGGTTTTGGTTCTTCGAGGCACGCAACTCGCCCGAGACAGCGCCTTTCACTCTCTGGTGGGAAACTGCTCTGTTACATTCAAAGGTGCAGACACACTGACTGTAACTTAGGTTAAATGGTGGGCCAGGATGTTCGTCCATGATAGGTCTTTTCCAAGGTAAAGAGCGCTGGAATGCAATACTACCACGCAGTGCTGAAGGTTTTCCGTCAGAAAACGGGCCTTGCAAGGTCAACCCGGATGGGGAGACGACGTATCTAAACGCATACAGGTGATGTACCAAGTCGCCTTTTAAACGGTGAAGTGTTACTGAGTAATTGTTCTCTCAAAGTTGGAACAACGTGAGCAACAGTACGTATAATCAGACCTGGCGCACGTCGATAAGGCGTCTCAATTCTCTTTTGCCCGAAAGTGATCTATATCGATCAGCCTATCGGAACAGGCTTCTCCTATGGCACCGACACAGTGAACAGTACGGAGGCGGCGGCACCTTCTGTCTGGCAGGCTTTCCAAGTTCTCTTTGAGAGCCGAGCGTTTTCCGAGTATAGCAGTCGCGAGTACGTCTCTTCTGTCCGATCAGCCTTGATGATATCTAGAGTGAACATTTATAGGTTTGTGTTGGCAACTGAGAGCTGTGGCGGTCATTACGGTCCTGCTTTTGTCACCTATTTCGACCAAAAAAATGCAAAGATTGCGGATGGCATTCTTGACGCTGAACCAATTGTAGTCACTGCGTTACTGATCAACAAGTAAGTATTTTTGCCATTGTCCAAGCTCAAACTTAAACTCCGGCCATTTACTTAGTGGATGGATAGATCCCTTCATTCAAAACATTGCTTACTACACGTTTGCGGAGAATGCCCCTGGATACGGGCAACTCCTCTCGGACGCAGTTTTGGAAAACATCTCCCAAGCCCTATGGGGTGAGGGCGGCTGTGTGCAACAAGAGCAGGCTTGCTACGCTGCTGGAAATTCCACCGCTTCGGATTCAGTTTGCCTCAATGCCTACAACTACTGTGTGTGCGCTTCGGTTCCGTTATGATGGCCTCACTTAGAACCGGACCATAGAGCAACTACGTCGTCACTGCGGCCACTACTGATTATGATCCGTATGACCTCCGTCGGAACTCCTCAGCCCTATTTCCCCCTAAGTACTACGTCAACTATCTCTCAACTGAGAGTGTGAAGAAGCGGATTGGTGCCGAGACTACTTACAAAGAATGTTCCAACACACCATACTCAAAGATTATTAATACTGGTGATGTGAAGCCAATGCCAGTGTATACGGGGCCCGCATCGTTAAGTTCATAGTCTTTTTCTGTTCCTAGTTTGCCCGAACCTGGTCACCAGAGTTGTCTCAACTAGCCAACTCCGGATTGAAGATCTTGATATGGGTATGTTAGGGCACCTTCATGTTTGATAGTATCTTTCTGATTCAGCGTCGCCCAACAAGGCTGGTGATACTGACATCATGTGAGTCCGCAATTTCCGTTTGCCTTAGCCCCCTGACCTCCTGCGTGAGTTAGATTTAGATGCAATTGGGTTGGTGTAAGTAGGTTACTAGCCGATGCCTTACCCCTTGATTGACCGATTGATGCCTTCCAGAATTATGCAGTTGTTCTTGCGATGGGCTGGTACGGAAAGGAAGAGTTGAATAATATCCTTCTTACCAATATAACTCTCAATGGAACACCTATTGCCTCGGTGGCAAATGTAGACAACTTCACCTTTGCGTACGTCCCATCCCCTCTTATCACAAATGTAGATGATCACCCATTGTTCATGATGTTCCGTCTCCACAGGAGGGTCTTTGGCGCAGGTCACACAGTGGTAAGTACTTGTTCATCACCTGGCTTTGCATCACGACGGACCACACGGAATTGCAGCCCACTTTCCAGCCAGCTGCTGCGCTAGAGATATTCACCCAAGCCATTCGCGGGGAACAGTTACACTCGGTGTAAAGGTGGAGAGGTAATATACTTCGAAACGATTTCTTGGCTCCAACTTCGCGATGGAATATTACCTACTTACCCATCTCGGTCGCATGCCCGAGTTAGCAGATGTTACTTGCTTTCTGTCCAATTTCGACGATGCCCTATTTAGAGTCGCATTTGCCCTTCCCCAGGGTAACTTTCGATAGCGTTGGATAGATCATGTGATTACTCGCAAGCGCATCTAAAATCGCCAAAGACGCCTACTGCGGAAAAACCACGCAAATGCACAAAGACCGTAAGCGTAACCGCCAAGAATAAGCATCGCCTTTCCACCGGAGGTGTACATCGTCTTTATCGACAGGTTGATAAGACCAGTAGCGACATTTGCCTGCGTCGAGGTGCATGAGCTTAGGTTCGATCCAACCCGTTCTGTGTGGAATCCTCACAATCAGGAATATGATGAGACTGTTTTTGTTTATTGCCTCCAGCAAAGGTGGCGCACGGTTGCCAGCAAAGCACTCTTCAAGCACGAACCGCTTCCCGGTGGGGTCGGAGGAATCCTTCACGCACGAGATTCGAGTAGGGAAAAAAAAAAGAACATATCTAACAAGAAGTAGCCCAGAATGAACGACGTGTTGAAAGCCGAGACCCATAAGATGTATGGCAAGTTCACCTGGAACGATGTCAGCTGTGCACCTTGGTGAGATGAGGTAAAACCACAACCATTCTTCTGGACACATCTAGTTTCAGTCGGACGAACGCAAACAACCCCCACCAAATAAAAGTGTATGAAAAGAGTTCAGCTACAATCTTCGTGGCTTGTCGCGGAGCGACGAGATCTATACCCGTCCTCCTACCATCATCCAGAAGCGCTATATTCTTTCGGAAGAAAGACGGTCTAGGTGGAAGAATGGTCGTGCCGATGGACAAACCTATAGTGTGAATTGAGAGGTACCCTGTAACCACGATTCAACGTGATCGAGAGTCGTATTATCATGCAAGCCTTACCAAGTAGGGAGATCAAACCTTCTTTGTTTGCAAAGACAATATTGCTTCGTGGCGCATTGAGTAAGACATCTCCAAAGCCAGCAAATGACAAGAGGCACTGCTGTACTGAATGATGAATTGAGTTACAGCGCAGTCAAATGCTTCAAAAGCATAGCTATGTCGCTCACCAACCCCAATCCAGAGCCCTAGAAGAGCAACAGGCATGTGCAAAATCAAGCAATGTGTGAGCACCTCGAATACGGGCAGAAGTGAAAGTGTCATAAAGAAATTCCAGTGTACGCCATACTCCGTCACATGCTCCTATTTCCAGTTATCAGCTATCTCGACTTAATATACACAATTTCATATAACAACGTACGGGATAGTCAGCGCCCTTGACCGCCATCAGGCGTATTAGGCCAAGTACTGCCACGGGGGTAACCCTCTTTAACGTGTTGAATAGCTTGTAGCCGAAGGATTTACGGAGGTGGGATGGATCCTTCAGCAAAGGGATAGCAGAGACGATACCTTGCGAGAAGACAAAAGATCCAACGCCGAGGTCCATCTAATTCATGACCGTGAGCACGGAAGTGTGCACTCATTCTAAACAGCTTGAACACACCAATGATACGCCGTGAGTTTCACACTTTGCAAGAGCTCGGGGAAATACTTGGAAGTCGACAGCCAGGATGGATAGCGCTGTCATAAGCATCATGTGTGCGCGATACGTTGACAAAGCCGGAAGAGGTGGTAAAGATGCTTGTGACGCAGATCGATGACCCGTGTCGCCAACGAATGTGGTACCATCATCAACTTGCGTTGGGAGAGCCTTTCCGTTTTCAATCGCGGGAAGAAGTAAGAGGACAGCTGTCGCAACTAACAACAGCACGGAGAGTGCACCCGGCGCTTCCGCATAAACTGTCATCGACAACAACAGAGGTACGGACAGTAGTATCCATTCCACAAAGAACGGCGTGGATCGGAAAACTGCCACGCGGGAGGTAAGTGCTGAATGAAGTGCTATTGAAGACTGCGGGTGGTTAGACAGTCAGTCAACGGTGCATCGCGTCGACTAGGATGCTTACCAGTGCAACAGAACATATCGCATTGATATGTAGTACAGTTGAGCCAGTTGTTCCAGATACAAACGCCTCCTTGGATGTCTTGTAGTCACCATTCATGATGGTGGGCGCAGGCCAGATATCGATGTTTGTCACCTGCAGGTTGTTGGTAACACAGAAAGGTTACAAGCAGTCAACTTGATTTCGCATTCCAGCGTGCTACACGTCACAAAGTTGAAAGTAGCGACTCGACCGCATCACACGCGTAGAGGTAAATCTATCGCACTAGGTCTGTCGGCCCCAGTGAGAAGAACGATTATTCTTTTCCCTGGAAGGCGCCTGCTCGGGGCTGCGGGTGCTGGGAACCATGTTGCTGAACAGCGACATGGCTAGCCCTTCGTTGAATCGTATCGCATCCGAGGCTACACGAGATGATATGGTAGTCATTTCCCCTCCACGTTTCCCTATTCTGTCAGGAAACTTCGCAGTTGCAAAGCTTTCTCTCCTACCACGTGTGTCCAGGATACTAAAGTAACCAAAGGCAGAAGCATTCCGATACCCCTCCCCGTCTCACTATGTCCCACCGCGTCGAAAACCCCCTAGTCGCCATAGCTGAGAGTCAGACGAAAGATGACGCCCAAATCTCTGATCAACGTCTGCTCGACCTTGGGTACAGGCCTGAGTTTCGACGAGAAATGTCGCTCTTCGGAGTGTTGGGAATGTCATTTTGTAATGTCGGTATTCTAACGGGTATGAGCAGCGCCTTCCAAACAAGATTGTTCTCTGGTGGACCACTTGGCCTATTCTGGGGATGGAATGTGAGGGTTGTCTTGTGCCTTCCATCTTGGCACTGTGTTGATGAGCTTTCATTCTAGATATGTTGCCTCTTCATGTTTCTGGTCGCACTCAGCTTTGCCGAGATTTGCAGCTCGTAGTGAGTATTAATAAACCTTATTCGTCTCGTGCTTCAACTAGGTGGGCAGTCCGACTATGGGCGGACTCTACTTTTGGGTTCACAAGATGAAACCAGACTCTCCTATGCTCGGCTGTGAGTCGCCTTGAAGTAGAAGTGCATGAGGATTTGACGATCTGTTCAGTTTGTACCGGGTGGATCTATTCCATTGCGATGGTCTTCACAGGAACCTCTGGAAGTCTGAGGTAAATCTGGCTGCTACTCTTTATTCCGGTACTGACATCTTTACCGCCCAGCGTTGCGTTGTGTATTGCATCGATGGCGGAAGTTGGCTCCGGAAGGACTTTGACGAGGGTGGAAATCGCAGCAATAGCCTGGGGAATCAACATCTTGTCAGGCATCATAAATACCGTAGGAACGAAAGCGGTTGGTCGCATGAGTTCGTTCAACATCTGGTGGACGTTAGGAGGCACTTTTGTCCTGGTTGTCACACTGTTAGTCAAATCGCCGGTCAAGGTAATGTTACCTGCAAAGCTTCGTAAGGTACACTGATTTTTAGACAAGAACTCTGCAAGCTTTGTATTCACGGACTTTGAGAAGTAAGTGAATCGCTTTATTACGACTCGTATTTACCGGGGAAAGTTTCACTGGTTGGGAGTCTCGCGGCTTCGTCGTGCTTCTCGGATTTCTTCAGGTGCAGTATCCGCATTTTCGCAAGTCAGGATTTTTTGAATTGAGGGCATCAGGCGGTCTACACCCTTGAGGGGTGTGAAACTGCTGCCCAGGTAGCAGAGGAAGCGAAACGCGCCGAGCTCCTTGCGCCGCTGGCAGTTGTCGGGAGTATTGTCGGGTCCTGGTTGGTGGGCCTTGCTTACATGCTAGCGAATGTACAAGCAACTACTTGTGCAATCCCCATTGTGCAGCTCTTTTATGATGCCGTGGGTACGAAACTCACAGTCATGTGCCTGGTTGTGGTTGGGTTAGCTCAACTCATGGCCTCGGTCGCTGCCTTTACCGCAAGCTCGCGGCTCTTTTACGCACTTGCACGAGACAATGCTTTCCCCGCGAAGGACCAGTTCATGGCAATAAACCGCTTCCAAGCGCCATAGCTAGGGTGTTTGGGTGTCTGTTCTTGTTGGTTGCATCATTTCTTGCGCCTACATTGGTTCTGCAGTTGCTGTATGTGCACTCTTCACGTGTTCGAGTATTATCGTTGATCGGAGATCTAGTTCAATGCCATCCTATCCTCCGCTGCCGCAGCCGTGATGCCCAGCTACTTGCAACCCATTACCATCCGAGTATTTTGGCCAGACTCGTATGTTGTCATCCGCTCGGGCTCCCCTTACTGCAGCTGACTTGGGTGTGTGGAGACTTACCGAACCCGGGCCATTTAGATTAGGCAAGTGGTCGTGGGTCATTAACCTTTTTAGCTTTTTGGTAGGGTCTCGATGCTGCGTGTCCTTCGTACTACACTCACATTGTTTTTAATTTGGTTCGTTCATATGCGTGTTATTCATCTTACCCACTGCATACCCTGTCAACGAACTCAACATGAATTATTCTATTGTTGCTGTTGGTGGAGTTATTGTCATTGTTACTGTTAATTGGGTGTCCTGGGGGCGTCGTAGTTTTTCGGGACCAGTACGAACGTATATGTTAGAGAGGCTATAAATTACTGGTTCATGGTTTTGACTTCTCGAGGTGTACCAGACACTACTGCTGATCAACTTAAGGCTGACTGGTCACCGGCACTACCATCAACAACAAAGATCCTCTCAAACAATTACGTAATTGATCAAGAAGTAGCATCTGACTCAGCCATCATCTGTTCATCACCTCGCCGGACTCGCATTAACAGTGGCGAACCAGTTGGGCAGTGGTAGGGAGCGGTCCTATGTAGGAGAATTCAAAATTTCAATAGAAGCGAATTTCGGGATCTAGGACCTGCATAAAACTACGGATTTAGCGCCAAAGGTGAGGCTTACATGCACGATTGTTCGAACATACTCATTACAGTAACTCCGCATCCGAAGGTTTGAGGATTCAGTTACTCTCTGTTAGTGCGGTACGTCGGGTGTTTACGCGCTCTCCCAGTTCTCATGTGCGGCTTCTCATGAGCACACAGGCTTTAAGTAAATTATCCAAAACACTCCTTGCACCTGTCGGTGGGTACTGGTCGCTGAAGATTCAATTTATTACGGTTATATCTATGGGACCCGTCTTAAATGTGCATCTGCAAACAAGGAATCTGAATTACACATAAAATCGATATCGAGTCGGTGCACACCTGGTTAGCTAACTCACGACGAGCGCTACCGGTGGTATGCCATTCGTATATCGAAGAAATGTTTTCGACGTACAGGTGGATCCATCGATTCCGGAACAATTTTAGGTTCTTCCTCCAAGAACTCTCCATGGGCTGATTATCAGTGAGAGGTGCCCGCTTGTCCGGGATTCATCGCTACTCCGCTACGGCAGGTATAGACCTCCATTTGATCCTTCAAAGGATGAGAATCTGAAGCAAAATTCGCATTGTGATATAGACGCTGAATACATAAAATAGAAATATCGGAAGTCGAACAGTGATATACATAGGTGTGTGTCCACTTCCACTGTCCGGCATATTTATGTATGTTCCATGTATGCTCGTTTCTACCGATCATTACACAACCATGGCGACGAATTTTCTTTGGAAAACTATTTCAACTTCTGTGGTGGAATCTTACCTTCGCCAAGCAATGAAACCTAATACTGCAGGTAGTACCGCAAAGAGCGTCGTCGGGCCTCCCAGTATAGATTTCCCGGCGGAGGAATCGCGTTTCGGAGACCAGCCAGGGCGGGCGGCTGGCAGACCAGAATCGGAGAACGGTTGGGACCACAGGAAATACGGTGCAGAAGGATAATGGGGATCTGCATTCGCCAAAAAATTGGCGTATTTGCCATCAGGATCGCCAAATTTTGCTGCTACGGCCGCAATTGGTTGGTACAGCTCATCAGCGTTCTCGGTGCGTGGCGGAATGGTCATAGCGTAATCCAACGCTGCTTTGATTCCTGCTCCTTCGTTCCCTGTCCAATTCCAGTAGTCAAGACCAAGGTATTCACCTATCCGAGCGTTTGTCTGTCAACCATGTCAGCTTGTCATTGGAGTCGGTGAGTGCGGCACAAACAATCATTGCTATGAGGTTATATGCACGGTAATGATATGGACGCGTCCGACGGGCTTCTAGTGGCTGTATTCCGTGTCACCCGAGCGCTGGAGAACGTGCCAGCATTCAATGACATACCTGCTCGCCGTCCGCTGTGATTTGAGCCATGTATGTGGTGGTAAAGTAAGTTTTTATTGCTTGTCTTGCACTTTCAATGTCGTTTACGATAAGGTAGTGAGAAGCGAGTTGAGCATAGTAGTATGATCCGTGATTGCTGCATGATGAAGACTAAATGCCGAGTCGTCACACACAAATGTGGCTACTGACTTTGGGGCGGCAGCCTCTTCTAGAGCAATCCAATAGGTGGTGAACCATCGGACGAATCTCTGGCACCAGTTGATCATTCCTTGGTCCAAGTCGTTGGTCCAATAGAACGATTTTCCGTTCCGCAAAATCAGAATAGCGTTGGCGATCTTCGCCATACACTTCAAATCCCTGGTGCAGCTTGAACACACTAGGAGTTGCTATGCACTTCGGAAACTTACAATTCGCCCGTATGTGCGCCCAGCTGTCCTTTACCTGGTCCTCTCCGCATTTGACTATAGATGAGGTTTGGATTCATCGCGGTGCTGTTTTGTAGGAACCATACATTCAGGAACGTCGCGGCATTCTGAGCGTATCGATTTATCCCTGTCATAGCCCAGGCAAGGGAATTCATCCAAACGGCGTCTGCCATAGCGTTAAAGTGACCTGTATTGTTTATCATACGGACGTCTGGGTTGAAAGAGGCCATCTCGAAGGTAATACGGGCACTCGGACCAAACTGATAACAGACGTCAAAAATCAAGCTTCATCAACGGAAATACCCACCTTCTGGGAGTGGGAGCTCCGTAGTATTTCCGAGCGCGGAACAGTTTGGCCACGAGCTAAGGATGGCGTCAGGTGTAGGTATGAGCACGGGTGACGTGAAGCATACTAAGGAGACCAGCTCATATAATCGTGCATATCTCCAGAAGGAGGGGCGACCGGCTTATCAATGACAGCTGTCGATACCGTCGACGATAAAAAAAAATGCAAAATGCACGACGCGCATTGAAACTCACTCCAAGGGCCTTGGGGGGCAAGAAAATCGGCCCATTTCAGGATAGAAAATTGGGCACCACCTGTGTTTCCTGGATACCGACGAGCAAGCACGTAATTTGGGTTAACAAAATCATCCGGATAACTCGTGAATGCCAGTGTCAAATGAGGGAGGAAAGAGGATAATGCCAGGAGGCTGGCCACCAGGTGGAGGGCGACTTGCGGAAGCCTCATTTTTGAAGACGGACGTCGTTTCAGAGATACGAGAAGCGCAATGCTCGACAAAGACTCCTATTTTATTCCCCTCCCCGGGTGCGACCACTCTATCCGGCGCAAAGCCTGGCCATTCCCGTCCCGCGATCGTTGTAATAGTAATAGGGGGTTGCCCCCGATCTCCTTGATAAGAAAGGTGTGATTAGATAAGCCAGGCTCATCGATGACGTTATATGTTACCTTGTTTGGGAGGTCAGTTTCTGGCGGTGCCAGCTACTAGTCTGTCCCATGAAACCATGTCGAGAACTATCGAGGCTGCCAAAGTCTGTCGGCAGGCCCACGTCACTCAACGTATGTTCTGGTTGTTATTTCTCTTGTCGCTATGTATGAGCAATGTCTCAGAGACGCGGTACTACACCCACAACCTTACTGCCGGGTTTCAACCCCAACCCCAAGTATGCGTTAGACCCAACCCATCCATCAGCGAATCTTCCCATTCGTGCATTTCCATACTACTTGTGCCCCGCGTTTTCCATGCAGGCTGTACATAAAGCTGCCCTCATCAAGGATGACTGGCAGCCTCCTCCAGTTTCGGAGAAGCACCGCAAGAGGGAGGACCAGCTGGACCTTAGTCTCGTTTTCAAGATTTCCAAAAAGAATACACACAAACGGACAACTCTTCGTAGAAGGCTGTCAAGGAAATTGTCGGCTGTTATTTCACTTGTCCTTACTAAGGGTGCGGACGTAGATTCCCCGAAAGCACCCTTTCGGGACAGTAAAGTTGTAAGTCCAAGAAGGTTATATACTGGAAATCCGCAACCTGACGCGTTCATGCGATAGTCCTCTCCAAATCGTCTTTCCTCGTTGACATTCAACGCTACCACTGCTTCACCGCCTGTACTCGCAGGTGGGTTGTTCTCGGTTCTCGGTCGCCAATAATCGTCTGACGTAATACGTTTTGCAGACTGGACATACGTTATCACCCCAAAGCTCGAAGTCTATCGTCTGCCATATACAAACCTTGTCACGTACATCCGGAAAGCTCTTGGTCAACTTTATTTCCAGGCAAGGAACCTGGAGGAAACATGGAAAGACAAACTTTCCGCAGACCAACCGATGAGACCGGCCGAGCACAACGTCACTTTGAATGACGTCTCACCGAAATACAGCAATCCATCGGGAGTTACTCCGCATGTGCGGAGCGTTGAATTTAACACATCGGAGAGAATCCAACCACTTGAGCGTGACAAGGAGTCGGGTTTTACAGAAAGTTCATTAATGTTGGAACAAGGTATGTGTCGGTCGATCCCCTCTTGAGTATTCGCACTGCCCTCACTGGACTCTCCAGTCCGCCCCTCAGAGCGATCAGCCGAACGAGGCAGACCCAGAATGCATGGGACCCGAATGAGGTGGGAGCAAAGCGTGAGTTCAGCTTCCTTTGCGAAGTCCATACAGCATTTATGATCATTGTAACCTTTGCCTCTCGCATCCCTCATCGACCGGCCCGAAGCTATCGACAACACAATCAGAGAAGAGTCGTATAGTCTCACCTCGGCGTGACGTGCCTCAGCTAGTCTTCCCATCTCAGCCACTAGCGAACCTCTCAGAAGACTCTGAGGACCCGCTGATATTACTAGATGGTATACTGTCTCATCTCTTTTCTACGACTTCTAGGCACTGACCTTTTGCTGGTTTTAGAATCAGGAGAAATTACTTCAACGAGTGGAGAGACGTGGTTAAGGGATTCCCCGACTTCCCATCTCGGATTACCAGCTAGATTCGCAGACCTCTCCTGGAGGGAGCTCGATAACGCGTCAAGAATCACTTCTCAACGCAAAGTTTCCCACGCCGAAGGGGAACGGCGTTCGTCCTCAGCATCCCGGGAAGCATTGACCACACCGAAACCGAATGGGGATGTGTCTGACGAAGGAGCGGTCACTAGCAGTGTAATGAGCCGCATTTTTACCTCCAAGCCCATTTTCCTTTCGGACTCATCGAAGAACCGTGGCAACGGTAAATCAAAGTGACGTCTTCTTGACCACGCTCACTTCCTGACCATACCATTGACGATGAAGTCCCAAGTTTCAAATCGACGAGTGCCACGAATTCGCATCTTCATGATGCCCCATTACATAGACTGGAGGCAATGGCAATCCTGTAGTACGGAAGCCGACGACCTATATAGGCGGTGTCGTGGTCCGGGCTTGACGATGTCAACTGAGGCACATCACGGAGAAAGTGTGCGCGTGCAGCTTTTTTAAATGGGCACCAACCTACTCTCCCGAGACAAATTGGACGCGGGCCAGGTGAGTCAGGATGGCACGTATCATAGCGCAATAATCGACCGTCGGATAATGCCGTCAACACTAACAATGAAATGGAAGTACTGACGATTCGCTGAAGTCATGCAGAATCGACACTGACTCACCTGATAGAAACTGTACCATGCTAGGTAGGTCTTTAACAGATGAACCTGCGCGTGTCCGCACCGCACAGAAGATGTGAAGGTATGTGTGGTGTTTGCAGGGGAATTCCATGGACGTTCCGATCTAAGTCGGAATCTATGAGAGCGCCTGTATTACGAGATGTAATGCGGCCGACATTTGGTTCTATATCCACTACGCCAACCCCGATGTCAGTCCAGTCCCCATAGCCAGCGGAGTGTCACTCTGGCATCGATCGCCTCGTTCAACTAGGCCAACTGTGTGACGCGCAGCACAGATAGTTTCTTGGCTTGCAACTTATCCCTGTCCAGCATCAAGGAATGGAGTTACATATGACTGAATCCAATGACACTAGCGACACCCGATGCCATAAGAAGATATTACCATGTTTTACATTTACAATTACAAACGTTGTCATGAAGAGGTTGGACAGGTTTAAACGTTGGAGGCCGTACTTTCACCTCCACCATCTGCACATGACTTCATCTCTGGAGGTACTGTCTCTGCTGCCAGTGATAGCGATACATTTCCCTTTCGTCCATTTGCAAATACCGGTCTTGTCAGCTCCCTGTCATCCATATGAACTTCATCTGAGGCCGTAATCAACAAGTTTCGATACACGCGACAGGCCATCACACTCGTTAGTGCTATAGTGGGTGCCGAGAGCATAACTTGGTAGGAGGGAGGCATAGAGAAGCTTGTGCTGAAATTGAGGCGAGTCATATTTATGCTGTTAGTCATCCTGTCCGGGTGTTACAAACGTGTTCAGGCGAAGATGACCGCGGTTGCTTACAGGTAGTATAGTTGTCCTCCCTCAAACACAGCACGCGAAAAATGAGGAAGTCCCTTGCTAGAACGGTAGAAGAAAGTCCTCCAGCCCCTCTTCTGGCCCGTCTGATGAGTGGAAAGGATCTTGTGTATGATGGCAGAATAGACGAGGCCATCGAAGAGAACGGGGATCCCAAAGGCGACGGGAAGAGCGGCCCAGTCTTGTTGCCGGATGCAGTGTTTAGTATTAGCGATCTCGCTGTAACCATGTACAGCATCGTAAAGGAGCAAGCAAGAAGTGCCAATTCCGACGACCCAAAGAAAGCTGAAAAAGTATTGAACACTTCTGCTGCCAAAGTAAACGGCATGGACACGCTTGAGAAACAAGTACGATGCAGCCGCGGATGATATGATCTGAAGCGCTGCTGAAATGGCGGCGATAAGCCTGCAGTTTGACACCGGACCAGCTGCAGATGAATGTACTCAGGGGACAACACATTCACAATGCTGAGAACCACTCACTTTGCTCCAGAACAGTGAGAATCACCATGGCAAGCGCGGATGGTCTACGGAGACGTTAAAAAGGTCAAGGCAAACATCGAGCCATACTCTCACCTAGCCAAAAAGTAGGCAAATAGAATAGTGGACCCCCTTCCCACTTGGATCAGCTTACGTTCATCGGGGAGGCTGGAGAGTATGTCCCAGATCAAGGCCTTTTCGCGGCTCACGTCAGTATTATCGTGGGCACCGAATTTGCATTGACACAGCGTACGCCTAAGGTTGCCAGATTGATACCTCTTCCTACTTCATAGATGGTTGCTTCGCCAGTGCTGAGGTAGTTGAGATACACATTGGGGTTGATGATAGGAGGGGATTCTTGGGCACTCATGACCGAGGCAATTGGGGACATAGATTTAGCATTATTAGCCGCGTCGCGAAGGACTTGATCTCTTTTACGTAGCGAGTTTTCTTGGGAGTTGGCTGTGCTGTGCTGGCAGGTGTTGGCGCATGCAACAGGCACGAAACCGCCATGCTCCACAGCAAGAAGATATTTCGGATCCTAACCGCACACCAGGATCGTCTAATGAGACAAAGCCATCCGAGTGCCGATGGCCTAAAACTGTGGTAGTAAGTGACGTGTTGCACTAGCAATAGTCGGACGGCCAGTCTACATACGAAGCTCAGCTCTCCAGGCGCCAATTTCTTGTCCGCTGTAAGTGGCAGCTAGTATGGCTGTACTGCTCGGCTGTGCTTTACGGTCTCCAGGCTCAGGCTGTGCCTGCCAGTCAAGGCAACATGTACTTTAACCTCATAAGGCATCCATCTGATTGTACTTGCCAATCAGAGGGACGGGGAACGCTGAAATCACGACCATAACCAGTCAGTGACAGGTTTAAACCATCTATTCGCTTCCTGAAGTGACTTACTAGCATGATGGTGTGCCTCTATGGAAATGACGCATGCTGAACATGAAGTGGTCATTTAGCTTTATGAGGGGAAAGTGCCTCCCAACCCCCTCTGCTTTGTGGTGGCAAAGTTAACAGAGAGGATTCGGAGGTACTTTTCCTCCTGATACAGTCAAATGACCATCTCAAAAAAATTATTTCCAGTTCCATCACGCTCGACCTACTTATTAGTATCGACTCCCTACAGATGTGGTCAAAAATGACACACTCCTGCTCTCCCCAGTTATGAGTACTCAAGGATCTCCTCCTATCCTCAACCCCAACATATATCTCAACTATCTCGGCCCAGACGAAGCAAGCAATTATGAGCTCAGTAGAAACATCGCCTTAGTGACACTTGGTGTATGTTGCCATGATTACAAGCCCGGTGCCTACGACAATGCTGACACGAGTTTTGGACAAGGCACTGATCTGGGATATACTCTTCAGCATCGCCGATGACTACGGGTTAATCCGGATGGGAAGACCGTCAGTTACTCTCTTCGCTTATTTTTTGGCTAGGTGAGAAGTTTGAATCAATAGTTGTCATGACTTTGCTGACATCTCTATAGACCATCTGTGCTTGTTATGGTAGTCCTGGCCATACTGCAGAAGAGTGAGTCTCTCGATATTCAGAATGGGCTTTAATGCTGAACCCTGAGGACGTTCATCTGCAGCTGGCCCGCTTTCAAATTGCACACTTGTTGCCATGTTTGTAGTGGCATTCCAGGTCATAACATCTGCAGCCGCTTCCTTCCTCTTCCTCAAACGTGTTCACGCTGTCTACCACGGCAGTAGAACCATCCAATATGTTTTCAACTTCCTTTGGGTCATCGGCGTTGGCACTTCCTGTGCAGTATTCTTTAGTACCATGCACGATTATAGCGAAATTGCCGACACAAAACACTGTATTCGACATCAAGGCTGGACCGCTCTCTCCATTGCTTTTATGGATCCTGTGCTCTTCGATACCCTTGTCTATTTTGCTATCGTGTACAAGATCCTTTCCGGTCATCGGATGGGCCAGAAGAACGACTGGAGGACTTTCTGCTGTGGAAATGGCCTCCCTCACCTCTCGCGTGCTGTGTTTCAAGGAGGACAGCAGTATTATTTGTAAGTAAATCTGGTCTTCTCCCTGCACGGACACCTTTATGATATCTGGACAGGATCACCACTGGCGCTAACCTAATGCGGTTTGTGCTCAGCGCAGACCCCTTCTCATCTCCCACACTGCAAACTATACTGTCAACACCGGCTGTAATGTTGACGAGTGCTATGGCCTGTCGAGTATATCGAAATTTGTTGATCAAAACCTCGGAAGAGTGTCAAGTGACCTGTGCGAAGTTGACAACACCGGTTTTCGCAAATGGGCAAATGACAGATGCTATCACTGCCGGGGAAAGCAGCAGTATCGGTGAAGTTTGAAGCTTGAAGTCTGATGCAATTGGCTAGCATGATTGGACTGAAGTCTGCACTGCATGCTGATTGCTACTAGTATGTACCCACATCTGTCTTGAATAAGTGGTTGGTCCCTATATATATGTATTATCCTGGGTTGGTATCAGTGCATCAGGAAATTAACACTTTACTATTTTTGACCTTTATGTGACTTTTTTTGACTTTTTTGTGACTATTGTGACTATTTGTGACTTTTTGGGAAGGAACCTACTATCTGTACTTTTTTTTTGACCATATACAGCATTTTGAAGAATGAAGAGAGAACAGAATCTATTGAGACAACTAAATGATGATATATCTAAGCCAAGAAGACTAGAAAATGTCTGAAAATTCAGAGATATTGAGCCATTGGTGTGATGCACACTGTCTGAGAGAAAAATCACAATATCTCTTTGGAACCTCCATCAATTTGAATGTATGTGGTATCTACTGAAAGCTATGAATTAGGTGGTTTGAACAAGACCAAAATAAGCAAGAACAGTGCAGCCATGCCTGCAGGACATGGGTAATGATAGTAGATTCCTTCCCAAAAAGTCACATTAGTCACAAAAAGTCAAAAATAGTGAAGTGTTATTTTCCTGATGTGGGTGGCCTGAGAAAGTCTTGCTGACAATGGTTGGCACATGTGTACACTGCTATATCACACCAGTAGTGTGAAATGTTGCATGCAAGCAGTCTCAATACCAGTGGGGTAAAAATCCTGACATTGTAAGAGAGTTGCAACTTGACATGAGGTTAAGTCCAATTTTGAAGGTACAAATGCTTGATCTCACTGAGAGCCATCAGGAAATTAACAAAATACTATCCTGACTTATTTGGACTTATTTGACTTACACACTGGAGTCAAATAAGTTGAATAAGTTGAATAAGTATGGTGATGGCACAACAATTTTAAAAAAATTGGGATAGTTTAACATGAGCCAAATTCATGACACAGAGGCTAACTTGTCTAAAATAGTGTGATTGCTGGGTGGGAACATGAACATCCATGATCCTACTACCAGAAGATTTTAAGCTATGTGACCAAAGCTGTGAGGATGATTTCAGTAAAAATTCCACTTGCCAACCCAACTAGCAGACCTGGTCTAAGTAATGTGGGACTCAATGCATCCAGCCTGTCATTGCATGAGTACCTTGACATTCTCCCAAGGATTGAACCCACTGTGGATGAGATTTCAATATATGCATTTGACCCTCAGCACCCAACAGTGAGCACAGGACCCAGTGTTGTATATTCTGCCTTTCACATTATGCTTTCATCCACTTGGTATTATGGTATGTGTTTAGCCATATTACATAATCACATTCATTTTTGTACTTGAGTAGTATATTCACACCTCAGTTGGCTACTTAACCCAACTGAGGTGAGCACTTTCCACATTCTGTCTTTACACTCTGCTAATAGTCCTGTAGTATATATTCTACAGGTTATGAGCCCCAGTGCTCACTAACTGGGAACTTGTAGCAACATGTCATTCACATCCAAGCTCAGAGATGATTTCCTTAAGGTCCCAAAGCTCTTGGCAGATGGAGAGAACTGGGTGACATACAAGGACAGGCTAATGTGGTCTTTGGATGCTTGTGGGCTGCTCAGGTACATAGATGGTACTGAGACAATGCCAGTCAACCCCAAGACACTACCAAACCAGAGCAAGAGCTGGATACCTATCTCCACAGAGGAGAAAAAGGAAGTGATGAACTACCAAGCTACTCTAAAAGAATGGAGGTTTGGCCAAGCCATTGTCAAGCAACAAATCACTGGCATGATCCCTGACACACTGTTCATCCAAATGAAGAGTCTTGCTACTGCACTTGACATCTGGACATACCTATCTAACCTTTTCAAGAAGTGCTCTTGTGTTGTATTGGTTGAACTGCTGAAGAAGCTCCAAACTATAATATGCATGGAGAAAGGAAATGTCAGGGAACACTTTGACAAAATGCAGCAAATACATGAACAACTTGCCTCAATGGGCCAAGCCCTGACAGATGAAAGCTACATGGCTATGGTCATGACATCCCTCCCAAGCTCTTATGACTCTGTCATCAGAGCAATGTCTGCACTCAGCAAAAGTTTCCACTTCCACTACCCTAACAACTGCAACTCTCATGGATGCAGTACAAGATGAGTATGACCACTGTGCCACAAAGCAGAAGAAGTCTAGCAATGCAGACAATGCAGCATACTCAGCTGAGGAATGCAGAAGAAGTTCACTGGAACTTGCTACAAATGTGGAAAATGTGGGCACTGAGCTTGTGAATGCAGGTCAAGTGGGGATGACTCACAAAGTGGAGGGAAGTCTCCAAACAAAGGGAAGCAAAAAGAGCACACAGCAGTGGCCAAGAATGACAGTAGCAATGACCCAGATAGGGTATGGCTTGCACATATCAACAACAGCTATGAAGCTGAGGTCAATGAAGCTCAACCATCCCCAGAGACATTTGCTACTAGTGTGTACACAAGACCACCAAGCTACACTACTCTATATGACTCTGGAGCCTCTCATCACATGTCATCATACAAGGAAAACTTTGTCAACTATAAGCCCATTACTCCTAAACCCATTACTGCAGTGGACAAATGAACCTTTGAAGCCATTGGAAAAGGAGATGTGTACATATCCCTACCAAATGGCAACTTGCCCACTTGTATCCTCTTGAAGGATGTTCTGCATACACCTAAGATTGGCATGACCCTGGTATCCATTAGCTGCCTGGATGCAAGTGGATATGCCATACTCTTCTGTGACTTGTGCTGCAAGATCTTTAACAGGCAAAAGAAACTCCTTGGGGAAGTACCAGTCAGCAGCAGCCTCTATACAACCAAAGCCATGCAGAAGATTTATGTGGGCTTGGCAAACTTGAGAGTAACCCTTACCATGAAAGATATCCATGTGTGGCTCAGCCATATATCACCAGACACTATTAAACAAATGCTAAAGGACAGCATTGTAACTGGAATAAGCCTAGACCCTTCCCATGCAACAGTTGAATCTTGTGATGCATGTGAGTATGCCAAGGCAACCCAAAAACCCATAGGAAAAATCTGAGACCCCCCACACCAAGACAAGGTTGGTGATGAAATCCATACAGACTTATGGGGACCATCCCCTGTCTGAACGAATGCAAGGAGTCAGTATTTTGTGTCATACACCAATGACCATACTTGCTTTACAAGCCTGTACCTCCTGAAGTCAAAGGATGAAACCTTTGAGTCCTACCAGTCCTACCAGAAGTATGAAGCCTGGCTACTGATGCAGTTCAACACAAAGGTTAAAAGGCTTTTCTTGGACCACACACTTGTTGAACATGTATGCACCATGCTAAATGCAAGCAGCCTCCCAAAATCACTATGGGGAGAAGCCATAATGCATGCAAACTGGTTAAAGAACCAAACCTCCACCCATGCACTTGACAAAATGACACCCTACAAAATGCTGTATAAAAAGAAACCAGATCTATCTAATCTACTGATCTGGGGCTGCCATGTCAAAGTCCACACAGCAGATGATTCAAAACTAGACATGTGTGCAAAAGATGGTCACTGGGTGGGCTTCAATAAGGGCACAAATACACACAGAATATATTTCAAGGACTCACAACATGTGGGTGTCAAACAAAATGTTTGATTCAGCTTGCAGGAGGTCACCATTCCTATCAGCATGTGGCTTGAGGGGGAGAAATGCATCACAGATGACAAGGAAGCATCATCCACCTTGCACATAGCTGGTAAAAGCAATCAGCATGCCATATGAACCACAGAAAGTGCACCTACAACACCAAGTACTCCCATTGACCACCTTGGACCAAGGTTTGAACCTGCAGCACCCACCCATTGCTCTGGTCACACATGTGTTGAGTCAGCATATGTATGGTGCCTGCATGAGGGCAAGGGTACATACAACAGATGAATCCCACTACCTACACTACCACTACCTCAAGGAATACAACCAAGCTCACAACAAGAGGAGAATAGAGAGACAGCAAACCTGGGCATGATGGGGGTGATGGATGAAGATGATGATGAAGTTTTTGCCTTGGTTGCTGGGACTGTGGAGCTAGAAGGGACAGATCCCATCATGATCAAAGATGCTCATGCAAGACCTGATTGGTCAAAGTGAGAGGAAGCAATTAATAAAGAACTTACCTTATTGGATGAAGCACAAACATGGAGCATTGTTGAGAGACTGTGAGGTGTCAACATGGTTGGCTGTAAATGGGTATTTCACATCAAATGCAACATGCAGGGAGAAATTGAAAAATACAAAGTGTGACTTGTGGAAAAAGGCTACTCACAGGTCCACAGCATTGACTACTATGATACCTACACACCTGTCACATGCATGGCATCTATCTGCACCATCCTTGCTATTGCAGTGCAGAATGACTGGGATGTTGATGTTTTTGACTTCCAGGGTGCTTTCCTAAATGGGAAGTTGGATGATGATGAAGTAATCTACATGCAACTGCCACCTGGACTCTCAGTTAACAGCAAATATAAAAATCCTGTTGCCCTGATTGCATGTAGTGCTTTATGGATCAAAGCAAGGAGCATTGAAGTGGTATGAGTGGCTGTGCACTGCACTCACTATGCTCAGTATGCATTGTGCTGAAGCTGACTGGGGTGTTTTCTTCATGCACACAGGCCAGGACATCCTACTCCTTGCATTGCACATTGACAACTGCACCATTACTGGCAATAACCCTAGCTTAATCAAAAGGTTCAAATCTGAAGTGGCTGCAAACTTCAAATTAACAGATTTAGGCCCCATCTTGTCCCTACTCAGAATAAAAGTTGTGTGTAATCACTTGGCATTCATGCTCTCACTCTTGCAGGCATCCTACATTGATTCTATGCTGTTAAAATATAATTTTGAAGATCTACAGCCTGTCGCAATGCCTATGGACCCCTCAGTCCAGTTCTCAACTGCCCAGTGCCTGAAAATGCATGCACATTGGGAGGGCATAAAAAGGATATTTTGATACCTTTAGGCATGAAAGGGCTTGCATTGACATTCAGAGGTGATAGGTATGGCCTTGAGGGCTATATGGATGCAGATGGCACCTCACAGGAGCACTGGCATGCCATTTCTGGCCATGCCTTCCTGCTCAATGGTGGAGCAATCTCCTGGGCCTTGAAGAAACAAGAACTCATTACTTTATCTACTACAGAAGCTAAGTATGTTGCTGCTACTTATGCTGCAAAAGAAGCCATCTGGCTTCATCACCTTATCCAAGAACTTTTCTGCCAACTCTCACTCCCAACCATAATCCATTGCAACAACCAGTCTGCAATGACACTTGCTCACCATGGCAATTATCATGCCTGTACAAAACACATAGACTATGGTTGCAGATACCCTTACCAAGGCTCTTACAAACATCAAAGCCAAGCACTTTGCCTATGAGCTTGGACTCCATGATGTTTGAGGAGGAGTGTTGTATATTCTGCCTTTCACATTATGCTTTCACCCACTTGGTATTTGTACTTGAGTAGCATACTCACACCTCAGTTGGCTACTTAACCCAACAGAGTATATATTCTACACCCAGTGTGTCTGGCCTGTCATTGCATAAGTACCTTAAAATTCTCCCAAAGATTGAACCCACCATGGATGAGGTTTCAATATATGCATTTGACCTTTGGCATCCAACAGTGAAAATTCCATCTTCCAAGTCAGCTGACCTGGTTTAAGTGCCACTGGATCCAATGTGTTGAGCCTGCCATTGCATGAGTAACTTGACATTCTCCCAAGGATTGAACCCACTGTGGATGAGATTTCAATATATGCATTGTGGGACATGACTTCTGGGAAGTGTGTGACTAGAGGAAAGCTGAAGGGAGAATTCCCTAGGATCGACCTGAGGGGTGCCACATGGAAGGAGAAGTTGAGGATTACCCTAGAAGGGGTGGGGGAATATGTGCAAGGGTTACAAAATTTAATTCCAGAGGGATGTGGATGCATGAGGAACAGCAAGATGGGTATACAAAATTCCAAGAGGCTGATTGGTGGTGAGAAGAGTGTATTTGAGGTGAGAGGGATATGGGGTATGGAGTGCAGGACTGGGAGATGCAAGAGACACAAAGACCACTGGAGACACTGTAGATGCTGTAGACTCAATATATGCACTTAGACTCTGAGAACTCTTGAACTCACATGAACACACACAGATAGTGACTCTAAAGGTGGGTGGTATATTTCTGACATCATGGCAGAATTATATAGTACAAGGGAAGTAGGTACAAGTCAGAGTAAGGTGGGGCAGAAAAACTAAAAGACCAGAAAATAAAGGAGAGGATGACAGACATCAAAGAAATACAGGTGCACATGAAATGGGCCAGCAAGTAGTAGATGAGACTAAAACAGGACAACAGTAAGGGGTATCTTCTGACAGAATGAGGTTACATGTACAAGTGAAAGGTGGAGTCAGCAGGAGGGGGAAGCACAAGAGGGCAGAGCATACTAGCATGAAGTCCAGCTTGTGGAATTTGGGGTGCAACAGAGGTAACTGGAGTTTTTTGTAAAGGTGACTAACATGGGTGAGTGGTGATGTGGCTGGGGGTGGCTTGGCTGACTGAATTCTGGATGACTCTGGGCAAATGTGGAATTTCCAGATCAGCTCATTGATGGCTGGGTGACATGCCAAAGGTTGAGAGAAACTCTGAAGGCAACAGGGGTTGGGAGGCAACATGAGGTTATGAGCAGGAAGAACTCTGAAAGCATCCAAAGGCCTAGAGCAACAGGGGTTTGTCACAGAGGCCAGCAGAATTTAGTGACAGACTCCTGTTCCAGCCTCAGGGAGTATATGGCTCCCTACACCTCCCAGGGACTTTCAAATGCTGACTGTCCTTGGTCAGACAAAACTGAGATGTGACAGAGATGAGTGCAGAATATCAGCAGGTGTTATGTAACAATGATGGCACATGGTCAGAATTCTGCCTCATGCAGAGGGAAATTCCACATTGTATGAGATGGCCCTGCAGAATTTAAACATGCTCAGAAGGTGGCCCACTACTTGTCAAACTTTCACTCCCCAGCCACACCTGTATCCACTACCCAAGCCCATACCCAATCTTTGACATGCAAGCCTACTTGATCCATGACACATGACCAGTATGCAGCATGAGGGACCAGGCAATCACCTTGCTGTCAGCAGCTCTAAGACATGTTAGGGTGCTAATCAACACAGTGCCATGGCCCAAAGAGAGCTTAGAGGCAATATACAAGTGGGTGGAGGACTGGGATCAGACTTGGGTGAGTGCACTAGAGACCTGTGCAATGTGACATGCTGACCAATCCCCAGGCTGGCATCTACTTGTGGTGGAAGTACATTGATGAGAACAAGATCTCCATCCTGAAGGTGCATGATGCCAACCTATGTGACATGACTGAAGAAGCCACAATACAGCAGAATGATGTGATCCCAGTGGCTATAGCAATAGCGGATCTTCAGCAGCCAGAAGGGCAGCATAGATTCAACATCAATGACCTTTTTGAGGACCACCAGAAGTGGGTAGAGGAGAGAATGCAGTTGGAGGCTGAGAGGTTGGCCAAGGCACTGTCCATGTGCACCCAGGGCCAAGCAGCAAGAGGTGAGGGTCAAGATTGCATGCCAGAAGACACCAAAGGATACCCATCAAGAGGAGCTGCATGTTTGACAGGGGGGGGCTCTGGTAGCATGAGCAAGGGAAAAGGGAAACAGAAGGTGCATTCTATGTCTTTGACAACCCTGAGTGTGAATGCTGACTTCAATGAAAACTCCACAGGCCACCAGTGAGGAGGACAAGCTGGCTGATGACATTGACAATGATGAGGGTGAAGGTGAAGGTGAAGGCAAGCCAGGTCCTTCCACAAAGGGACCTTGCACAGCTGGAGACAATGAGCCCTGTGAGACATGTGCCCAGGTGAACCTTGTGTGCATTGGGGAGCCAGAGTCATCCTGCAAATGGTGCAGGAAGGCAAAGCACAAGTGCTCATGCTCTCATGGAGTAGGGAGAAAGGTGAGTACTGTACAGGTGAAAGTCTGCAAGGGAATGAGTTGACACCGCCTTCAGCAAAAGAACTCTGGTACCATTGGGGAGGCAGGGCTGTCCCACAAACAAGTCAAATCAATTACAACCTTGAAGGTGGCCCCAGCAGAACCTGTGACTGGACCCACTAAGAAACTCACTCTGAAAATTCCACCTTGAAAATGACAACCTGATCTGACCCCCACATGTTTGCCTACCCCAGAACCAAGTTCCTCCCCTCACAATCCTTCACCAACCCCTCATCTCTTTTTCCATGGGGCTACTCCAACACCCAGACCTTTGTTCTCACCTGCCCCTGTCAATGAACCCCCCCCCCCAACACTCCCTTTTGACAAACCACAAATCAAGTTTGAAGCCATTTTCTGCGACTGCAACCAGCTTGCTAAATGAACTGGGAGGTGTTGAAGAGCCAGTCCAGAGCACCACTCCTTTGGTCGCCAAAATTCAGAGGTTGGAATCCCATGTGAGCAGTTGACAGTGAGCTTCATCAAATGTCTGTGAGTGCTCAAGGTGAGAGCTGAGGACAAGGAATTTGAGCTGGAGCAGGTCTACTGGCTGCTGGAGATGTTGGTGAGGTGGGTAATACATCAGATCAAGACTGCACAGGCTAGATGGGAGGAGCTGCTGAAGGTTGAAGGACCTGTAAATAGTGTACTAGTGTCTGCAGATTTTTTTGTACTCATATGTTCTGAAATTGTAAGAGTCTTTCATGTGTCAGTATTAGTACTACAGTAAGGGAAGGAAAAGTAAGACTTCTGAAGGTAGAAGTACTGTGGAATTTTTTTTTTTTGACTCTTGTGAGTGGTGCAGATTTTATATATGAGATGAAATGGGTATTGAAAAAAGAAAGAATGGAGAAAGGAAAGAAAGGAGGTAAAAAGAAAGACAGATTACTCATCTGACTCATCCAAATGGATGCCAGTGAGCATAGGGTCTGGGAATGAATCATCTTCAAGGCAATCCAGGTCTTGCATGGCAGTGCCAGTCAGCTGGGTGACTTCAATATGAGCATTATTCTGCAGGAAATAGGGGTATAGGCAAAAGGCAGTGAAGTGGAATTTCGAGACAGTGCCATCTAATTCTGCAAGTATGTACAAGCTGCCTTTAGTGTGTCTGATGATGATCATAGGTCCTAGGTGATGTGGTTTGGTTTTCCAGTTGAGTTCTAGCTTGAATGTGCACAATTTTGTATGAGGACAAGTGACCCTGGTTCAAAGTTAAAGTCTTTGATAGAATGTGTGAAACAATCAATGAATTCCTTGGCTGACACAAAGTGGGATTTTAGGACCAGATCATGAATGCAAGTGAAGTCCTCTGGGCATTTCTGGAGTTGGTGAGCACAGTGAGTGATGAGATCTGTGGTCAAGTAAAATTCTGCTTCGAAAGGGGCTAAAAACATTGCTTTGACTAGATCAAAAGGAGTTGGGGTTCAACACCATGAGCCATATGGAATGGAGAAAACCTGGTTGCCTTGTGGACCATAACCCTCTCTGCCCAAAATACTGCAGGAGCTAACTTCTGTCCATCTTGATGCTTCCCCACTACAACTTTTTACCATTCCTCTCTTACATCAAAATGCCCTTGTTCAACAACTCCATTAGCCTGTGAGTTATAAGGGGAGATGCATATGTGATGAATTCCAAAGGTCTTGGAGAGCCAGTTGAGAGCAAGGACATATGGTCCCCTGTTATCTGTGACAATCTCCATAACAGCACCCCAATGGCACAAAATCTGTTCAAAGATGAAGTTTTCAATGGAGCTTGCCTGTCTCTGCATGAAGCATAGCCCATTTGGGGTAACTGGTGAGTGAACAGCAGGCTTGGGTGACATAGTGAAAGCCATTTGACTTTGGCATTAAGAACATGTCCATATATACCTTGTAGAATAGGGGTTTGGGAATGGCGATGACTGGCAGAATATGTATGCAATCCAATTGGTGGGTCTGGCACTCGTGGCATGATTATAACATACCAACAGACATCCTGCTCTAGCATGGGCCACCAAAAGTGAGTCAGCAAACACATGCAGGTCAAGAAGATACCCTTGTGCCCCAGGTCATCATTGGCCTGGTGGAGAATCCCAAGGTGTTTGTGTGGGGGTACCACTAGCTGATGCTGTCCCTGGGGATCCTTCTTCCACAGTTCCCCTCCTTTCATGAAAAACCAAGTTGCAAGATGCACTAGGCTTTCCAATTCAGCCTCTTCCAACCCTTCTGGCATTTTCTTTGTCTCCAAAAACTCCTTCACCACTCTCATCCTCTCTTCACTCTGCTTCACTTTCTCTGACCTCAGAATTTCAGTCTTGAAGTTTTCTGGCATCAATTCTTCAGCAGTAAAGATTCCTAGACTCTGTGACAGGGCAAGAGATGAGTCTGACATGACACTCAGAATTCCCAAGGGGTAAGGTTGAGACTCAAAATGTGCTTCCCTGTGATTCAAGAGCTCAACAGCAAAGGCCCCACACTCATCTACCCAATCCTCATAGTCCTTGACTCCCTCCTCATCTTCTTCTGCTCTCAGCCTCCTTGAAAGTCTGTCCAGCACTGTGTGCTTGTGTGCTGGAACATGTACAAGCTTGAAGTCAAATAGAAGAATTCTGGCAATCCAACAATTTATGGTCACATTAGGCTGTAGGTTGGGATTGTTAATCATCTCTTTGATGTACCATGCACCCACCTTGACAACTAAATTCCACATGCTGAAAATATGAAGCCAGATGTTGTGCAGGGCATGGAATAGTCCAAACAACTTGAGCTTAGCTTGGCTGTAGCAGCATTTGCAATCATTGAGGGTTATTGAGCTGAACCTAGCAGGGTAGCATTTTCCATCTTCCCTCTCCTGCATGAGGAGGTACCCAACAGCAATGTCAGAAGTGTTGACTGCTAGGATGACTTTCCTTTCTGAACTATAGTCAATAGTTTGCAATGCAGGGGATGAGACAATTGCCCAGCAGAGATACTCCATTGCTTCCCTATGTTCATTGTGGAATTCAAAGGGGATATCCTTCTTGGTTGGCTTGATGAGAGGATGGGCATGTTTAATGAAGTCTTTGATGAAGATCCTGCAGTACAAGCAGAGACCTAAAAATCCACGTACTTCAGTAACATTTGTGCAGTAAGGCCAATCTTTAATCTTTTGGACTTTGGTTTCATCCAGAATTCTACCCTCAAATGACACCTTATGCCCAACCACTATGATGGATGGTGTAGCAATGATGCATTTCTTTGCCAACATGGTGGCTCCTGCATGATGCAGATGGTGTAAGACTCAGTTGACATTCTGCAGGTGCTCCCAGATGAAGCATCTAATCCTGGAATTCTGTGGAATCATTTTATAGGTCCCATCTGGATTTTGGTAGCAGGATTTGGGGCCTTTGATAGGAAAGTTGTTGATAAATGGAATGGTGACTTCTGGAATTTCATCCTTCGAAATCCAACAGACATCTCTGTGGAGAATCTGGACAGCATTCATGTAGCCCATAGGGAGTTTGGTGAGTCAAAGGGTAATGATAGGAGTTTGGAAGGTAGTGAGGTCACAGTAATTGTCATGTATGGTGTGATGATCATATCCAACCATAAGATCTAAAATTCTGTAGACTGAATGGCAAGCGAAGGCTCCAGTGATCAAATCAATGAAGGGGGGAACAGCTGAGTCCTGGATAGAAATGGCATTTAGAGGTTGTAAGTCATGGACAAGGTACAGAGATTTTCTGTCCTTCTTGACTATGCAGAACCATTTTGAGCAATAGGACAAAGTAGACAGTTCATAAACCCCTGCAGAAATCTTTTCTTTGATGATGTTAATGACTTCATGGAAAATAGCAGGAGGAATGAGAATATTTTGCTTGACCCAGGGCTTGTGGGCTAGCATAGGTATCTTCAGGGGTGGGAACATGTTCTCTCAAAAGGTCCCTCTTTCTGAAGCATCCCAAGCAAAGGCATCCTCTTGCTCCCTGACCAACCATTGTACTAGGTCTAATTCTGTAGGCCAAAGGAACCTTGCTGGGTCCAGATCGAGCTCATCAGCTCTTTCCCAAGTAAACCTGGAACCTGGCATGAATGGAGGGGGAATGACTAGGTAAGACAGGCAGGTCTGCAAGTGGGTCTTCAGCCTCCTGATGCTCTACCTGGAATTCTGCTGGTATTGACATCAGTACTGGCCTCACCTTCCTTGCTACAGGTTTGTACTTTAAGACATGATAAACATGGTCAAACTGATAAGTAGAGCATAAGGCAGAGATTGTCAGTGGAGAAATGGTAGTAGCAGTTGAAAATAAAAAAGGATCAGTTAGAGAAATGGAACTAGGTATCAAAGGGATTGACAGGGAGCATACTGTTGCCTTGTGAATCAGTAGATAAATGGTGCAGCAGAATTTATGGCAGTGTCTGTGGGCAAGAGAGCAGTAGACTTCAAAGGGTATAAGGGTGGATCAGAAACATAAAGAGAACCCACAGAGAAAGTGCAGTCCTGGTCTCCTTGTTGCTCATACAAGCCCTTGACTGATATTAAAAACCCTGTTTGGGTAGATTCATGTGGCGAATGCATTTGTTTTCACATGAAGAAGTCTTCTTTGTCTTCAGAATTTACAAATTGTGGAAGGGGTTGTGGTCTGTTGCAAGGTCATGTTGGAATTAAAACTTGTTTCCCAGAGTTAGGGTCATGGATTTCTAGAGACTGTTCTCCATCAGGGAAATCATGAAGTACACTGGAGAGTAGGCAGAAGAAGGGTCAACCAAGCAGTAAGTTGAAAGGCACATGATCAATGACTTGGATTTGTAGATGGGCCTCAACATTTCCTATGTGCAAGGTGGCATTCTCTATGACCCCAAGGGTGCTTTCTTTGGATTGGTTAGTGGCCTCCAGAGCCATGGTCATGTCGGTATGGAGAGGGGCCTCTAAGGCTTCCCACAACTCCCATTGCAAGGCCACCACCTGGCATCTGCTGTCCAGAATGCATTTGATGTGGAGTTTGTCCATCAAGATTCTGTTGGAGTTTATCACCTTTACCTTAGTTGTGGTTCACCGAGCACAGCATTATGTAATCCAAAAGCGGACACTTAGCAGTTTATTTTTTCCTTACTGCACCTCAGCTTCAACCAACTTGAAGTCTGAGTATATTCCTCTCCATAGACTTGACAATCCTGCAGCGTGTCATCCTCC